TACATTTAATATTATTACTATACAAATCTATTTTGATAATACATAAGTTTCAAAATTATAATCGACATCATTTAATCCAATAAGTATGACATCTTTACCCTGGGATAATTCATCAGGAGTAGTCAACACTCTTAAAGTCTGTGATGCAAATTCTTCCGGGAAATCTTTAAGTTCATTTTGATTCCACTTTTTTGACTTCTTATTATATCTGGATATAGTGTATTTCCCTTGATTATATACTGTAAAGATTGTATTTGAACCTACATCTATAATAAAACTCGTTTCCTCTCCCAGTTTGAAATCTAATTCATTGGCTTTAGTCCCCGATCTTAAATCAAATATCTCAACTTTTGTCATATCTTTTGTTTGTGATAAAACATACAACCAATATCCATTTGCTCCAAACTTGACATCGATCACATTTTCGTACTTAGGTTCAAATGTGGCTAATTTCAACCCGGTTATAATACTATACAAACAAACTTTTCCTGATTGTATAGCTGCTATTATCTCACCATCGCCATGAATATCTTGAATACGAATCTTTTCTTGTTTTGGTTCAAATTTCCGTTCAATCAATATTTGTTCAGTATTGCATATCAACCATGACTCATCAGTATCCACAATAAAGATATCAAGTTTGGGATGAGCAAGGACATTGTGTCCATTACTACCCAAATCAATCCAAGGACCATTGTCGAATAATAATTCATTTCCGGAAATCACCGCCAAAAGACCGTTCTTTCCAAATGTTGAAGCTTGGGTAAGGGATGCTGCTTGCCAAATATTATCTTGCTTTCTTTTTCCTTTGGCTGGTTTTTTGGACAATAATTCAGATTTCAAAATCTTATTATCGGATAAGTCGATGGCTACTCGTTTGTTGAATGGATCAAGACACCATTGAGGGGCAGAAGAATCGTTGGGTTTGGGTTTGGTTTTTAGGTCAATGAAATATGTTTGTCCTTTTGATAATATCAATTCATCATCGGCAGTGAATGGAAGTTTGATTTTTCGACTTTTATGAATTTGAAAAAGTTCATCTCGAGCTTGTGAAATTAATGTTAATATATCTGTATGTTTATCATTTATGGTAGGGGGGATTTCTTGTTCTTCATTGGAATTTTTATTCACAGTCAATGAAGTCACCACTTTTTCAAGCTCTTTTTTAACTTGATCCCTTTCTTTCATTGCCTTAGCAGCCACTCTAATCGCCGCATCTTGTCTATATAAAGCATTACTTAATTCTTCTCTCGCTTTTGCTAATTGTTTTCTCAAAGTAAACATTTCAAGCACGACTGAATCCCATTCATTCTGAAAACTGGCCAATAACGATGGGATAGAAGTTGAAGTTGTCGGATTTGGTGGGATTATCGTTGGATTTGAGGCAGGTTTGAGCGGGATTAATTCTGGGATTGATAATGGATCGTTGGTGATTGGGTCGGTACCGGAGGTGGAGATGTAGTTTTCTATATGTTTTCTTTCGAATATTGCTCCACTTTTAGGAGATACCACTGGATTGGTCGTTCTTTCTCCTGATATTGAGCATATCATTTCAGCTTTGAGTTGTGATTGGGAATTGGTTGATTGTTTGGTTGTTGTGAGATGAGATTGAATATTTTGGAAGAACAAATTGTGCGGAAGTTTTTTTTGTTCATACAAATTTCGCAATCTAAGTTTTACCATAAGTAAATTATATGGCCCACCAGGCAAAGAGAAAATAATTAGTGAATATGTACATTTAATTGTTTATTACCTGCATAACGAATGACCTATTAAAAAACTATATATGAAAGAGAAGATGGGGGGGAATAAGAAATGAAAATATTTTATATAAAAGTACAAGATTGAATAGTATAGAACACTTTTTATAAATACAAACGTAACATTGATGTAATATATAAAAGTCTCGGCTCAATCTTCTCATAAACATATAAATATATAAATTAAGCTTTTATTTATTTTTCGTATGATGTTTGAAGAGACTAATCACTATCAGTTGTATCATGGTGTTTTTCATGTTTCTCCTCATGTTTTCCATGTTCATACCCACCATCAGTTTTAACCATTCTATAATGCTTACGACCAGTACCAAACATTCCACAACAATGACCCAAAAGATTAACAAAAACAACAAGATTTGCCACCATAGTTGCACTCCAAGTAAAAGCATAGAAATTTATTGATAAAAAAGCTTTAATACCATAATCAGTAGCTTCTTTATTGGCTAAACCTCTAACTTTTACATAAACTGCAGTAACAATTACTGAACCAGTGAATGAAAGTAATGAAATTGAAAATTCAAATAAAAAGTTTAAAAATGATAAACAACATTTCTCCGGACTAAAGAAATAACCTAATATTTGAATAACCGTTGATACAAATGATAACACAGCTACAGTAACCATTATTGAAAATGCACTTTTTGTTAACGTATTTAATCTTGTTAAATCACTTTGTAAATGTCCGGGTAAATTTAATCTTTCAGGAGTAATATTATCAATCAATACTTTAATTTCACTTTTTGAAGTTATAGTCAATTGAGTAATTGCTTCCGATTGAGCATCAACTACAATCCCTTCAATTGCTCTAGTTAATTCTATTTGCATAATATCAATTGGATCAAAAAAGAATCCTGGTTTTGGATCAGAACACCACGTCCAATTAACATTACTATTATCAAAATTATAAAAATATGATCCAAGGTTACTATTATATTCCTGTTCTGGTTCTAATAATGCTCCACGACAATATCCCCAATAACTAACTGAATAAACATCAGCAATCCCTAATTGTTGCGGGGTTACAGTTGCGAAAAGATCTTGAATAGCAGCGGGGATTGTAGTATAATAACCAGGAGCAGTAGTTGCGGCTGTAGTGGTGGTACCTGTTGTTGTGGTGTCATCTCTTTTGGTGAATTTATTTATATCAATAACTTGATTAAGATTTAATCCTGCTAAATGGAAATTAATTAAATATGAATCTGTTAAATATGATTTATTTGCATATGAACCAGCTAATGCAAATATTGTTAATATTGTACATGCTAATGAAAGAAATATTAATGTAAATCTAAATCCGTTATAAAGCATCTTGTTTTGTTTCCTTTATGTTAGGAGAAGAAGAAGAAGAAGAAGTATTAATTATAAAATTTTATGGGAATTTTAATTAGTTTTTATAAAAATTAAGAAATCTGGTTTTCGGTTTAATTAAATTTAATTTAATTAACTCGATTAGGATTAAATTGAAATGTGATTGTCACAGGTTTGACTACATTCGCGCTAAATAGCGATGAATGGTCATAACTGCGACATTGCGACACGGATGTCGCAATATTTAAATTTATGGTATTGGAATTGAGTGCAAATTCTTACCATTGTCCATATGTATTAAGTGAATAATATTCTGAGAATGGAACAATGAAGAATAAACGCCATTCTTCTGTGTATTCGTGGTTCATAGTTCTCATATTTAAGGATTCCATTTCCTCAGAATTTAGTTTATTTAGTTTTTATAGGATTATCAATAAATTACATTTAGAACGATTTAATAACTTTAAGAATTCATAAGTTTTAAGTAAAGCCATTAGATTGGTGGAAACACAAGTCGTGAATCAAGCACTCTAGAGATATTGACATTATAGCTCATTTTACATATATCAGCACCATTAAAGTCCTACCACTGAATAAGAAGAGATTAAGTAAGGTACTTTCCCTTTTCGGCCTGCATGCTCGCACTTAAGAGTTTTCCCTCATAGTTGTGACAGTGATTTAATTAAAAAATAAAAAAGATACAATAAAATAAAGGGTTTATTGTACCACATCCTCGGGGTGGGGGGAGGGGCCCATCTGGATGAATAGAAGTGTATGTGCTGTTGGTAGTTAATTGAATGTAAAAATAAGCACACCATTACTACCAACACAAAAGGTTGGCTGGCTTGTTGCAAAGAGAGACAATAAATAAACAATTTTATCACCAATTAAATTAAAAGCCAACAGAAAAAAATAAAATGAGTTTAAATTTTTTGCAACTAAGAAAAAAAAATAAAATTGCAGCCAGCCATCTTTTTTGATTTTGTGATTTGATTTATAATCCTTTGATTCTATATGATTCTTCTTCCTAGGGGTATACATTAATTGTACAAGGGGTATTAGGGCTTAAGCGATGACACAATAAGTCCTGGCTATTCTTAATTTGACGTATGTCATATGCATCTAATCTTCTATCCGCCTTTCCTTCTAAATTTACAATGACTCTTCAATGAGGTATTAAAAATTTAACTTAAAAAATTACAAAAACTTATAAATTAAACAAAAAATATACTATACATAATAAATTACAAATATAAACTGTATTTGTACATGAGATAATTACAAAATATGTAACAACAACCAACAACCAATCTATTCCTCTAAATCATCAAACCCTTCAAGTAATTCTTGTTCTAATTCTCTCTCTAAGTCATCCAATTGTGGAGTCTCTTCATCATTTTCAGCTTGTTTCTGTTTCTTATTGAGCTCATTCTCTTCATCTTCTTCATCTTCCTGGATGGGTCTTTTCTTGGTATATGCTTCTTTTATAAATGAATCATGACCAGTTCCATTACTAATATTGCTTTCTTTAGATTCATCAGCTGGTTCATTCTCTTGTTGTTCCTCTTCCTTCTCTTCGAGTTCTACTTCCTCTTTATCAGCAATCTCAGCGCCTCTTTCAATAAGTTCAACTTCTTGCTGATCCTCTTCATCCTCGCCCTCTTCCTCCTCATCCTCCTCCTCTTCCTCATCATCACTTAATCCAGCTAAGAAATCATCAACTTCTTGATTTGCTTCATCCAAATCATAATCTTCAAACGATTCAATGGATCCAAATCTAGTAGTATCCATCAATGCAGAATTCAATTCCCGATCTTTATTCTCTTCTAACATTTTTAAATATTTATCTAAATCCCTTTGATTCAATTCCCAAGTTTTTGGATTCGTGGTATTTATTAAATAATCATCTTCATCAACTTTAGTCCAATTACTTAAACATGCAAATAACCAATCCGGGTTAACTAATTTAATAGAATCGGGATATAATTTATGAGCAACTCTTGCTTTAAAAGTTGGACCTGAATCTTGGGAGATATCACGACATACAACATGAGTTACTTCGGGATATACTTCATTAACTACTTTGACTCCGAATTGTTTACACCAAATTACGATATCTGATTGATCGATGGGGACACCCAAGGGGATTATACCGGAGAATAATATGGTTATCCCGGCCAATGCACGAGATTTCATTTTCGGTATTATCTCAGTTAGGTCAGGTTTCATATATTCTTCAGTTGCTTTTTCTAAGATATTATAATATTCTTGATGAATATTTACAAGAACTTTATTTAATGAAATTAATTCATTATCGTCGTCGTATAATAAATTATCATCTTCACTTTCATCTTCTTCTTCTTCTTGTTCTTGCTCATCTGATATATGACCATTTTCAGATTCGGTATGATGATGATGGTGTTGATGATGTAACACTTCTAAATCATGTTGTAATTTAGCTAATGGACGATCATGTTGTTGTTGTTCAAGATTTTGATTTCTTGATATTGATTGTTCTAATAATAAATTAGCATTATCTTCACCTCCACCTAATTCAATAATTCTTTCCACTGGATTAGAAGTTGGATGTTCTTGTTGCTTCTGTTCAAGCTGTTGTTGCTGTTCTATTGCTTGTTCTTCAAATACATCTTCTGCAGTTTCTTGAATTGGATTTTGTTGAGCTTCTAATTTTGCAATTGATTTTCTCTTTTTTGTAGGTCCAGTAATTTGTCCATTTTTTTTCGGTAAAAAACTTGAATTAATATCACCAATCCCGACAAAGAAATCATAGGGGACAACTTTAATTAAACTACTTTCCCATTGCCAAACATCACCTCTATCATCAATAATAACAACCATAGATTGATCTACTGGAAATAATCTTTTTAAGTTTTTATGAGTTAATGAACCACTTTCATCTCTACTTAAGATCCGATCACCAAAATATTCTCCCAAAGGATCAATAATTTTTGCAATTGCTAATGCATAATTTCTAGTTGCCATTGTATAAATATGCATTTCATATCTTTTTGAAATTTCTCGTAAGAATTCAGCTAATCCTGGTCTAACTTTAACATAATACCAACATTTCGTAGGAGGTAATTTTGGACCTGTCCAACCAGGGGGGATAATTGGATCTTCTTCCAAACAGAAAGTTTTAACATCTTTAACAGCAGGATAATTTGGATTACTGGGATCCAGTTGCCATTCTCCCACCGTGGGGTCAACCGTGGCATGAATTACCGTTTGATCTAAATCAACCACAAGAATCAATTTTTTTTCATCAGTTAATCGATCAGTTGTAGATTGTTCAATTTTGGCAGCTTCATTAAGACTAATTCTTAATCCAGTATTATCATGAGACATAGCAATTGTGGCCCGATCTTCATAATTATAACCGGAATAATCTTTTTCATCTTCTAAAGCTTTCCCACAAAGGGCACATAATCCACCATATTGAACAGTATGAGTACAAGGTTCTTTAATTGAACATAATTCAATACCCAGATGGGTGATTTCATCTAATATTTTAATATTAATATGATGGATTTGACCTTCAATTGGACTTTCAAAAGTACCTATTCGTTCAACTCTAATTTGAGGTGGGTTTTCATCTTTTGAATTGGGGTCATCTTGATAATCCCAATATTTATATTTGAAGATTGTTTTATGTTTTTGGACTGTATCTCCTTCATTACATAATATGGAGGATATGATTACTGGGAATGGAGCAGAAGGTGGAAGTCGGATAGGTGTTAATTCCGACATGATGGATTGTTATCTTTGTTTGTTTGTTTGTTTGTTATTGTATGGGGAATTGCCTGTTGTATTTGGTTTTAAAAAAAAAAACAATTGTTGAGAATGGTAATAATAATAATACAATTAGTACAAAAAGTGTAATGTAATTGTGTATTCAATCGATAATCTTCGTGTAGTGTGTATGTGTGTGTTAATATACTTGTGTGTATAGGTAGATGAATTGAAAGAGAAGAACAAGAGTAAAATGATGGGGGATTTTAAGTTTTTGTTTTTTTGCTGTGTAGAATTTTTTCTGACCCTTATTATTATTATTAGCAGTGCAAACAGAAGAGAACCTGAACCGTTTAATAAAATCTCACCATCCATAATAATAACCATTACTATGCCTACTATCATAAATTATAATTACTATAATCATAGAAAGAAGTATGATAATTAATTGTATGAATGTTTATAAAGTTGATAGTTAAATTAAAACTTCCTCTTATGTATATTATTAATTCTATTTGTATATATATCTACAATGATTGTAGTGGATAAGTGTAAATACTTCATATCCCAAACAGAGTTAATGAAGAGTAATCAGATAGATTGAATTGAAATGGTATATTGATTATATTCTTTTTTTTGTTAGCAAAAGATGAGCTACGATTCAACTGTAGAAAGAGTACAGGATGCGGTTGAGGAAATGATAATTTTAGATTCTAAACGAAAGATTATGATTCGTATAAAGAGTCTTGTCTCAACATCTTCATAAATTGTTATGAAAATGGGATGTCAGGATGAGTATTATTATTTTATAAAATCAGAAGTTAATTAAAGAAGCAACCATCGTATGAGAGAGTGTGAACAAAAAAACCCCGTAAATGGAATCTACATACTACAACTGAACTGACTCATAAATTTTCTCTCTTCTCTTAATACAAACATAGTCTTATAAGAAGTCTAATCATGAATATTATAAAACAAATTGGTGATAGTCATTGTCACTTAAATCCAGAATGTACCAAGGAATATATACAAGAATTCATTAAACAACTTAATTCAACCAGTGATGATTATCCTGATTATTATTTTCATATAATGACAACTCAACATATTGATTTATATTTATTAGATCAATTATTAAGTCAATTAAATAATCCAAAGTTAATTGTTCCTTATTTTGGTATTCATCCTTGGTTTAGTCATTTATTTACAATCGATGATATTGATAGTGAGAATTGCAGCAAAGAACAGAAACATAATCATTATAATAAAGTATTAAAACCTCAACCAACACAAGAATTATTACAATGTTTACCCAATCCAATCAATTTATATAACCATTTACAAAGTATAAGGAATATAATAACGAAATATCCAAATTTAATCTATGGAATTGGTGAAATTGGATTAGATAAATTATTTCGAGTACCTAATGATGGATATCATGGGAATTTCAAGTATCCAATCAAAGGACCACATAAATTATCACCAAGTAGAGTCATATTTGAACATCAACGAATTATATTCTGTGAACAATTAAAACTTGCTAATGAATTAAACAAACAAATATCAATTCATTGTGTAAGAGGACATGGAATAGTATATGATGAATTTCTTAAATATCAGAATATTCCTGCAATATTATTACATTCTTATACTGGAACAATAGAACACGCAAATGCTTGGATTAGGAAATTTAAGAAATTAAAGACGGGGCAAAAGTTATATTTTTCATTATCAAATTATATTAATGGAGATGAACCCAAGCGAGAAGTATTGGAACAACTCTTGGAAGCATTAAAAGATGATCAAGTATTAATTGAAACTGATATATCTGTTGATCGTCATTTTAATACAAATACAATTAATGAATATTTACAACAGCTTATTGATATTTATGAGAAGATAAACTCAGTGAAGGCAATTGATGCAAATCAAATTCGTAAAAACTTATTAACTTCAATAGGTTTGGATAACTCTCCTTCAATAGGTTTGTAAAATAAACAACAAAATGTCATATTATTCCTATAAACTATATATATATCTTATAACAAAGACCATTCTCTACAGATTGTCTTTTTACAAATTAGCAACTAGTTAAGATCTAGACTTAATAATGTCAACAAATTCTGGTTTCAAACTGGCACCACCAACTAAGAAACCATCAACATTAACCTTATCTTTGAAATCTGGAGCATTCTTACCATTAGCAGAACCACCATATAAGATTCTAACAGCTTCAGCTTGACCAGCACCAATGGTCTTAGCTAAATGTTCTCTAATACCTTTATGAGTTTCTTCAGCATCTTCTGGAGTAGCAGCTAAACCAGTACCAATAGCCCAAACTGGTTCATAAGCAATAACAATATTCTTCCAATCCTTAATAATAGCAGAAACAGCATCTAATTGTCTAGCACAAACATCTAAAGTAACACCAGATTTTCTTTCTTCTAAAGTTTCACCAATACATAAAATAACCTTTAAACCAGAATCTAAAGCAAATTTAGTCTTTTCAGCAATAAATTCATCTGATTCTTTAATAATGGTTCTTCTTTCAGAATGTCCAGTTAAAGTCCAAGTAGCACCAGTATCTAAAACTTGTTGTGGGGCAATTTCACCAGTATAAGCACCAGAAGCCTTAGTGAAGACATTTTGAGCACCAACTTCAACAGTCTTTTGAGTGTTCTTAGCAGCTGCTAATGCTAAATATGGAGCTGGTGGACAAATTACAACTTGAACATTTTCTGGTAAATCAGCTTTGTTTAAATTTTCAACAATTGCAGTAATTGATTCATTGGTACCATTCATTTTAAAGTTACCACCGACGAAGAATTGACGAGCCATTTTGATGTGTTTGTGTGTTTTTGGATATATGTATAATGCAATTGATTAAGAAGCAATTGAGTTAAAGAAGACGAAGAAGAATAAGAGAAAGAAAGAAGAAAGAAAGGAAATCAAAAAAAGGGATTTTTATAAATTTTTTTATTTTTCTCGGGGGTGGTGGAAAATTTGAAATTTATTTCACAACTGTTAATTTAATGATGTAACACCAAATGAACGTTAAATGTTCCACCACACCACCACCGGCTCTAAAATTTACATTCATGTGTAATTATTATTTGCCACATGCTAATTATTTTAAACTTTTAGTTCACTGGTAACGTATCCGTTACAAATTGTTAGAAGAAAAAATGGAACTATCTTTACCGGAGTTCACAAAATTGAAGTATCAGTTGACCCTCGGAGGATGATGGTCCTTTTTTTTTCTTTGTAGTTTGTTAATGGGACCATCCCTTAAAACTCCGGGGAAATTTTGTCCGTGGTGTAAACTTCTTTTCTTTGCGTCGTGTTAAAGTTCCCGTTCTAAACTTTGTTTGTTTCCCGTTCCAGAAACCAACACAATCTATCCCGGTCATCATCGTACCACGGTAAATATGGCCATGGGCCCGGACCCTCTTACAAGAACTCAATTTGAAAAATGTATAAACTTCTATTTATTTATTTGAATAAAATCAATTTATATAAAGAAATAATAATCTATGAATTCTCTTTCTCATTCATATTCTCATTCCCATTCTCATGAGAATGGGCACAACCACTACTTCCAATTTCTTCAGTACTATTAGCAACACTTTGATTATCATATTTGAATCTTGGACTAAGTTTATCTGACAATTTATTATTATTATTATTGGTATTATTATTCCCATTAGGAGGAGGATCAATTGTAATTTGAATCTTATGAAACATTTCTTGAATTCGTTTATTCTTCTCTCTAGTTGAATTTATAGCTCTCTTTTGAGCTTGAATAATCAGAGAAACATCCATATCTTCAGCAGAAAGAACATTCCATTTATTAGTATTCAATTCATCAACAACTTCCTTACAAATTTCCGATTCCATATCATCATCATCAACATCATCCCATGTCAACAAAGGAGTTTTTAAATTGAATTTTGATGTTTTTAAATTTTGTTTCATGATTAAATATTGACAATGTGGGATATTCTTTAATGATTCAAAATCTTCAAATGTCCATCTAAACCATTTCATTAAAAATACTCTTGACCAAATCCCATGAGATACTAATACCAATACATTTGGGAAATTATCAAATTTAAATTGTCTAAACAAAGATTCATTAAAACTTGCAACTCGATCATATACATCAGCAGCACTTTCTCCATAGGGAATTCTATAAAAGAAATGGCCATAATGTGCCCGTTCTTCCCAAATCTTTTCCATTTCTTCTGCACTTTGTTGAAAATTTCCAAAATCTTGTTCTCTCATTCTTGGTTCTTCTCTAACAGTATATTCAACCCCTTCCAAATCTTTAATCCCTTCTATGATATTATTACATGTTTGTCTAGTACGTAAATATGGTGAAGTATAAAACATAATTGATTTTGGATTCTTAAGATCAGAACAATTCTTATTGAAAGATTCACTTTCTAAAAAATCNCTAAAAAATCTCGTAATACTTCACCTGCTCCTAATGCTTGATAATGACCATTTTGAGTTAAGGGAACTAAATGATTGGCTGTATATCTATTAACTGATTTATCACAATTTCCTTCTGATTCCCCGTGTCTTACTATCAAAATATACTTCAAGTTTTGTTAATATAATTGTATTATAAATGTCATGAAATATTTTTACTTACTCTTGGTTTTGCCATGTTTATTCTCTCGTATATCTTGTTAGCTTTATCTATGTGTATCTTATTGCCTAAGTGTGCTTTTGATTACAAATTTATTCAAATCTGAAATTATTAATAGGGTTTATCCGTTAATGCGAAGAAGGGAAAAAAAAGTGTCTCAAAATGGATTTCGGAAACTTGGCCACATTTGGCATATATCCGAGGTGACTATGTCAGTTCAAGTTAGCTACTGTAGCTACCTCTGTTTGACATACAGAAAGTTGTGTATACAACTCTTAAGGTTTGCTCACACTTTCAAAAGAGATTCAGACATGCTGGAGGATTTAAAACGTATATAAAACGTGTATTAAGAGAGAATTAATATACAGATAAAACAAGAGGCAATCAATGGCTATCCCTAAATAGGACCACAACTCCTTTGGTTTAGTTATTAGCAGTAAACTTCTTAGCAATGACAACACTCTTGGTTAATTCTTCACCACATTTCTTCAAAACATCATCAGCTAAGACATCAATAGCATGACTATGTAATAAATTGTTAAATCTTGAAGGTTCAGAAGGTAATTTAAACATTGATTTCCATTCTTCTGTATCTAATTCCTTTTCTCCCTTTTTAGCTCTTTCTAAATTTTCTAATTTTCTTTGTTGTTTCCATTGAGTAATCTTGGAAACTTCTTTATGATGTTGTCTTTGATAATAATTAAAGTTATTTTGATCATAATTAAAGGAATCAACTTGACTATATAATGATTCTAATAACTGAGGAGTTGAGTTTTGATTAGATGAAAGTTGTAAGATATCAAGTTCTTTTTCAGTAGTTGGTACCGGTGGTAAATTAGCCAAATATAAATCAACTAAACTTTGATTTTGAATTTTTAAAGTTAATTCATCAAAAATATTAAAATATGATAATTTATTTGATTCTAAATCTTTAGATTTCCATCTACCATCTTTATAAACATTCATAAATTCTTTAGATAACCTTAAAGCTTTTAATCCAACTTCTTTACCAATACATGACATATCATGAATTAAAATAAATGTATTCTTATTCACTAATTGTTGTTGAGCTAAACCTTCAATTAATTGATTAGTAACAAAATTACCAGAAATAGTAGATTGAAACCACCCTTGGAATTCAACTCCATATCCTAATTTCTTAAAAGTTTCTAATAAATCCTTTTGATATTGTCCACCACTTCTTGATCTAAATGATCCTCCTTCATATTGATCTGGATATGGGAATGGGAATCCATGAGTGATGTCTATAGATTCATTATCATCTTCAAATCCTAATAATGCTCCTGAGAATAAGGATGGATAACTTTCAGATGTATGCCTAAGTAATGACAATAAAACACTTGATGAGATATGAATAATGTTATGTTCTTCACTGAAAATATATATTATGTTAGTAACCGTTTCTTACTCAAATGGTAAACGTTCCCAATGATTGTCTTCCTGTTATTACATACGTTTGTTCAGATGCCATGGTTATATAGTAAATATGATCTCTTTATTCCCACTTAATGTTCAATACTTGTGTTTCACCAATTCCATTTTTTGTATGTGAAAAATTTCTCACACCAAAAAAAATGAAAAATTTTATGATTACGTAAGTATTTTAGTATTATTACGTAATTAGTTATCTCATCAAAAATTTTTCACGATTAATGCGCTTTGACTCACCACCAACGAATTTTTTCTCGTTCTCTTTCCTTCTTTCCTTTCCTTCTCTTTTAAACTTTATTGAAAGGTTATCGATTGATATTTTGTAACAATGTCTGACGAAGTTAATCAAGCTGCTGAACAACTCCAAAAAACTTATTTGGATGAAGTTACCGGTGAACAAGTCTCCAAGACTGAATTAAAGAAGAGACAAAAGGCAAGAGCTGTTGAAGCCAAAAAGGCTGAAAAGGCTGCCAAAGCAGCTGCTTCTGCTCCAAAAGTTGCCAAAAAGAAGGGTGACGAAATGGCTGATTTAAATCCAAACCAATATTTCGAAATTAGATCTCGTCAAATTAATGAATTAAGAGAAGCTAATCATGCTGATCCAAAAGCTTTTAATCCATATCCTCATAAATTTAATGTTTCGATTAAGATTCCAGATTTTGTTGAAAAATATAGTCACTTACAAAGAGGTGAAACTTTAAAGGATGTCACTGTCAGTGTCAGTGGTAGAATTATGGGTAAGAGAGAAGCTGGTTCTAAATTGAAATTTTATGTCTTGAAAGGTGATGCTGTTGAAGTTCAAATTATGGCTCAAGCTCAAGATGCCGAATCTGTTGAAGCTTTTGAAAAAATGCATGAATATTTAAGAAGAGGTGATATCATTGGTGTTACTGGTTATCCAGGTAAGACTGCTCCTGCTAAAGGTGGTGATGGTGAACTTTCCGTTTTCGCCACTTCTGTTCAATTATTAACCCCATGTTTACATATGTTACCAACTGAGCATTATGGTTTCAAGGATCAAGAAGCTAGATACAGAAAGCGTTATTTGGATTTAATTATGAACAATTCTACTAGAGACCGTTTCAAGGTTAGATCAAAGATTATTTCTTACATTAGAAGATTCTTTGATGAAAGAGATTTTATTGAAGTTGAAACCCCAATCTTGAATGTTATTGCTGGTGGTGCCACTGCCAAACCATTCTTGACTCATCATAATGATTTAAATATGGAAATGTTTATGAGAATTGCCCCAGAATTATTCTTGAAGGAATTAGTTGTTGGTGGTATGGAAAGAGTTTATGAAATTGGTCGTCAATTCAGAAATGAAGGTATTGATATGACTCATAACCCTGAATTCACCACTTGTGAATTCTATCAAGCTTATGCTGATGTTTATGATTTAATGGATATGACTGAATTATTATTCTCAGAAATGGTTAAAGAAATTACTGGTGATTATGTTATTAAATTCCATCCTGATGGTCCAGGTGAAGGTGCCAAGGAATACAGTATTAACTTCGCTAGACCTTGGAAGAGACTCAATATGATTGAAGAATTAGAAAAGGTTTATAATGTCAAGTTCCCAGCTGGTGATCAATTACATACTGCTGAAACTGGTGAATTCTTACAAAAGGTCTTAAAAGATAACAACTTGGAATGTCCACCTCCATTAACTAACGCCAGAATGTTAGACAAATTAGTTGGTGAATTAGAAGACTCTTGTATTAATCCAACCTTCATCTTTGGTCATCCACAAATGATGTCTCCATTAGCCAAATGGGATAGAAATATCCCAGGTTTATGTGAAAGATTCGAAGTTTTCGTAGCCACCAAGGAAATCTGTAATGCTTATACCGAATTGAATGATCCATTTGATCAAAGACTTAGATTTGAAGAACAAGCTAGACAAAAGGCTCAAGGTGATGACGAAGCTCAAATGGTTGATGAAACTTTCTGTAATGCTTTGGAATACGGTTTACCACCAACTGGTGGTTGGGGATGTGGTATTGATAGACTTGCTATGTTCTTGACTGATTCTAATACCATTAGAGAAGTTTTATTATTCCCAACCTTAAAGCCAGATGCTTTGGTCATTAAGGGTGAAGAAGCTTTCCTTGATTTACAAAAGGAACAACAACCTCAACAATAAGTTTATGCTACCAAAATAAATTGTTGATAGAAAATAATATACAAGTGATATATGTAAGTGTAAAATTACATAATGTGGGAAGAATTGTTTATCTTCTTACTAAGTCTCCTCTTCTCTTCATTTCTAATGCTTTCTTATATGGTGGTGCCGTTGGCATTTGTACAGGTTCCAAAGCTATTCTATTCACTTCAAGTGTATATGTAGCATCAGAATCAACATCATTTATATCACCACATGCCACAAACTTGGCAATCTTTCTTTCTTCAGGATCAGGTAAATCAAAATGTTCCAAATTTCCAACTTTCCCTATATTTGCATCTTCAAAAAATTCTTCAGTTGATGTGGTTGCATCTAATTTTGGATTCCAACCTGGACGAGGTGTATATCCTAAACATACTATAAATGCTTCCAAAGATGTCCCTCTTGAAGATCTTGGCTTAGCACATATAACTTTTTCAAATAAATAACTCAATTGACTATATAATAAATCAATATCTCTCCCTCTAAAGATCTTTGCTACAAATGCTCCGCCTGGTTTTAATAAACATGTAGTTAATTGTAATGCCGATAGAATCAATTGTGCTTGAATATATTCATCTAGATCATGTAATCCAGTAACATCAGGTGCACCATCACTACATACAAAATCGGCTGGTTCACCTCCAAATATATCAAGAATCTTTTGTAATGTTTTAGGATGAGTTATATCAGCTTGAATAGTAGTAACTCCATCAATAGGAGTCATTGGTTGTAAGTCTACCGCTACGATGGTTGCATCTCGATCTTTAAGTTCACGGGCAAGCACCTGGGACCAAGACCCAGGGGCGGCACATAAGTCGACTACTCGTTTTATATCTTCGAATAAATTGAATTCTTCATTTAATTGAAGAAGTTTGAATGCTGAACGAGCCCTCCATCCTTCTTCTTTGGCTCTTCGGTAGTATAAATCTCGTTTATCTTTACTTGTCTTTCCCATAATCTTATATATCTTCTATAGCTCTTTCTCTATAACTAACCAGATCTCTCTATTCCTCATCTCTCCATTATCAAGATGGGTTTAGTTAGAAATTTTTCAATCTATGAAAAAGGACGTGTACTATGGATCAATAATTTGTAGGCCGACTGAAAAATTACTGAAAAAAATTTTGTTTCACCAAATCTGATTGTAAAGGTTTAACAGAGGAACGGATTGAAACATATATTATAGTATAAATGATAGGAACAAGAGTCAGACTTGGAAGTGGAATACTCCCCCTTAGGTCATTTACTACCCGTTCATCTGCATTACTTCAAAAGGAACAAAAAGGGTTCAAAACTCCCGAGGAATACGTGAAACAAGTAAAACAAGACAAGAGAAAACATCAAAAATTTAAAAAATCATTATTAGAAGCTGAATTCAAGTATGAACCAAAGGTATTAAGTAGTGAAAATGTCGAAGGTAAAGTAGTTCCTTTGAATGTTGAATTATTACAATATAAACCATTAAGAATAGAACCTACTCATGGTGATGAAGTTGCTACTCTTCAATTTAAAGGACATGAAGAAGATGATTTAATTAGAGCTGGTGAATTTGCTCTTAGAGCTGCTTTTTATTTAGGTATACCAATGTCTACATTGAAGTCGTTGAAAACTCAAAAGACATTATATACTGTTATTAAAGCACCATTTGCCATGGCAAAATCCAAACAAAATTTCCATAGAACTACTTATTTTAAAGAAGTGAAAGCATATGATGCCAATCCTGAATTAATTGATTTATGGTTGTCTTATATCAATAGATATAAATTGGAAAATGTTGAATATAATGCAAGTATTGTTGCTCATGAAAGTTTGACATTCCATGAAGAACTTAAGAAATTGGATGAATTCAAATTACCTGAAGCTTATGATGATATTCAAGATCCAATTGCAAAGAAGGTTAAAGAATTACTTGGATCTGCATCATTCAAGAGACATCTTTAAAACACACTGTACATATAATCATATTAATAAATATCCTATTTTCTTTGTATATAAAATAAAGAATCCTTTAATTTATCCGTAAACATCCCAATCTTTTTCTTCTTCTTCGGAATCTTCTTCTCTGGCTTTTCTAATTTCTTCTTCAATTTTCTTTCTTCTATTCTTTTCAAGTTCAAGTAAGTTATTTCTACATAATGGACAAGTACAATTCATTTGTAACCAAGGTCCAATACATTCCAAATCAAAAATATGTTTAGTTCCATTCCCACAAGGTAATCGAACAATTAAAGGATATTTATCATCTAGAAATCGATTCGTACAAATTGGACAACATGCTTCTTCTTGATCTTTTATATCTTTAATATTTATTCTTTCTAAAGTATCCAAAAATTCCAGTGGGACTCCACCATCTTTATTAGTAATTGGATCCCCCAATGATTCTATCAACATGTTTGCCAAACCAGATCCATTCTCATCACTCAATTGACGCAAGGATGAAATCAAGGCTTCTGCAGCATATGCATTGGAGGGTGTGTCGTATGGTTGTGGGGTGTTTTGTTGTAAGAATGTGTCTATAATTGAAGCTAGGGTTTCATGTTGTCTTCCTCGCCCAACATCTGTCCTGGAAGGGGTGCTACTTTCTGATATATTATGTTCCTCTAGATAATTGATTGTCAGTAATTGGTGGTTCTCGGTATCGGCTTAGTGAAGTCTACATACGTTCGTAAGTTGCCATTGAGGGTGCTGTTATTGAAAAAGAAAAAGTGGCAACACAATAGAAATATGTCAAATTAATTTGCAACAGATTTTTTTTCTTTGCTGTTGCCACCAATCAATTAATCAATCCAATACGAATTGAATAAAAGATGGTAGCTCTGAAAGAGATTACATTAAATCCCAAGACACACATTTATCGATTCCTTATGTATATATAAATATTAGACTATATAATATAAACACTAAAAGTATATACGATATCAATCCAATTTGAAAAAAACCCAATGAAATAAAAAACTCTATAATCTATCTACAACCTGTAATTAACCAATTCGCAGCATCTTCCCTCTTTCGTTTATGTCATCTTATGATTTCCACCAAGTGAAAAATAATCATCAGTAGATGAATGGGCTTTACCCAAATATAATGGAGTCATAGGTGGGTCTTCAGAAGGAGTTTGTACTGGACTCAATATTGGTGAATGACTACCATCACGATTAATAGTAGCTGTTGTTATTGTGGCATTATCATTATCGCTATCATCTGCCATGATTTCATTTATCGACCGATGGGGACGATGTAACAGTTGTGCTTGGTATCGATTTAGGTTTTGTTGTAAATGTAGAAGATTCTGGGTATGCTGTGCCGTTGCTGTTGCAGTAGTGGTGGATGGTGGTATGTGTTGTTGTTGTTGTTGTTGTTGTTGCTGGGTATTATCTTGATGTACGAATTGTAATGGATATAATTGGGTTCTACTTGTATTGTAAGAACTGTTTAATGATCGAGGTGGAGTACCTGAAGTAAGCCAGAATCTTGAAGGTGATCCTCCTACTGAAATAGGATCCAAATTTGGTGAATCAGGTACTAATCCTTCTTCATCTTCTTCTTTCAAAAGAGGGTTGTGGTTATTGTTGGCTGATTGATGTATAAGAACTGACTGCCCATTTGAATTAGAATGAGTAAATACATATTCCTGATTACATTGGATTGTAGGTGGTGATGGTGCTTTGTGATAAGTTTGTAATCTTTGTTGATTTAAATTATGAGTAAGTGAATTTCTCTTTTGTCCAAATGAATTCTTTCTATCCAAAGGGGGGAATGGTTGATGAGGAATATGATGATGAAAGAAATGATTGTATTTGGGAGAAACCCCAGAGTCATGCTGTTGTTGTTGTTGATGTTGTTGATTTAATGAAAGTAATGAAATACTTGATGTAGACGGTATCATGCGACCATCCATGGTTTGCCCTTCTGATATGGCTAATAATTCTGGCTCTGGATGATCGTCAGTATATAGCTTTTCATGATGTGAAAGATCATGTAGTAAATCGTGTTGCTCTTGTTCTTCGTCTTCTTCTGGTTTCTCCATGATCTCTTCAAAGAAGGAATATATTGGAAATGGATACCCTTCTGATGTTACATTTGATCCGCCTAATATTGATGAACTACTAGTAGTAGTAGAAGTCGAAGTAGTACTACCAGTTGAACTATGCAAAGATTTCATTTTGTCAGTGTTAGTGTTGGTGTTGTTACCTGATATTGTTGTAGTTAAAGATAACTTCTTAATCTGATTATCAATATGATGATCAGATGAATATGAATCTACCGACATTTTCCGTTGGCTATTTATAATTGTGACGGTATTAAATGTACGTTACTGTGAAGTCTCTAGTGTTAAAAGTTTCAAAATTGCCAAGAAGAATAGATTAATAGAATGTGGAGGAGGAAGGAGGGGAGGAGATATGAGATCTTTCTTTCTTCTTCTTGTTGTTGTTCTTTGTAAATTAAGTGGATGGGGGGGGTGTATAATAAGTACCGGATAATCAAATTAATTAATTAATTAAGTGTGATTATCTGTAAAAAATGTATCAAGTCTAATATGTAAATTTAAATAAAATCGTATCTAAAATTTTTTTTGGAATAAACTGTGTGGTTTTTTTTCTCACAGTAAAATTATTCTCAGTTGGTAATTTCTATCTGTTCTATTTCTTTCGTTCCTATTAGTAGATATATATGCTTTATGTATATATATGTAGGTATCTGATGTGTGTGATGTGTGTGTTCGTATTTGGGTGGGAAGTATGTCCCTTATCTATCAAAAGAGGGTATGGTGTTGGTGTTCTTGTTTGACTAAATATATTCTTATATTACAAGAAAAAAATAGGGGGGGGTTTGATTCTTTAATGGAGAACTTCTTTCTGATTTTTCTCTTTTAAATTAAAACAGAAAAAAAAAACTTTTTTCAAAAAAAAAAAATCATCATTCAAAAAAACTAAAAAAAAAATAAAAATTTCTCGGAAATTCTAATTTTAATATCTCAAATAATTTTTTATTTTTTATCTAACGTTTTTTTACTACAGCAACTGATCTTTTTCCGGATAAATCATGACAGCCTTATGCACATTAAAATGATACATATGAATATTTAAGAACTAATTTTAGCCAACTATAACCAGAAACAACAGTGACACCTCATATGAAACGCCTCACCGTTAGTCTCAAATATACATATAATCAGCTGCTTTAATGAAAAGAGATGCAAAGAGATAAAGTCATGTAAATTTTGCATTTTAAAACTTAATATGTATAGTTAACTAAATTTATTTCAAAAATATGGAACGATTCAAAACACGATGAGCACTCTATTTTTTTGTAAAGGGATCATCATTGCAAGGAGCCCCGATTCAAAAACATATCATAACTCTCTGTGAATGACCTATCTTCTGAATAATGGATTACTTGAGTCAAATAATGTAATTTAGCAAGTTTAAGCTATCTCAAAGATCATTGTTATTTCAATCTTTTGTTGAGAATACACTTCATCTTTTTAAAATACACCCCACAATTTAAAAAAAAGTAAAAAAAAGAACGAAAAACTGCGAAAGCTTGTCCGAATTTTAGGTTTTGACTAACTGGGTTTGTCCCGCTGGCCACCGTTCCCACTTGATGACCCTATTTTCGTCACTTTGCATTTTGTGGGGATGCGATGGCCTGTGTAGTCAACTACTAAAACGTCCAATTCTTTCGTTTAAACAGGACTGGCAGGCGAACTGAAACTGGAGCTCCTCATCAACCAAACCAAACTCCGATGGAGACCTCACGTTGAAATGTATGGGTTATAGGGTACAAACCGAGCAACCTAAATCGACAAATTTGTTTCCTTTCAGCTGACAGCTTTATCTAAGTCTAACAAAGTATTGAAACATTTTTATTTGGATGACTGTATCCATTTGATTTTAAATGCACGCATTTTGGCAGTCATTTATTTCTCGAAAAAAAATTGCAAAATTTGTTAAAAAGTTTCCGCTAATTTTAAATTCCAACGTTCTTTCTTGAAAGTCGTAAGAGAATGCAATGTTCGAAACTCTCAAGAGTTCATTGTTATGTCCCTCGTTTGTTCTAGGTCATTCTGCCGTTCCGGATTATATTTTCTTGATTATATTGGTCACTTTAAATACTACATGCCGTAAATGAAAACCACGCACACATCGCAGAACTCAACAATTAAAATCTAGAATACACAATCGTCCTAAAATGATATTGATAAAGAAACCAATAATCAATATTTTCAAAGCATTGGAAGTGCAGCATTTTGCCAAATCTAGCAAATGTTAACTTTAAGATTCATCGTGACAGAAAATTTGATTATTATACTAAATTTTTATAGAATATTGGCAAAGACTTCCTTAATATGGGAAAATCATTGAGAAAGCAACCTCAGGGAACTTCAACTGAATTCGAGAGACAATTCTTATTATAATTAAATGTTAAATGAATATAGGGTCCCGACCTCTTTGCCTTGAAAACACTATCAGAGAGAATCATCACAAGCGGTCGCGAAAAAAATTGACAACCCCCAATTCCCCCCCTAAGAATATAAAACCACTAATAATCTGAACAGCAATTGTATTCACTCCCAATTTCTTCCATTAAAGAAGTACCACAGTCATAACATAGATAAATAAAGCCAAATAATCTAACTTTCTTGGTCTACAATTCCTTGACACAAATATTTCTCAATATTCCCATATTGTACTCTCTGTAAACTCTAAAAACATTTGTCGATACATGCAATCACATTGTTAGAATATGACTCAATGCTTTAATCTTGTATCTATTGAATGTGTAGAGAGTAATCTAATGAAGAAGCAAAATTTTAAAGTTTGATCACATGAATATCACGCGAAAATCATGTGAAAGTCATGTGCCAAAAAATCTCCCGAAAAATTTCCAAAATCCAAAAACAACGAAGTAGCCCGTGTAGCGTAATGGTTAACGCGTTTGACTTCTAATCAAAAGATTGCGGGTTCGACTCCCGCCATGGGTTCTTGTTGCGGTTTTAGCTCAGTTGGGAGAGCGTCAGACTGAAGAGATTCAGTCACAGTTTAATCTGAAGGTCCTGTGTTCGATCCACAGAAATCGCATTTTTTTGCTATTTGAAGCAAATATTGGCATCATTGGCTATTTTTTGGTGAATTGAGCAGGTGATAGGGTCCATTTGGGGGTGTGTAATCATTTTTTGGGGATGATAACAGTAGCAGGAAGTGAGACAAAATGGTTGGTGGATGTAGTGGTTGTTGGTGTAAAGTTAAACGTTATACAACGGGAGTATTTATCGCTTATATTTTACGAAAGGTCCAAATCAACAACAGCAAACTTAACACATCGCCTGTATTCTCAATCGCACGATAGTAGAAGTTTATAATATCATTTAGAATCGTTGAATTTGATGACTTTGTCGATGGCTGCAAAAAAAAAAAAAGATTTCCTAATGTAAACCTCTGAACAAATTACAAGTAAAGTAAAATCGAAACTTGAAGGTAACTATTTATTCTTGGAAATCTAAGAGAGTGGAGTTTTTGATCTCGATAAATGTTTGATTATCCAAACAATACGGTTGGCCAAGCTCCCATTGTCAGATGTATGTCGGAAAACCCTACTAAGATAGATACAGCCAGTGTATTCCTAAACACAAATAATAATCAGATACTTAGAGGATACATACAAGGAAGGGTAATTAAAGCCATATTCCTTGATTCCATCCAACGCGGTTTGGCGATTTCTTACAAATCATGCAACTTTCAACTACAACGGTAACTTTTTAGTCTGTCACTATTAAAATGTCATTAAGGGTGTCATTGTCGTACATAAATATCTATAAACGTTTAAATAAAGAATGAAACAGCCATCCTTTAGGTAACAAACGCTACCACTTTAAAAGCAACGGGTCGTCATCGGTAGCATCAGCAAACGAATAGTATTTTTCATTCTTCAAAATATCATCATAATCAATATCTTCTAAAGATTTAATAAATTCATTATTATTTCCTTCATTATCGGTAACTTTACTTGTTATAAAGATAATATTTTCAATTAATGAAATATTAGAAATCAAATCATTTGGGTTTTGTTCATTCAATTTTTCATTCAATTTTTTTATTTCATTATTTTCAAATTCAATTGAGGCTCGATTACTTAAAGGTAGTAAATTACCATTCTCATTAATTTCTTTGATGAATTGATTCATATTATATAAATTAGATGTACGAGGTAATTTCGATATATTTGAAGAAGAACCAGCACTTGAATCCACAGTCTCCGAAGTTGTATTATTTTCACCTATAATTTCCGAGAATGAATGAATTGAACTTGAAGATAAAGAAAAGCTCTCATCATCATTCTCTTCTCCATCATCAAATGTGACTGATGATCTGTCAAAAATTGATTCTGTATTAATGTCAATTGATCTTGGAGAATGTTCTTCGGTGGTTGTTGGAAGCGTCGCTAAAGACATACTGCGTTGATGAAGGGCTTGTATTTGTTGTTGTTGGGCTTCTTTTTCAACCTCTTCTGGTCCAAGTTTCGAAGCCATAAAGTTATTGAATATCATCGAGTTTCGAAAACTCTTTTTGCGACCATGAGCAATTGATCTGACAGGAACGGTTGAATGTTCAATCATTTTATTTGTATTTAAAGTTGAATTGCTTGATTTTGTTGCTAATGGTTTTTCCTCAATTTTATTTTCTTTATCGTCATCATTGATATCTAGAGTTGATAAATGATAGATACTTAATGGACGAGATATTTTACGAAAATTGGTTGCATCTGGAGATTGTGGTTGTCCCACCAGTGGTCGTAGTTGATTCTGACTTCTTTTAGATCTAAATGCACTGAAGAATGATTTAGAATTACGATGATCTTCAATATTTGAAATGGATTGACTACGCAACATTTTTATGGGACTTGGACGAGATTTTTTGTTCAAAAATTTGCAAGGTTGTAACTAACTGCTGCTTATAAGGAATTGTTCAGGAAGAAAGGTTAGGGGGTGGATTTATGACAATGAATAGATTGAATACTGGGACTGTAATTCGTATTTAAAGCAAACAAAGTAGGAATTTAGAAAGTTGAAAAAAGGGAGAAGGGATTTTAAAGTTTAAATTTAAAAACATCAATTAAGTACAGAAAAAAAGTGTAAAAATTTTCTATTTTGCAGTTTTTTTGTTTACATTTTGAAATTCATTTGTTTACATTTTTCTTCCAGAACTCTTTTGGATGAAGAAGAAGACGCGCATCAATTTTTTACTATTTGACAGACTGATTGATAACTATTGTACGGTACAATTATACAACTATAGCAATCAGAAAAGACAATACCCAACGCTACCAAAGAATATCATATGAAAAATATATTAAACTTATCATAAGATTGCTATCCTTAATTAATTAACTTTTCATATTTTTATCAAAGTTTGAAACATGTGGATGAAAAAAGGGTTAAAATTTTTTAACATTCAATTCTTTTTTTTGGTTGCAAAAAAAGTAAACGCCCCCCTTTCAAATTAATATTTTTTTATTTTCGCGTTTTCTTTTGGTTCACTTGAAAATGTCAATTGCTTTAAACTATTTATATGAACACTGATGAATCTCCAATAATCTTTATTCCAGAGTAGACCAATAAGAATGAGAGAAATATGGATCGAAGGTTATTGGACGTTGTATAGTAGTTTTATTTTTAGAACAAAGCTAAAGCCTCTCTTTTCCCATGGATAATGATTTCCCTTGTGTCCCCTTTGAAAAATAAATTAACCAGCTCTTATTAATTAACTTAAAACAATAGCAATCCATTGTACAAAAGTATTTCAACCACAATTCAATTACTTTATTCTTAAATCCCACAAAACTGGTTCTGTATAAAGCTTAGTATCCGATGAAATTGTCTTCAACACAAAGGAGCATTGAAGTACTCTATAGTACTTGCCTTTGTCCATTCACGGCGTAGAATATCACACTAAACTTTGTACAGAACAAGATCAAATTTGCCTTGGGCAGTGGTGGACGCGAATGCCTATTGATTTACGAACTCTTGTATGCTCTTCCTCGTAGTTTGTCTAACTTTTCCAATCAATTAGAGTGACAACGGTCAAATCTATATATTTAAACGTCCATATAAATTAGATACACCCATATACTATTTACAAGACTAATTTATATTAAAACTTTCCAGACCAAAACCTATATTTATTTTGTTCATTTACTTCGAAAGCGTCATCGTACATGTGTTCTTCTGGTACATCCAAAACCATATTGAGCTGGGCATAATCAGTCAATTTTACATTTAATTTTTGTTCTTGTTCATTCTCACTTGTCCACTCCAAACAGTCAGTAATCTTTCCCTTACCTGGAATTAATTCACTTGCAAATGGTTCCTTATTATTGAAAGATTTAAGTGCAAACGTAGATTTGTCATAATAATTCTCTTTATTCAATTTATTTCCCCTTGCATCATATCCACTAAATGATTTGGCAATATAATCCATGATTTGTTGTCTTATAGCAACTTTTAAACCCTTAGGGATATACAAAGTCATTAACTCATTGGTATTCTTTCTACCAACTGGTTTAATGTTCATATATCCAATATTCTCAAATACCAAATCGATCGATCCATAATATGGTGGAATTATATACTTATCAAAATTGGATAATGTTTCCCTTGAATGATTGATAAGGAATTTCTCTTCGAGCGCCACCGGTGTATCGATTGATGAGTTTACAGCTTTTTGTAAGCTTGAGAATTTATGCAAATCTATATTTGTAACATTTCTTATTTGATACATTGAGTTTTCTGGGATAGTCAAATAACCAATCCCACCCATACTAACCACCTGTGAACCTTTGAATGATTGATACCTAGATTTATAAGTACCCTGTTTATAAGTCTGAGCGCCCTCTGTAATACCTGAAAGCATTTTACCAGTTTTAAACAATTGATAGAATTCATGAATATTTTCATTTGATGTGAAACCAGGTACATCGTAAATTGTCTTAATTCCATCAATTAAAATTGGCATAATATCACGAGTAAACCCAGGAACGTATGAAACGCCAGGACCTACCTTTTTATTAAATTCTTGAATGAACTTCTTTTTCCCTTTTTGTCTGACTATATATGGAATCTTTGATTCTTGTTCTCGTCTGTTTTGCAATTCATTATATAACATAAGTGCTTTAATCAAAGTAGATTTACCACAGTTGGTATTCCCAACAAGATATGCCAGATCAGGAATGAAAACAGATAAAGCTGCCGCATTCCAACCTTCTTTCCCCAGAGTGACGTATACATTTTCAGGGGGGACATAATATTTGGTACCCAAATAATCTCTCAAAAACAGGATTGTATATTTCTCAGATGCTGAATTTCTTTCAAATAAATTATCAGACTTTGTCATTACAAAGAAAACATCCCTGGGATTACGATATCTGAAAATATCAGGATTGATACCGATTGGGAAATCATTAGCACCAAATACGTAAACCACTGGGGACTTCATTGGAATCGTTGCCATCACAGTATTTAAATCATGAATGGGGAAATTATCTTTATTAATTTCAAACTTTGATCGGTATGTTACCAGTCTACATCTGACACATTCCTTCAAACTTTCATCAGGTTTTATTTCATATACTTTATTTGCCATCTCTTTTGATGTATATAAATCATTGCTTCGGTTGACTTCTTTTAAACCTTGAGGAGAAGAGAAATTATTGCTCAATAACAAGGCTTTATCATCTGCATCCAACTTATCAAGGAATGAACCATATACTCGATTCACATCCCTAACAGGCTTCTTTATCTCACCCGAGTCATCCTCCTCTTCTTGTGAAGAATAATAATATCCTGGCTTATTCTTATCTTTGTTTTGCAATTCGATCCCACATGACCTACATTTGGTTATAGCTAGAAACGGGAGAAAGGTTGAAGAATTAAACCGCACAAATACTCTTGGTAACGACCGTTTAATAACCCTAGTAAACATATAGTTGGATTATGGAGGAATATGGGGAAATAATGATTCAGATTAATCGAATTGATTCATAATTAATTTTTTTCTTTCTATTTCGGCTTGGTGGGATGAGGTCGCAGAGGTCGTGTACTCGGAACAAAAACCAAATTATGCTCTAATTAAAGAACGTAAATGATAAGGACAATTATATTATCAGATTATTATCATCTGGAAGTGCCATGTTGAAGAATCAAAAGTATTCAGCGTTCTTTTTTATTTTTTCAAATATTGTTAAGGGGTGGGTGAAGAATGAATAACGGGTACTCCATTGATAATTTATGAAGTAAAGAAGAGACAAAAACAAAAAGCTCCTTAAAAAATAAATAATATTTTTACGAAGGAATTTTAGTTCATTTACGTTAAATAAATAGAACATTGAAAAAATAAAATATTTTTAGGAAAAGCTTATGTATGAAATGTGACGGTACAGTAAAATCAAAATTATGCATGTTGGCATCATAATGAAAAGAAAAAAATAACAGAGTTGACGAATTAAATTATAAAAAATAAGATAATTATTTTTATTCAGTCATTAAAAAATAATCTTAAAAAATAATTTATTCATCAGAAAAGATAAGTTAAAACTTGAAATCACAAGCAATTTTATAATTTCTTGAACTATTATTTTTTTTTTTAATTAATTACATACTAGAGATAACACCCCAACCATACAGATTAATCAAACCATATGCTATTGTGACGTCAACCAAACACCCAAAACACGGGACTTTTCTGTTGTTTAGAAGCCCTCTACCGCTGACAGAAATCTATCGTTGAGTAAGTTTTGAATTATCAAAAATACTTTAAAGAATCTAGAGCTTAATAAAGACACCGCTAACTGCAGATACGACATTCAACAATTTGTTTATTTATTTGGAACGTGTTTAAGTTATGAACGCCTTTTGACTTAGTAGGAAAATTCCAAACCATAGGTTTCAACTGCATGGTTCAGTTTTCCTGTTGCGATAATACACATAGAATGGGTAAATTGCTTTACAACAACCGATACTAGCATTGCTCTAAGCTCATATGATCCATACTGGCTATCTAATCTCCAAAGACCTCACACCAAATACAAAAGGGGGTTTCATTTAATTAAAACCATTCAGTATGGGTCTGTGAAGTGGACAGTGAATATATTGTTATAAAATGAATCAATTTGGGGAATGTAAATGTAAAATTGGGTTTATTTTTTCTGAACTTTTTATTTTTTTAGAAGCCCTTTCTCTCCTGTGTTGCATATAATGTAAAATATTTTATATTCAAGATTTAGATTATTTTTTTGCTGTTGTTCGTTTTTAGTAAAGAAAAAGGAAAATCAAACAAAAAAAAATAATGCTTTTCCTTATGGTGAACAGTGAGCTCTGACAATGTATCCTTCACCATCGGCATCCTCTGTAAAAACAAAGGCAAGCTTTGCAGTTCTGCCACAATTAACAAGCGATCATACTCAATAGAAACCAAAGTTAATCAAAATCAAAAAAGAGATGGTGCAAAATAAATAATAATTAATAAATAAATTAAAAAAACAAATTCAAACGAAAGGGACATTTCATTCGCGGAATTTTTTATGCCCCTGGTTAAGCTTCATGCAAACTGCATCTACATGCACTCCCAAATATTCTTGCCGTGTATGTATGGTATTCAAAACTTGTCGAGAGAAAAGTTTCTTTCTTAATTTCATTTTTGACATTAAAATTCATATCTCTACCATGAACAGGTATAACTTACGACCACGTCCACATCTAAGATACAGCTTCCAATAGTCATTGCATTCTCGTTCGCTTCAATATATGTTCCCCTTTTTCAACAAGAAAAAATTAGTACAATTAATAATAATTTAACACATAAATTGAATTGAATCTACCATGCAATTTTCGTCTTTGTAAGCGAATGCAGTTTTGTTTCTTTGTTCCTGCAATGCAACTTTGAAATTTGTATGCCACACAAGAAATGAAAAGTGCAAAAGTTAAAAATACGAATAAATAATTTTCTCTTGAATTTCCAAAGAAAACCTTCTTTGTTCAAATAAAAATTCAGTAACCAAAAAATAAACTGAATTAACTTAAAAATATTATAATTGATACATAAAAAAATATTTCTGCGGTCCGTTTAATCCACTTGAAAAAAATAATTATAAGCAAAAGTGGCGTCGTCGAATAAATGCACAACCACTTATCGGTACAAAATTTGTGGGAAATTTCTTGTTATACTGTAAATGGGGGGAATCCGTGATTGCTAAAAGCAAGGAAGGAAATTTCAATTCTTCGAGAAAGCCAATAAGAAGTTAGCAAAATCCATTTCAATTAACAATGCATCCCTTTGTTCGACAGGGCATTCTTTTTTTTTATACTTCCGAATAAACTTACAATTAGTGTATCTTTCTTCATCAATTTCATATTTCAGAGGAGAAGGGAAATACTATGCCGCTTATGTATTTAAACCCAAACGAAAATTTTGCATGATCATCTCATCATCGACTTCTCCTTCCCTCCCCCACTTTTGTACTAAAATTTTTTGTTTCCAGTTGTTAAAAAATAAAGTTCCAAAGTAAAACTAATAATTATAAAAAATATCGCTTTTAAACTTTAAAAGATAAAGCTTGTCAATTTGCATAAAAAATATTTTTTTGTAAGTCACCACGCGGTTACTCAATTTCGCTAAACCTCAGAATTATACCGAGAATTACAAAAATCAAAAACACATGAGGGAACAATTCCTAAATTGAAGAGCTTCCTACATTTGAAACGACCAACCTAGTTTAGAGAAGCTCATGTAATTAACTGAGATCTTGATGAATTTTAAAGGGTACTTACCTTTCTTTTTTAAAGGTTTCAAACGTGGCCCTCGGCGAGTTCGATTTAGAAATTACACGTCATAATAAAGCAGCCAAAACCCTAAAATACAAACGGTAACAGGGCTCCCTTTTCTGGAAAACTTTAGGCCTTCACAGTTTGTCCCAAAAGTTTGATTTAGCAGAAGATGGCAGCAAGCTTTTGTTAATTTGTACTTAACCTTTCTAGTTTAAAGATCTGTTTATAATTCTAAGTTTTGAAAGGCTAATATTCTCAAACCCAAAATGTCCTTTTTCCTTGCATTCCAAACTTTGAAAATACTTGTGGTGGAACCATAACTTAAATAGGTTAAATATTCTCCATCCATTCGTATCAGAATAAACATAACTTGGTAACTCGACAAGAGATAAGAACTTGACAACCCGCAAAAAGAGCATGAATGCCTTCAGCTTCGTGAATGGCTTCATACGATTTGTCAAAGAAACTTGATTAATTTATAACAAACGTAAGTAGTTCTACTATAGTGTGTGTGACTCCGAACCTTAAACGCCAAGATGTGGTGGTAAATTTACGTTTCAAGAATTACATTCCAAAACTCGCCCCCCCTTGGCGCATATTTCTCAACTTCTATTTATTATTATGGGCTTTACGAATGAATGTTCCTTATTTCACAATACAATATGCTACTATTACTAAACAAAGGGAGAGTATATCCGCACTTGCAGTTACTATACAATGGATGATAATTTTCAATCTCAAGATGAAACTAATAAGCTTTTAGTTTTTTTTAATTGTTTTCTAACAAATTTTTGAGGGGGTCAAATATTTTTTTTGTCTGTTGTGAAATCAATCTAGATCAGTGCTATGTAACAGATCTGTTGCAGAAAAAAATAATCTTAACTGGGGAATATTTTTTATGCAGCTCTATTATGCATTGAATCTAAAAGTATATGCATTTAAAAAATAATAATTTTGTTCTTCGGACAATGGGACCAACAAAAGAAAAACTAAGATTTAAAATTTAGAGCAAAAAAAAATATTTATATGCATGCAAGTTAACGTATAAACTTTAATTTTTGATTTAATCTTTTTCGAAAACCAATAAATGATGCCTGAATTTAAAAGCCAAGACGGAAATACATTCCATGTCCTAATATACGCAACATTCAAATTCAAAAATGGGTCCGAAATCCTTTAAACATTATTCAGGGCAAATGATTACTAAACAATTATGTAACAAGATTCTTGTGTAAGGTCAGAAAGAAGTTTCACAATGTCTCCTATTTTTTCCCTCAACTATTATTCCATCGGAAAATTATGTTTTCTTTGACGCATAAAAAATATAATATTTTTAATTGTTCGAGTGGAAACTTAACAATGCACAAAAATATTATATTTTTTTCCAAGTTTTGAACGGAAGTTTGAGTTTTTCAATATTTTTTAAGCAATAACAATCAGAAATTAAAATTATTAAATAATAATAATTAAAAAAATAAAAATAACTTTCATGATTCCTGCTTCACACTTTTTCTGCGAATTCTTGAATTTCCCTTTTTGCCAAAAATCATTCAATTCAACTCAAAAAAAAAACACATATTCATCTTTTACTTCTTTTGCTCTTTATTGATTAGTTGGTAGTTATTAACAAAGAGACATCAAACCAGTTAAGTTAACAAACAAACAGAAGAAACAAACGACATATTTTTAACCTGTAAGTCTTATTTGCAAAAAATAATCCAGAAGAATATTTACAGCGTGAACGTTAAAGTAGCAACAACAAAAAAGTCCTTTTACACGAGATCAAGTCTAACGAATTATTATCAAAAATAGAGGTTGGTTACCTGAGCACAGCCTTTAATCAAACAAATAAGAAAAGAGAATATATATTACGATGTCTAAGAGACCCAGTGAATCAGAATCATTACAACAAGGAGTGAAACGGCAAAGCATCCAAGTACCCTTAACAGAGTACGATGCTGCAGCAACAGAGACTTGGGTGACGTGTGGTAATTGTGCCAATACTTTAGGTCTAGTAGTTCTTGCAACCAAATCATTTGAAAATGCCGTTAATCGTGATCCATCAAACCCAAGAGCATTATGTGGGTTAAGTTACTCACTTCGTTTAAATGATATTAGTATGAACGAGACCGTTGGATCTCAATCAGCAATCGAGAAATTAAATGCATCGATTGAAGCTTTCCCCCAATTATTGAAAGAAGCATCCATATTCAAAGAATTAGCCGAATGCTATTTATTAATTGGATTGAACGACCAGGCACATCAAGCTATTCAAACAGCAATACAATTAACTCCACAAGACGCATCATTATGGTTGTTGAGTGCACAGACATTGATAAGAGCTGGCGCAAGAAGTCATGCAACAGGTTCATTAACTCATTGTTTATCTATTTTACCCGACTCAATAAAGAATTTTTCTACTACCGACATTGAAACAGCAAGAGCTGCCCATGCCGAATTAGCAGCAATAGCTGCAGCTGACGGAAATATCGAAGTATCGATTGCAGAATTGACTGCGACATTGTCACTACCACCACCTCCATTAGCAAGATTAGACGAACATATCGCATTATGGTGTGCATTAGCAACGGCTAAAGAAAGAGCAAATGACATAGCAGGAGCAATCAGAGCCTGTGAGGATGCCGAAATTGGAGTAGGGACATCAGCAAGAATTTTGATGACTCATGCTTATTTGTTATTATTACACACAGAAGAAGGAAGAAAGAGTGCCGAATTCACAATACAATTACTAAGTAAGATTATCGATTTAGATTCAGAAAAGGAATTAAATCAAAATACTGCTTCCGATACAGGTGATTTCTTGCCTTGGTACCTTCTCGGTAGAGCTTATTCATTTATTGATCAACCTAGATTGGCTTATGATTCATATCAAGTAGCATTACGTCGTGCTTCAAACTCCCCAATCACTTGGTTAGCAGTTGGTAAGTTATACTTGGAATTAAAACAATTACCAGATGCATTAGCTGCATATTCCCAAGCATTAAGGTTGCAAATGGATGATGGATCACAAGGAACTGCAACTGCTTGGGATGGATTAAGTTGTGTATATGAACGTTGTGATGATCATTTAGAGGATGCATCTGATGCATGCTCTAGAGCAGCTGCATGTTTCAAAGTTATCGGTGACTTAAAAAATGCAAGTATTTTTGAAGCTAGAGCCGAAGCATTGGCAAAGGCATTTAGAAAAGAGGGTCCAGTTCCTGATTTGAGAGATCCTCCTGATGTACCAGGATTTTTATTACGTGATCTAGTCGCTCTTTCACCAAATGAAAGAATGTCCTACATACAGAGCCAACAACAACAGCAACAACAACAACAACAACAGCAGCAGCAACAACAACAGCAAGAGCAACAAGAACAACAAAGACAAGAACAACGACAACAGCAACAATTAAAACAACAAAGAGAAGCAGAGCAACAACAGACAACCCCATTACCTATTCAAAGACAACCATTACAGGGAAGTCCACAAGGGCCCCTTGTCCATCAAACACAACAAGAAATGCCAATGCACCATTATCAACAAGGTCCTCCACCACCTGGGTCACAACCTCAACAAAACGGTACACATTACTTTTATCCAATTCCAGCAGGAAAATCACCACGACTGGCCCAAATGATACCTCAATTACCAGCACCACAACAAATGCAACAACAAGCTTGGTCTCCTGCGGGTCAACAACAACCACAATATTTCTATCAAGCCCCACCTCAAGTGGGAGGACCATTGCCACCACCTACACCCCAAATGGGGCCAAATGGTGGTCCACATCGTTCTCCATTAGCTCATCCACAAATGATCCCAGGAGGTGGCCCATATCCTATGACTCAAGGAGTTCCAGGTGCAGTAGGTGGATATCCGTATGCTCAATATGTTCCTATACCAGGTGGAGTTGTACCAGAACAATATATGTCTCAAGTCAATAATTGGCAGAGATAGGTATTTTTACGAAAAGAATAAACCCTTTTTTATTGACGCTAATTATTATGTACACGTATAGTATTTAAAATTTCTCTCTCTTTAAAAAGAAGTGTATTAATTAATAAAATTAACGAGTTATTTTAATAATAGTTGTATAAAATCTGACCATGTCCCTATGTGATATTTGTTATCTTTAATTAAACCAAGTGAGTTTAACATTGACGCAAGCTTAGTGTCCTTAATTGCGCAACCGATGTCTGATTCCAATAGAGGTAACAAATCATTGGAACTATCACCAATATAAATAAGCTCCTCCTCTTCCTCCTTCTTAAGCTCCCGTACAATTCGCAACTTATCCTGAGAAATTCTTATTACCCTCTTTTTATCCCATTCACCTGTAGTTACCAATTCTCCATTTTCTTGTTTAAATTCAAGTTCATTAGTAATTACTTTGATTTTGTCATTATCTACAGTAATACCATTTAATCTAAGACACTCAATTATAATGATACTTGTCCAATTGGCACTTAAAATCACAAACGGGATTTCTAACTTCTGGGATGTTTTTAAAAAATCTATAAAACCTGGACGAAGAACAATTTTAGGAGCTTGGGATTTAAATTGATCAGGAGTTAGTCCTTGAAATATCTTATGTTCCACAATGCTATCAATTGAAGAGTTCTCAACCGACCTCAACCCATTTAAAAATTCAATCTCTCTATGAAGGGTGTCACGTTTTCCAAATGAATCTTGGTAATTGGCATATGAATCAAGGTATACTTTTTGGAAATGGTCAAAGGATGGAGTACAATCTGGTTTAAAAATATATGCAGTCTCTGCTACCAATCTTATTGTGTCTTTCACGGTTATGGTTTCATCCCAATCGCTTATTATTAGTCTAGGTTTAAGCTTTAATGATTTCAACATTTTTATACGAGCAAAATGACGATGAAGAGGAAGGGGGTGGGTCTAAAGCAGAACGAAAAATTCTGTTGGATTAAATTGAACAAAATGAGAGCATCCAGACAAACGCAACATAAAATAGCGATGATGATGATGATCAGAACACTTGACGTAACCTTGACCAAAGATCATTCACTAACAAGATTCGATCTTTAGGGGATTTGAGAGCCTAAAGTTCTTGGATCCTTGAGCACCGCCTAAAATCTTAATAATTTTCGAAGTGTTAATTTAACCCCCCCCCTTATAACCCCCCTAATTTTTTTCTCCCCAGCGATGTTACACATTTTTTATTCTTCTTGAGTACGATTATAACTAACATCAACAAAGAATGAGCAAAGAAGATAAAAAGGAATTCGGTCAATTGGGTGACCTCGACAAGAGCTTGGTTTCAAAGAGCGTAGAGACTGAACAAAAAGTTCACAGCGGTTCTGGGAAAGCTGAAAATGCTGGCAAGGTTGAAGGCAAGGTGGAAGGCAAGGTAGAAGGTAAAGTTGAAGGTAAGGTAGNAAAGCTGAAAATGCTGGCAAGGTTGAAGGCAAGGTGGAAGGCAAGGTAGAAGGTAAAGTTGAAGGTAAGGTAGGAGGCAAGGTAGAAAACGCAGGAAAGGTAGAAGGTAAGGTTGAAGGCAATGCAGGCAATGCAGGCAAAGTAGAAGGTAAGGTTGAAGGCAATGCAGGCAAAGTCGAAGGCAAGGTTGAAAAAGCAGGCAAAGTGGAAGGTAAAGTTGAAAACGCAGGAAAGGTTGAAGGTAAGGTCGAAGCTCCAGGTAAGGTAGAGGCAACAGGTAAAGTAGAAAGCGCAGGTAAAGTTGAAGGTACTGGTAAGGTTGAAAATGCTAAGGCTGTAGGAGAAGGTAAAGTAAAAGAAATTGGAAAGGTTGAAAATGCTGGTAAAGTTGAGGGCCTTGGTAAAGTTGAAACAGAAGATAAGAAGAAAGAAGATTAAATAAGTTTGTTCTAAATAGTCTAATTTGTATAAATATTTAACACCTTAATATGCCAATTGATTTGAAAAATGTTTCATATCTGGCTGATTAAGAATAAATTCCCGATATGGTTAATTTATTTATTCCATGTGAATTTTGAGGATTTGACCATAAATTTGTTTTTGTAGGGTCACATTGCGAAATACCGACAAATGAAAGATACCTTGATTTTCTATTTTGAATAAACAAATTACAATTGCAGCTTCTTTCCTTTTGTAGACGATCAATCATTTATACCCAATGACAGCTATTAACGAAAAGCAACAATCACAACAAGATGCACAAACAGGAGAATTCGATTCAAATGAATTTAATCATCTTTTGGAAATAACTCAACTGATTTTGAATCCAAATGGTGAACATCCTGAGATTGGAGAATTTGTCACCACATGCTTCCATTATATCGCCCAGGCTTTAGCAAAAATGCAATCATCGACTGACAAGCAAGCCACCGCCAAGGAGATTGCCGACGATCTTACTCAAAGATTTAATGATTGGGTAAAAAGTAGGGAAGAAAAACTAAAACAGGAACAGGAGATGAAAGAAAAGCTGGTACAAGAACCAACTGAAACTGGCTTCAAGTAAATCATCTTTGGGAAACAATGTATACAATCCTTATATCCATTACGAGTGTTTTTTTAAAAGTCTCGTAGCGGACTCAAACCATGTATTTTATTGATATAGCAAGAATATGTGTAAACTAATTAGCTATTGAAAGTGAACTAAAAGTTGTTTATATTTTTATTACTCCTGCATGATCTACAGATGATTTTATTTACTTAATAGTTAATGTGTATTGTTAGCACTAAATATAAAGTTTATAGAACTAATAAAATGAATAAATTGATACCGAAAGTCTTTTTTGAATGAACAAAAATAATTAGAGGGAGATGGGATGCAGCCGATCAGATTCGTAGTACTGATGGTGACGGTAGAACAAATTTTCAGTGGGACTGAAAAATTAATTTGATTACCCGGATTTTGCGATGAGGGTTATTTTCAATCAAATAATTTATCTATTGGAAAGAACTATAATATTACCTTTGAATAACTAAAAACTAATCAAGAGAAATGAGTTCCGTTCCCGCCTGGAAGAGAATAGGTTTAAGTGTGAAGAAAGATGCTGACAATGATTCTTTAAGTGTCACTACAACTAGAGTTGAAAATGCAGATTTAACAACCAAACAAATCAAGAAGATAAGTAACAAGACAAAGACACAACAAACTAAGAATAGAGTTCAAAAGAAACCTCCCAAAAGAATAAAGTTGCCAAAAAGTGAAAGACCACCTCCACCGGTGAAAGACCAGTTAACATACTTGAAGCAATATGAGACTGACCGAGTGAATTGGAAGTTTAATAAGCTGAAACAAAACTGGGTTCTTAAGAATATAAAAGAAATCCCCAGTGAATATGAACTGGCATTACTTTTATATATTGAAAGTTTACAAGGTGGGTCAAGAGATAGAATTATTCCAATTTTAAAAGATGTTATTTCAAAATGGAATGTTCAATACGAAGAAGCTGAAAGAAAGATTGAAGAAGAAATTTCAAAGAAATTAGATTCCAATAAGAAGGCGGAAGCCGAAGAAGAAGGAAAGAAGGAGCAGACAGGTGAAAAACAAGAGGATGATAAATCTAAAGAATCCTCAATAGATTTAGGATATGCAATTAGGTGTAAAGCAATTCTTGAAAAGTTAGTTGATGAACATATCATACTTAAAGGAAATACTCAAGAAGATAACGAATCAGTAGAAGAAGAAGAAGAAGAAGAAGTCAAGCCAAGGGATAATCTAATCATTAATCATGTAGATGTATAAAACTTTCGTAAACTTAAAAGAAAATATGCCCCTGGCAACAGAAATTTATCACATTGTCTCTCGCAGCCGCACGCTCTCTATAATCGCCCACCAACCAAAAACTTAATCCAAATTTTGTGTATAGTTGGTTGCCTTTTATATTTTATCATAACAAGACATTGAAATTAAAACAAATCCATCTCGTAATAAACAATGCTGGATATAAACTTCAATTCATTGAAGGATAAGGCAATGGATGTCGACCCTGACATCAGATTTATGGCTTTAGAAGATTTCCGTAAATCTTTAGAGAATGATTACGCCCTCCTGACACGAGGATCTTTAGCTTCACAATTGGAAGCATTCATCCCAATTTTACTTAGAATGTTGGAAGATCAGAATCCAGATGTTCAAAATCAAGCTATCAAGTCATTTGAACCAATGGTGAAATATTTAACTAACGATGGTCTTTTAACTCTTATTAAGAGATTATATTCTATGGTACAAGCAAGTAATGGAAAACAAAATGGTTCATCCAATTTGAAAAGTTTTACAACTTCAATTCCCAATATGGCACTTCGTTCATTATTTGCTCAATCAAATTCGAGAGACACTTCAGATTTCGTATCTGATAAATTATCTGCATCCAATTACCGATTTGATGTTCAACTTTCTCGTTCCATTATGAATTTCTTAATTCCAAAAATTATTGAAACGGGAAAAGAAGCATCAATTGATTCAATCGAGTTATTAATCGACATTATTGTTGAGATTGGATATGTTTTGACTTTACGTGAACTTCATTCTTTATCGGTTTATTTAGTTCATGTGTCTTTTACCGAAGCAGGAATTATTAGTAAGAAATCAATTGTTGCATTAGAAAAAGTTATTAACTTGATAAATGATCCTCATAGTATAGATTTGGTTCTAGATGAAATTAATGATACAGAATCAAGATCAAATTCAGATAATAAATTGTTTGTAAAGTTTCAGTTATATTCCGTTTGCTTGAATAGAGGAATTGCACCTTCAGAAGAGAAAATCACACAAATATACAATACCATTTATTCCACCATTGATATTGAAAAATCTATAGAAGAAGATCAAGAAGACGAGAATGAATTAGATTTTGATCTTATCTTACAAGAGAATTTATTAAAGGACGAAGCATTAGGTACCCTAATTGATTTAACCACAAAAGGATTCTTACCACCCGCAAATGGCAACCAGGTCATCGATTTGCTCAAGGCATTCTTAAATTATGATCCCTTAAATGCTAATGACTACGATGACTTTGACGACGACGACGAAGATATCGTTTTTAGTGATGACGACCAAGAGGGAAATGATGGCGAGGAAAATGATGGTTCCTGGAAGTTAAGAGCTAAATCAGCAATGCTAGTCCGTCCACTACTCCAATGGTTCCCGGAATCTCTTGAAGTTCTTTCGAAATCAATTCTTCCAATTTTGCCAATTCAAGATGCTAATGATCAAGTTGTTATTGAGGCCGTCAAAGCCGCAATTTCGATTATTAATGCCACCCCTATAGACAAGTATACTCATATCCAAGCAATTGTCCCATTGATTAACGCCCTGCTTGACAAACTCAGAGAAGATCAGTTTCCTATTATATTGAAATTAATTGAGAGTTTGAATAGATTCAGAAGAATAGAACTTGTAGAAAAATCTTTCAAGTGTTTTCAAGATAGAAAAATCGACACTTCCAGTTCAATTGATTATTTGCAATTCTTTTCAAGCATCTTAAATTCCTTCGAGAATATCCCTTGTCAGATTCTCGAGCAAATTGTTAGTGTATTGTCGAAAAATCTTGAAGATAAATCGTTCAATATGATTGCCCAAAGTGTTGAATGCCTAACTGTGTTATTCAACCACAACGATGCAAAAGAGGTTCCAAGTGAGTTATTACAAACCGTAACTGACAGTTTACATTCCAAGGTAATGAATAGTAAGAAATATACAAATGAATTAATGCGTCTCTGCATTGTTGCTCTTGGCCAAGCCTTATCGAATGGATTATCGGTATCAAGAAAGGATATTTTGGACACTTTCAAGCTGTCAATTACCTTAGAAGGGACTTGCAAAACAACCATCGAAGTGCTCAATAAAACATTTGCAGGTATTTCAGCAGATGAAATTTCTCCAGATTATGCTACTTTTATTATTGAAAAACTGAGTAGCTTGATCCTTTCTAACAATGAAAATATTTCTTTGGGATCCTTGAGAATAATGAACCAATGCTTACAGAAATACCCAGCTTTGGAATTAGATTGTGGTTTGATATTACCGAATTTAATACAATCTCTAAAGAATTCCAGCAAATCCCTCTATAAGCACATTTTCCAATCATGTATTCTTCTTTCCAGTAAGATCTTTCAACTGGAACAACTCAGGGTTGAACTTCTCCAAACAATGGTTCAATTGGTTAATGATGGCAAAGTTAATGTCGATGATTCCACATTTTATGATTTATTAAGAATTAGTTGTAGATTTGAGAATGGCTTATTCACATATTTGGAAAGAAATTTAGATATCAATCTTTTGACAAGTGCAAAGATTTTGGCAATTTGTGTTGTTGAAAGCAACAATGAAGCGGAAGTTATCAAGAGAAAGGAAGAATTTTTCCACTACTTAGCAAACAACGTGAATAGCCCCTTATTTGCTTTCCCAATTCGTTTCCTTGGATATGTGGGAGAGGCAGTACCTCTCGAGGATATAACAGTAGATTTGCTCATAAGTTTATTGAAGAATCCATCCCTTACAAATGATGCTAATATTGAAGCTACAGCTACCGCGTTAGCATTAATCGCCCGGAATGACGTCCAATCAAATACCCCAATTTTGTTAAAGGCATATACTTCTTCTGAAAATGCCACCGTGAGAAATGGGCTTCTTACCTCCTTAGGACTGGTTGTCGATTCGTGTAACGCTTTGCAGCTGGAACTTATTTGGAAATGTATCTTCAACCATCCCGTGGAATTCAAACATTCTGCTATTGCGGAATTGAGGAGATCTGGTGAAATATTAGGCAAGGTTATAAATAACTCACCTACAGGAGCAGAGAAATTATTACAAGCATGTGAGGGACAAACCAATCTCAAAGCTGTATATCTAATTCTTGTTGTTGAGAAAACTTTGCTTAATAGCCTCGAAGGCTCATACGCTAACGACGCTTTGTTAATCTCATTAAACCAATTTGCTGTTGGATGGCTAGATATAGTAAATGTGGACATTAGACAAATCGTGGTTGGTAATTTATTGACTGGTCTTCATAATAAACCTTCTTGCATTTTACCAAACTTGAAAAATCTCATTCTTCCTAAGCTTTTTCAATGTTTAAAAGCTGAAGAAGCATTTAAAAAGACTATTGCAATGGGCCCATATAAGTATGTCATTGATGAAGGTTTGGAAATAAGAAAGTTGTCTTATGAGTTCATATATTCATTAATTTCTTTGGATGAGGGAACTATCCAACAGTATGATATCAATCTTGAAGATATTGCCGAGAATATAATTCAGCAAGGATTATGTGACGATCAAAGTGATATTATTGTATTGGCATGTATAAATTTAGTTCATTTTATTACCCACCACCAGCAAAGTGCAGCCAGTTTGCTTACGAGAGATAATGGTAGTTTGTTCACGACAATTATTGCCAATTTGAACACTCAATTGAATAAGAAATTATCCGTAAAAGCTTCAGCACAAGATACAGAAAGTCACGAGGAGAGAATCAAATCAATTGTTAAATTATCCAAAAAGTTTAATCAAGTTGTGGAAACATTTTATTCTGAAAACATTGAACTTGTTAATTTAGTACAAGCTTGGAAGGATTATGTTAGTGCATTGAAAGTCAAGTTCTTGGTTTACTATAATAGTACTGACATGGATTAAGGTCTTTCTTTTAACGAGAGATGTCTAGAAGAAGTAAGTAGAAATTTGTAAAAGTTTAGTTTTTTTAGTTTAAAATTTTGTAGAAAAAATTGAAGAAATTGTTGCAAAATTTTCCAAAGTAATTCAACTATTTACATTCTATTGTTATACAAACACTTTCAAATATCTACACACTTATTCATTGATGCAGGAAGAGATAGGCGTTGATACTTTGAAGAGTACTTCTACTTGGATTAGCATTAGTAATTTGAGATAGCTTGCTCAAATGTTGTTTAACCAAGGTTTTGCTAATTCTTGATGACTCTGATGTTCTTTCCCAATCTGAATCGAAGAATTTGCATAACAATACAAGTGCAAACCCAATGCTTATATCACGGCCCGTCTCACAAAGAATAATACAGGATGAGCCAGATGATTCAAAATCTATACTCAGACCTATTTCGGGTAATTTGCTTCTTAAAATATTTGAACCCTTTTTGTTAGCTGCTATTGGATACTCTAAGACATTGTTTACCTTAGTAGGAGGAATATTTGCGATCTTATATTTTTCACTAAATACGACAATGGTTGGATTTGATGTGCTACCTATCACCTGTTTATAGTCCATCGTAGAATCGATTTTCCCAATGCAAATTCCTGTTCCTGCAAGTTGATGAAGTGCAATATTCAGTTCATATCTAGATTCTCTCGAATCGTACCAAGTATTTAACTTTTCAAACAATTCTATGTCAGTCATCCAACTATAAATAAACCCAGTGTTGCAATCTATAATATTGCTATTCTTATCTAGGATAGCCTTCCAAAATAAATTAGGTCCAAAACTTCCTTTGCACAAATCGGTTGGTACCCATAATTCGTGGTCATCTCCAGATCCCTGAATATAATTCCAATTTAAGAATGTATCATCCATTGTTCTTATGCTGAACATCTCATAGGAACTTTCGACTTTCTTAGATGCTGATATGCAGCATACCTGATACATAGAGTCTGTGGCCAACGGTGTTCCCTTTCCTGGATAAAACCAAGAAGGCACCAAGGGCTTGCGTTTCCCTCCAAGCATTTCTAGAAGAGTCTCCCTGTCAAATAGACCTGCGCTATACACGGAATCCCTAAAACTAGAGATTAGTTTAACAATGGAATTATGCTCATTCTCGGAAACCATGCTCTTCGGGGTTCTGAGCCAATTATCTTTCATTAAATCTAGGAGAAATTCAATCTCATCTTCATCAGCCCCATCGTTTTCTAGTTCCTCTTTTATCAGAATTTGATCCATTCCATCATAAAGAATAGAATTGATAACGGCACACCAAATTGGAATCGTTTTCAGCAAGGCATCAGGCATCAACTTCCCTCGTCTGGTTGAATCGATAATCGACAATCCTCCAAATTCTGAAAGCAAGGGTAGTAGTTGCAAATTGAGTCTTCGCAATGAAAATGACCAAACATTTGTATGTCCATCTGTACTTTTGAATACAGCCGAGGTTGTGGACTTGCTCTTGAATATGTGATCTAAGTAGTTTGTCGTTGGTGACTCTATACGTTGAGCAGAAGCTTCAGCTGATGTCTTTGGAACATACCATAGACCACATCGCTCGTTCCCTACTAGTGGGAAGTTGGGTAATATAGTTTCATGAAGGTTGGAAACATAATAGTAATCATAAAGGATTGATTGTAATCTATTAGTTAATGATAAAGAAGACTTCTTAAGACTCTTACTGACTTCATTAATGTCATTTATTTTATTAAATATTGGGTCCATCTACTTTTGCTCATCGTATCATCAGATAGAGGATACTGACTAAAAAAAAAAATCTATACATAATGAGACTAATCTAAGATCTCTTTGATAATCTAGCTCTTTTAAGCGAAGCCAAACGTTTTTCTTCTTCTAATTCTCTACGATCTTCCAATTCTGCATTTCTCCTTGATCTATATTCTTCTTCCAAGATCTCAGCACCTGTCGCTTCCATATCGTCTGCTGAATCATAATCATATCTATCATAATGTGACCGTTTTTTCCCTCTATTAAAAATAGCCCAAATTTCATCTCTATCATAATCTCCACCATCTCCTTCATATATTTCTTCTTCCTCATCGGAAGCTATGAATGAGGATAGTTCATCGTCATCGTCATCCTCAACTTCATGCACTTCACGCGACTTGTGTTTTCTGTGTTGTTCCTTCTTTTCTTTTAATTTCTCTTGAATTTTTGCAGACGGCTGTCTTACAGGTAAAGGTGCTCTAATATTCTGTTTTACTTCCTGCTGAGGACTAGGTCTACTATCCACTTTCTTAGGAGGAGCCGGAGAAGGCTTTTTAATGTCACGTTTAGTTGCAGTTGTATTTGTTTTATTAGGATTATGTGGTTTTAAACCACTTGCTTCTGGTGACTTGTTCTTGGATGGAAAAGTTATTGAAAGCTTATCTTGATCAATCTTGGACGCTTTTTTGATCAACTCGCTAAAGTTCATTTTCTTCTTTGGTTTCAATGATTGTGAAGGTGGAGGTGGAATGGAAGGTGCTGAGGATACAGGGGTGGATTTTCGTGAGGTTCTAGGTTCTCGTTCGCCTTGCTTCTGGATGTTCTTTGCAGTCTTACTCGACAGTTTTGGAGCTTTTGGAGGTAAACCTTTTTTCAACCTTGCCTCTTGCTCCGCCTTTTCTTTCTCTAATCGTCGCTTTTCCTTTAATCTAGCCACGACAGGATCGACTGGCCGGTCTACTCTATTAGATGCCTGTCTCTGTCCTGATATGCCATCATACTTTGACACCGTTTCACCTGCAGCTACGGGTTTGGGTTGTACCTTACCCTTTTTGTTTATTTGCAGTAATATAGTAGATAACCCCATACTGATGTAATGAATAAAGTTATGCTTAACCCCAGACTTTTGAAAAGAATGGAAAGTTGTAGATTGTGCTGGGTTTTGGACAAGTTTCTTTTTTGCTGTTTTGGGTGATGTTGTTGATGCGAGTTCAAATGGCACCAGAAAAAAGATTTGGCTGGTAGCACTGACACCATGGTAGAATAATAACCAAGCAATTTAGAGGTTTGCATGTTTCATTATCATTTGACTTAAATAATAATAAATAATAATAAAATGGGGGAATATAAACAAGATGTATAAAAACTTACATATACATAAATATAAACTTAACTATAAATATCTAGAATTAATCTTTTTAATCCTTTGGACCAATCATCTTTTCTGGTCTAACCCATTCATCGAATTCAGCTTCACTTAAAACACCCAATTCAAGAGCAGATTGCTTTAAAGTTAAACCCTTCTTGTGAGCATTCTTGGCAGTCTTTGATGCAGCATCATAACCAATCTTTGGGTTTAATGCAGTAACCAACATCAATGATTCGTGTAAGGTCTTTTCAATCTTTTCTTTGTTAGCTTGAATACCATCAACACAGTTAGTTCTGAAAGAAGCAGCACCATCAGCAATTAATCTGATTGAAGATAACAAGTTGGAAATCATGACTGGCTTGAAAACATTTAATTCGAATTGACCAGATGCACCAGCAAAAGTGATAGCAGCATTGTTACCAAAGACTTGACAAGCAACCATGGTTAAAGCTTCGTTTTGGGTTGGGTTAACTTTACCAGGCATGATTGAAGAACCTGGTTCGTTTTCTGGTAAAGATAATTCACCATATCCACATCTTGGACCAGAACCTAAGTATCTGATATCATTAGCAATCTTGTATAAAGAGACAGCAACAGTGTTTAATGCACCAGAGGCTTCAACAATAGCATCATGGGCAGCTAAAGCTTCAAACTTGTTTGGAGCAGTCTTGAATGGGAAACCAGTCAATTTAGAAACTTGTTCAGCAACCTTGGCATCGTATCCCTTTCTAGTGTTCAAACCAGTACCAACGGCAGTACCACCTTGAGCCAAGTACAATAAGTTTGGTAAAGTCTTTTCAACTCTTTCAATACCATTGGTTAATTGTTGGACATAACCAGAGAATTCTTGACCTAAAGTTAATGGAGTAGCATCTTGTAAATGGGTTCTACCAATCTTGATGATATCCTTGAATTCTTCAGCCTTAGCTTGTAAAGAATCACGTAACTTGGTTAATTCTGGGATTAAAGAATTGTTGATTTCAGTAACAGCAGCAATGTGCATAACGGTTGGGAAAGTATCATTGGAAGATTGAGACATGTTACAGTGATCATTTGGATGGACTGGCTTTTTAGAACCCAATTCACCACCTAAAATTTCGATAGCTCTGTTAGAAATGACTTCATTGGCATTCATGTTAGATTGAGTACCGGAACCAGTTTGGAAAACAACTAATGGGAAGTGTTCGTCCAATTTTCCTTCAGAAACTTCAGTAGCAGCTTGTTGAATGGCTTGGGATAACTTTGGATCCAAAGCACCTAATGATTCATTAACAATTGCAGTAGATTTCTTTAAGATACCAAAAGCTCTAACAACCGGAGTTGGCATACGAGCAGCTGGACCACCAATCTTGAAGTTCATTTTAGATCTAGCAGTTTGAGCACCATAATATTTGGAACTGTCAACTTCGATTTCACCAAAAGCATCACTTTCAATTCTGGTGCTTTGGAAAGCAATAGCGGAGTTGGAGAAGGCTCTGGATGAAACCTTGACTGAGTTTTTGGTAGTTAATCTCAACATGATACTTATTGTAGTTTTCAATACAAATCAAAGAAATTGAAGAAATCGAAATTCAAAACTTCTGGGGTTGAAAAAAAAAAAAATTCGGTGGTTCTTATAAATTTAGTTTTTCAACAATTTGTCCGGTAGAAATCGGAAAACTTTAAAAAATTTAGTCCGGGGATTAAATTTGATTGGCTGAAAAGAAAAAAATTGCGGAAAAAGACAAATGCGTTGGTTGCAGGCTGCAAAATAAAATTCTATTGATTAAATGATTTTCTATTTACAAATAAATAAATATGTTTACCTTTCGAAACGTCTTCTAAACTCTATTAATTCCTCTTCAGTGGGCCATTCCCAGTTCGTTTGTTCATATGCCACACTTTCTCGTCTAAGCTTTTCATGATGTCTAAGATGCCTATCAGAAAATTCCCGTGGAAATGCAATAAGAAGCATCATGAGGGTTCCTTTATTGGGAACAAAGTTAATATCCTCCCACCATTTCAAAATTTTTGATAGTTCTGAAATATACCCATTCTTCATTAGCAACTTTATATACGCCCTCCACAAATCGTTGGTAGGCGTTAATCCAAATTCTAGATCGTTAGCTCGATATTTTACATGCGAGTGAAATTGAATAATGGCCACTTGCTGCGGCGAAAGATCATCCCATGCCTGATCAATCTCTGTGCCAGCGGCTTGGATTAGGATTTTTAAAGACTTCTTGTTTGGGGTTAAGTTCTTATCCAACAATTCACGTTTATATACCTGATAAACATTCTTTGGATTCATTTGGTATATCCATTCTAGTATCATACCTATTTCAACCACGGAACGCATTGGGAAATTTGTATGCATTAGGCGTACCGAATATTCCCCTAGGTTATCAAATATATCATTTTCGGTTTCAGAATTACCTTCATCCCAAAAATGCAACAACTTACATTTCCTTCCCTTTCTTTTATACCTATATAGCAATTGGATATATTTAGGAAGAAAAGCACTAATAAGGTTCCCAGATTTTTCTTTCTTGCTTTTCGTCATATTGATCATTTCCTCCAAGATTGATATGTCATAAACTGGACGCAACAATGCATTAACAATAGCTCGCAGTAGAATCGCATCTGAATCAACTATTCTTGAAAGTATTTTCAAACTTCGATTTGAATCAAGTAAGCCAAAAGAATCTAGTTTCCTAATGAAAAATAACCATATGTTAGTTGACTTGTTACACTGCGTGAACGCAGTATCGAATTCCTCAAGCAATTCTTCAGGAGATGTTGCCAAACAGATTTTACCAATGTGATAAGCAACCAGTTCTTTTCTAGACGCTGCATCTCCTCCAAGAAACCGCTTTTCAACAATATCCATTAATTTCTTCGCCTTTTCCGGAGAAATATCTGCCATCATTACGATTATACCCATATACGCTCGGAAATCCAATTCCTTATAAGCATTCAGTCCGTCTGTTTCAAGAAATTTCACTAGATGCTCTTGGGTAGTAGCTATCTTAACTCGATCTAATGATTTTTGACGTGCAGCATATTCCGCAATCTTCCAAACAAGGTAATTGATAAATGCATTATCAAATTCAATATCTACACCCTTTCTCTTAGATTTGCAAAACTGAAATGTACTTTGAATTATATCTTCCAATAAGTCTGGTTCGAATTCTAAACTGTGAAAAATTAAGTTTTCTAAGCATTTCTTTAGGATCGAGGGATTCAGCAAACAACACTCGGAAAATGGCTTTAGGTTATGCTTCCATAAATCTAATTGGAGAACAAATTCTTCTTTAAATAGGGGATTCCTACATAGTAAATCAAATAGAACAAATGCTGGAGGATCAACCGACTTGCAAATAAATGAATGGCTTTCTCTAATTGAAGGTGCAGTTATTGATTTCACCCAGTTGATTAGATCTCGTTTGACAGTATGGGGCTTCCCCAATTTCTGATTGATAAAGTAAAAAGATAGTACTCCCAACTCAATAGCTCTTGGCAACGAATCCAAATAGATGACACTCTTTAATAACCTCTGTGATTCTTGTTTTATATTCAACTTGAGCTCGGATTCTATTAGCTCTTGAATGCTCTCTAAGGAAGAGTGATTAGTCATGACACTTAAAAACCGTTCAAAAAAAACTTCCTGGTCTTTTATGTCTAATTCTGTTTCCACTTTGCTAAGTCTCTCAAATGCAAGGCATATCTGGAATACTATTGGTTCTAATAATTCTCTTTCTAGCTTCGTATTTGACATCTTGTGTGCATTTGTTGGTATTGACGTATTAACATCCAAAGGAAATTTCTTTTCGATTTTTAGTCGACAATATAAAGGTAAGTTCATGATTCTAGGTTGAATTTTAACTCTTGGTCGAGTATAGTTCTTTAATTCATTATTTAATTTGGTCGGTATTCTTTCGAAGCTTCGATGACTTAGTAACGATTTTGTTGATGCATATCTCAGTAGAGTAAGCAGGACACTATTTTGCTTGAAATGGGTTCGTCGTATCACACAGAAGTTTATCATATTACTATCATATCACTATCCCCTTTAGTAGTTGCTCTGTACTTTATAGTTCTCGAAATCACTGGTGATGGTAGAGGTCAGAATTTTTCATTAATTTTTTTTTGGTGGTAGAATTGAGTGGTACCTGGTTTGGATCAACTTACTTATTAAGATATCAAGAGATGTACAGATTTCAAAAGTATAGAATATGTCAAAAATAATACTATTAGAGATTATTGTATAGGGAATATAGATACTATGTCTTTTAACTCAAGTACCCATTAAACCAGGTAGTCTTGGCCCGCAATGCTTCGCGGGTGCAATTATCGGCTACCACGAAATATAAAATTCGGTTTTTCTCCCCGTAGAACGATTTTTGCCACAACGATGAGCCAACAAGGAACATGTCAAATCTTATTTCAAATGAGCAATAATTCTAGAATTGAATATAAACAATTATTGAAAGTGGCCAGAAACGATTCCAATGAAAGCAATAAGCCAAGGAAGAAAAGAAGGACTACAAGACCTGCAACCAATACGTTTGAAAATCAAAACACAATTGAACTAGCAAGCAACCCTGAATCAAGTTCAAACCCCACCGAGATAATTAACCTAACTAGCAGCTCCAACTCAGATGAATCAGATGAATTTGAGGATGTTAGTTTGATACCCAATTTGACTCAAGCAATCGGACAACACTCAATCGAGCAAGACTCCGACGAGTCGGAAGAATTTGAAGACGTGGATCTTAATAATGACGCGTTCAACATTGGCTTATCTACAAACGCTACTATTTCCAACCGTGATGAGGTCTTGACCATCCCAATTCAACCAAATTTGGAAGTTACTCAAAAAAAGAAAAGAACTATAGTGAGTATTGAAGAACGGACTCGACGATTACAAATCCATCGCCTGTATATTCTTTTCATGGCAACGCATGGAGCGATCCGTAACTCTTGGTGCAACAATAAGTCACTCGCAAGTGCTCTAGCAGAAATATATTTGGATGACTCCATTAGGAAACTAATTAAAGGTGGTGATAGTGAGAAAGATTCCAATTCAGTCCGTTCAAGAAAGTTGCTCGATGGGCTACACAAACTAATGAATCGATATAACCTGAAGTTTCGGATCACATCGCAAGGATTGATACGCAAGAATTGGAATGAACTTTCCAAACGTCAAAACAGAACCGAGACTGTAAGTGCTGGTCAATTCAGAAAACTAATCATTAATTTTCGAGGTAATAGAGACATAGCAGTTCAGGGCTTCGTAAGTCTATTAAGAGGACTAGGATTGAATGCGAGATTAGTATTTTCTTTACAACCTCCTGATTTTACAGACTTGTCAGTAAATTCTGGACCGGATATTGCAGAAGCTACAGAATGTAAAAGTCTTCCTAATTCAATTTCAAATAGCCGAGACGAATTTTTGTCTCAATCCAAGAAACAGAAACAAGCAAATGGCATGACATTTACCGAGTCACGCTTTCCAGTTTTCTGGACTGAAGTTTGGGATAAACATTTAAGAAAGTGGGTCAGTATAGATCCCATAGTTATGAAATCCATTGAGGTTTGTCCCAAGAGAAGGAAATCACAGTTTGAACCACCATCTTCAGATAATAGGAACCAGATAACTTACGTTCTTGCATTTGACAAGGCTGGTCGGGTTAGAGATGTCACTCGAAGGTATAGTTTGTCATATAATGCAAATACAGTAAGAAAACGTATAGAGTCAAGATCAGAAGAAGACGCCCACTGGTATCGAAAGGTTTTAAAGGCTTGCAGCAAGAGAAATTCTCGTTGCTCAACAGATATATTCGAGTTAAAGGAATTCCACGATCGTGATTTGGCAGAGGGAATGCCCAATAACCTACAAGCATTCAAGAATCACCCACTTTATGCCTTGGAATCGCAAATTCGTCAGAATGAGGTAATATATCCCAAAGACAATACCACTAAATGTGGGACCTTTCGCTCGCGGACGGCAACAAAGGTAATACCAGTATATAAAAGATCAAGTGTTCATCATGTGCGATCTGCAAAAGCTTGGTATTTGAGAGGACGAGTATTGAAAATCGGAGCACAACCATTGAAAATCAAGGAGGCTGCAGATCCTTCGGATAATATTAGGTTATATGCTGAATTTCAAACAAAATTGTATATTCCAAAGCCAGTAGAGAACGGCATCGTGCCGAAAAATGAGTTTGGAAATGTTGATGTTTATACTGCAACCATGCTTCCAGACAATGGTGCTTTGATACGAATAGGCCCCAATTGTCCAATGAAGCTCCTACAGACAGCTGCTAGGATATTAGGAATTGATTATGCTAAAGCTATAGTGGCATTCGATTTTGGCGCAAAGCTGAAAAGAAGGAGAACCAATGCAACTGCAAGAGAAGGTGGTATTGTTATTGCTGAAGAATACAAGGAAGCTATGGATATAACTGTTGAGCATCTTATAGAAGACGAGTTAGATCAGAAACGACAATTTATGGAAATCAGTGCTCTAAACAATTGGAAATATTTTTTAACTAAACTTCGAGTTCAAGCACGTGTAAATAGAGAACACGGAGTAATATCGGACGCGGAAAGTCCAGTAGCAGAATCTGATAATGAATCCAGTGACGATGATCAAGGTGGATTTATTTTGACTGATGTTGAAGACAACCAACCAATTTCCTACTTGCAAAATGAAGAGGATTCAGATGATTCGAGCGAGTTTGAAGGTGGTGGGTTTTTAACTTCTGATAAGGATGAGGTACAAAAAGTTGCCAAGAAAATGGGTGAGAAAATTGTTTGTAACAATGCCCAACAAGAAGCTAGATCATTGCCCGGAATCGGGGAGCCGAATGATACACCGCCAGACGTGTCTGGAATACATGAAAAAGATTCAAGTAAGCAGAATAATATTCACGAACTTTTAAGCGAACAACCGGAAACCAGCTCCCAGGAACTTCAAGAAACATTTATTCCATCTGATAACTATGATTCTAGCTTAGATTTTGAATATAGTGATTAATGAGTGAAAAATTTTCCGGCATACTGTACAACTAATTTTTAATTAAAGCGCAATTGCGCAAAATTTGAATTTTTTATTTTTGTTAAGAAAATTTTTTGACTCTTGATTTGATTAAATTTTATTCATCTAACGTTAAAGATATCAGATTTACTCTTTAAATTATGAGCTTTTATATATAAAAGATTATAAATAAATAGATATATTCCCTTTTCTTCGTTGTTTTCACCAGACTTAGTTAGTTTGAAAAGAATAGGGCAAAAAAAGGAGATCTTTAGTATGTTGGAGAATACAGTGGCAGAAAATGTTTTAGGTACAATTGGTACAATATGTTGGTGTATTCAACTTATACCTCAGATTATACGAAATTATAGAGTAAAAGATTGTGAAGGTGTCCCGCCACTCATGTTGTTTCTATGGACTGCTAGTGGTGTTCCCTTTGCTATATACTTTTTTGCCACAGATGGAGCTATTCCCTTACAGATCCAGCCTCAATTATTTACATTTTTTTGTTTAATTACATGGGTACAAACATTATACTATCCACCACATAAGATTAGCAGAAGAAGATTAATCATTTTTGTTACATCATTTCTCCTTATATCAGTTGGATTGGAAGTTGGATTCATATTATGGTTGAGACCACTTTATGCTAGAGGTATAGAATGGCCGATGTTAATCATTGGGATTATTGCGTCAATACTTTTGGCCGTTGGATTAATTCCCCCATATTTTGAGTTAGCAAAGAGAAAAGGTCGTGTTGTCGGTATTAACTTTGGATTTTTACTCATTGATTCAGCCGGTGCATTTTTCTCCATTTTGAGTATCATCTTTGGTACCGTCGACATCATGAGCATTGTGTTGTATGCAATTGTTCTCTTTCTTGAACTCGGAATATTCGCCAGTCACTTTATATGGTGGATCAGATTTGGAAGGAAAGAAAAAGCAACTGATGATTCACTGTCCTTGGAATCTGATCCAGAACATCAAGAGATTACTGTCCAGGACAAGTCTGAGGTTGAAAGTAAAATCTCCATCAGTGTAAATACTAAGTAGCTTGTAGCATTAATTTAATTGAACAATTATTTATTTATTTATTTATTTATTACTTTTATACAATTCAAGATTCGATTTCTCTTCGAGTGAAATTGAGAGACTTCTTATTGGATTTTATTATACTAGGTGGTGCGCCGGTGGTGCGAATTGAATAAAAATTGTTGGTTGCCAAAAAACAAACTTGCCATAAACCTAAAATCACAAACAACCAATTCAATCAATCAGACACTTACACATCAAATCAAACGGAGGTTGATAAATGGTATGTAATCTATCTATTGCACGTGCGACCTTTCTTTAACGACTTATTTACTAACTTACATTGCGTTAGTCTTCTTTCGTACCATTGAACTTTATTGAGGATCCTTCTGTTTCCAAAAAGGATCTAGAAGAACAACATACAAGAGAACTTCAAGTCGAACAAGGGTTTAAATTATTCCAAAAAGCTTTGCTATTTCAGAAAAAGAGCGATTATGTTCAAGCATATAAAATATATGAAGAGTTGTTTTTACTTGATGTGATATCCAATCATTATCTGGAAGAAGAAGCTTTCTTACGTGGCATCCAAAATGGTTCACAAAATTCATCCGTCGATGAATTATCATTATTGTCACCAAATCTTAAATCGCTTCGATATTTGATATTCAGGAACAGAGGATTTTTATACTTGGACATATTGAGGGAACATAATGAAGCCATAATGAAAGAAATAAACCTTAAAGATTCTATTTCTAGTACCGTGGACTATAAAACTAAATCAAAAGACCTTTTCTATACGATGTTGGATGATTTCTGTATAGCATTGCTATACAATGAAGGTGATGAAAAGTTATTGGAAACGTTGTATCAAATGTACATGACGATAGGTTCAACGAGACTTGCAAGATTTACAGTTGAATACTCGTTAAACTCCCGGGAAGAGAGTGACGAATTAGCAGGATTATTACCCATAAGTGATTTAGCCAGACGTAGGTTCAACCACATACTAGGCAAGTTGCATGTAAACAATACATCAACTAAGAACACAGACTTGGAGCTATCGCTCCAATTTTTGGAGGCAATGAAACAGGATTTTACTGATCAGCAATTGGAATCGAAAAAGAAGAAACTTATGTCAATAGAATGCGCTGGAAAAGGAGGCAAATTAAACTGGCTGGATATCCTTGACTCTATAAACAAGTATTTGAAAGACAACCAAGACAATTCAAAGGTGGAAGATGTTTATTATACCAGACTTAAATTTCTAGAACCTTATATATTAACAGAGGAATCATTTGACATAGTTGAATTGGTTATATCCCAAGAAGAAAAGGCCATGGTCGTTACGGAACCCATTCCCACCGTCTCTTCTACAGATTCCGAAGACAAAATATTAGAAAAGGACGAACTAAAGAAAGTAGACGATGATGTAACTAATGATTCCAAACAAATACAAAGATCTTCGAAAAGATTGGCTAAGACAGAGACCAGCACAGAGATTCCCGAAATTATTCTAGAAAGGAAACATTTTGGAGCCCTAAATACATTTATGTATCCATGTCTTTATCTTCGGTCTTTCCAAAATTTGAAATATCGGATATTCCTTCCATCTATTTAGAAGAGACAAAAGAAGTCAATACGTTCATGAAAGATTTCGTAAACATCCTAAATGATTGGAATTCCCAAAGTTATGCCATTTCGCTAGGTTCGAATTCTTCACAGAGCAGTAAATCCAAAGATAAAATAGATGATAATTCAAAGCTTCTAGATTTATTGAGTGAGTTCGGAGGAGGAACCAATCAGACGGAAAAGAAAATGTACCGAAATATATCGGAAATAGAGACTTCCGACAAAATTATTGAGTTTGTCAAAGAAATGAACCGAAGAAAGCCTAATTTTGAAGAAGCAAAACTTTCCATTATACGACACCTTTTGGGCACAGACGAAACTGCATTGATTATAGAATCTGAATGGGACGCTAAACTATACAATAAAGTCAAGGATTGGGTAGTAGAATTTGAAATTTATATCTATGATTTATTAAATACACGGAAACCAAGCATTGGCGATTTGAAGTTGGCCGTTTCTCTATTTGAAGTATTGGTCGATTGCTCGATTAGTTTAGAGCTCCACATTAAAGATTTAATTAAAACGAAGCTGAAGTTCAATAAGGCCATCATAAATAGTTTGAGCCAAGATCTCCTCAAACTAAATGATAAAATAAATCGTTGGTCCATTCGCATTGATGATCATTTCCATGATCTTGGTACTCATGACGAAATAGGTTTTGTATTGGAATGCCGATTTAGATGGGGGAAAATAATAAAAGAGAAATATCAAACTGCTTCTTGGAATGAAGATCAAGTGATTCGAGGGATGCTTGAGCAATTATTAAAGCTTGTGACAAGTTCCAAATTTAAGATTGCAATCAATTACCCAAACTACGCCAACTTTATGGAATTGACTTTAGATGGAATACAGAACCAATTAACAATGGTGTCTGTTCTTTCAATTTTCTGGAGGATTTTATATTCAGAGCCGCATAATGGGAGTACAGAAGCGATCCTTCTTTTAGAAGATATTTTAATTAGCACGGAACGAAGTGAGAACGAAGCCATTACTTCAATTAAAGAATTCTTAAATGTTTCTGCGGTGGAAATGAGACTTAGCCTATGGGGGATACTCCTTCTGTTTTATAACCTGAATGACAAATGGAAGCAACTACTAGTTGGATTTCATCATTGCTTGCATTTTCTTTGTGACTACTTAACTGGACGAAGCTACGAAGCGCTTGACACAGAAACAAGATTCAATACGTTATTGAGGGTAATCGGTTTTTATGCAGATAGCGTAACGCTTCTACTTACAAGCATTGAAAATAATGGTTGGAGATTAGGTGTTGAACTTTCAGAGAATGATTTGGATTTCCTGATATTGTTTATGTTCTTTGAATTATGCTTGTTATTCGAAACTCACGAGCAGGCTAGTTTTATGACATCCCTACGTTCATCGATTCGCGAAAGATCGCTTTCATCATATGAGAAACTAAAAGACATATTATTAAAAACAGTAGTACTAATGTTGGCATTACTTAAAGACTCATTTGAAAATGAAGAGCAAAACTTCTTAAAGAAAATTATCAAATTGTTTCATGCCCAATTGGGCGCTAGTGGAATCTGCAGTGCATCCCAAGGTATTTTTTTGGCCATTTCCCAAGAGTATTTGAGTGAACTTCCAGAAAGTGATGAAGACATTGCCCAGGTTATTTTATGCCGCTATCATTACAACATAAATATCAATGGTTTTATTCCAGTAGACCATTTTTCAGAGCGAAAAGATGAATTAGATGAAAATGATTGTAAAGAATTATCAAAATTTGTATTGCCATTCTGTTTCAAAAACAACCCCATGGTAAATACTCCCAAGCACGAAATCAAGTCGCTCATCGATGAGATATACAATGTTGTTGGTGACCTCGATTTTGAATCGAATGAAGTTTTAAACAGAAATAACGCATGTCTAGAATATTTCCTAGAATCAACGTTGGTAACTCCAAGGTTTGCTCGTGATGCATTCCATGGATTGATTGATTTAAATATGGACAAGATTGGAACCTATGATTTTTTATCTGGCGGTTTGTATTTCTTGCAAGGGTTACTAATATTTGCGTCTTATAAGATACGAAAAAAGAATATGCAGAGCAGGGCAGTCGAATTAGAAAATGTAGTTGCGTTGTTAACTAGCGACCTCGTTTCAGGGAATAATCGGGTTGAAAGTTGGTTTCTATTGGCTCAAGCATATGGTTTCTTGGTTGAAGATGATTTGATTTGGACATCTGACAAATTAACTGTGATTGAAAGAAAAATTGCAACAGCAAATATCCAGAGAAAAGCTTTAATTTGTTATTTGATGGCGATCAACGGAAGTATCAATGAATCCAGCACAGAAAGAATTAAACCGATCGTGGGTAGTTTGATGTCATCGTTTGCAAAAGAAATGTTCAGTGCTTGTATGGAACTCATGGATATGCATGCGTTTAGGGTTCTTCCTCATGCGAAGTTTATTCGGAAACCATCCGGGGCATCTTCCATTACTATGACAAATTCCAGCGTGATGACGAAATCCCTTTGTCTCAAGATCATTCAACAGTCATTACATCTTGCAATAAATTCTAACACTAAAGATTGGTTGGACTACTATTACTTATCCAAAGTGCAAAGAAAATTGAATAAGGCACCTTCATTAGTTTTAGACACTATGCGAAAGGCGTGTAAAATGTCATTCAAGTTTTCGAAAGCATCTGACTGCGTTGTAGAGCCCCACTATGCCCTAGTTTCCCTAACCACAAAGTATGTGAAACAAGATTTAATTTCAACTAAGCTAGGAGTAAGGCTTTTAGTTACTGATCCGATTATTCAAATTGAAACTGAAGAAAGTGATTTTTCAAAGAAAGAATACTACAAGTTGGCGTGTCAGGCATTGAGGAAGCTTGATAGCTTTGACAAGAAGAATTGGCAGCATAAAGCGAAATATAGATTAGCAAAGATATTATATGAAGAGTTTGAAGACGTAGATGGAGCCATTGAACAAATGTCGTCGTTTGTTTCTTTAAGAGCCACCAATAAAGCTTTGTTACTGATTTGGAAACCAGAACAAGAAAGACCAGGGAAGCATTTTTATTACACATTCCAGTACATTCAGTTTTACATTGAGTTACTCAAGGCTAAGAAAGATCTCATAGGCTTAATTGTTATGTTACCAAAACTTCGTAGATCAAATTCAATCATGGTTAATTTATACACTGCATGGGAAGGATTGTGTGCTTCTATTTGCAAGCTCATCAGACAACTGCTTCACATTGGAGATGTTTTTACGGAGACAATTATAAACAATTTATCTTATCAAGCTTTTACAATCAATATAAAATCTTTTATGGAATTAATGGAGCAAAAAGGTATCCCGGAAGATTTACACCCGCACTTGTGTTTTCTATATTCTATTAATGATATGAAGAAATTTAATAATGGATTTGGCCCAACCTCATTGATTGACGATACCATAGTCGGCATATATTTTAAGATCTATTTACATTTCTTCAAAGATTTGGATGTAGGACATAGTCCTGCGTTAGAATCTCCTGGTGCCAAAAAGAAGATTGCCAAGAGGGATATTTTCCCTCTAACTAACGACATCCTCAAGCAATTCAAGGCAGAAATAGAAGCAGTATTGAAAGAGAAACCTGATATTTATAATGATTTTGTTAGAAGCTCGCAGTCACGGGAAGTCAATGATAGTGTGATCATAATGGAAGAGGAGCCAACAAGCACGAGCCAGCCAGAACCAAATGGAGAATGCAGTCCTGAGAGTGGAAAAGTGGAACATATCAACGGTGACCAAAGAAGCACCCCTAATACACAAGACGACGATAGTCATCAAGGAATGATTACAAAAGACAGCTTAGATACTATAGATGAAGCCAAGACCAACGATGATGAGACAATTGAGCCAACTCCCAAGAAGGTTAAGTACAGCATGCTGGAAGATATGAAGACCGCTGAAGATGAGACAATTGAGCCAGCTGCCAAGAAAGCTAAGATTACAATGCTGGAAGATATGATATATCACATTATTGACGATGAAAGTTAACATATTTAATATACACTACCCTTTATAGAGATCAAATTTCTTAGAGTTAAATCATAAACAATCTTGTTCAATCTCTGCGAGGCGTACTTTAAACCGTCGTATCTTTTCCGTAAGATATCATTCTTTAGATCCAACAATTGGAAACCACTCTGAAGTTTGGAAACAATCTGCAGGTTAATTACTGCAATCGTATAGTCAATCGAGGAATCTGATTCATTAGCCCCCATTGAACATTGAATGATAGCACTAGTGGTATAATCCTGGATTACGTCCACCAATCTCAAAAGGACTAGTAAGTAAGTTTGATAATCCACTTTGTCCAAAAATATTGTTTCAGAAATCTCCTTTGGAGTAACGATTAGACCCTTGTCCACCAAGCAAGTAGTTAGTAACGGAATGTCAAGACTTCCACTTTCATACGATTCGAAAGAACGACCAATTGTCTGAAAGTAACGACACACAATACAAATATACATTGATTCTTCGATGAACTTACTGGTAAGACGCTCACGTTGTGCTTCTTTGCATTGTATTTCAGCTAACATCAGTCTAAAATGAGTGAAAATTTTCAGTATTGAATCCGTGTCTGGAAGTGCAACATCTGCTATACGGGCAGTCGTATCCACTGTACGATCCAATATTTCACTTGGTCTTACGGACAGAATATCATTTACTATCTTTCTATAAGGTGTCAATTTTAAGTCGAATTGGTGCTCTAGTTCACGTAGGTGCTCTCTCTGAGATGAGCTATTGGAAAGGGTTAGTTATTGATATTGAACAGTATCCTCAATTTTATTCTCACAACATACTCTTGTTCAATTTGGCATTTAATTTCATCTAAAAAGCTTTCGATACCAGACATATTTTGCTTTATCCACTTTTGATGATTCTTAATGAGATGAGGGTATGGTTTGTCTTAGTGAAATTTTCAACGAGTGAATTTATAACGACAAAAACCTCGAGACTCACACAAAATATATGCACATATGATACTTCTTGTAACGCTATAAATGACTGCGGTAAAGAAGATACTTTGCCTACCAGGCTTCTTACAAAATGGTAGTACGTTAGCAGCTAAATCTTCCGGTCTTAGAAAAAGCATGACGAAGAAGTTACAACTACAACTCGATTTTATTGATCCTTATCACCGCATCCAGTCAAAAGAAGAGGTTTCATTCCCATTTGGGCCAACTGAAGCAGAATCCCAAAGAGTTTGGGAGTCAGTTGTGCAAAAAGGCAATAACTGCTGTTGGTGGGATCATCAAGGTCCAGGAAACAATGTGGGCCTTCAAGATTCTGTTGATTATATTATCGACCACATAAGAAACAATGGACCTTATGAGGGAATAATCGGATTCTCACAAGGTGCAGCTATGGCCTTAATGATTACAAATTCTATCAGAAGGCTATTGCCCTCACATCCTGATTTTAAGATTGCTATGTTCATTTCTTGTTTCTGTTTAACGGAACCTAAACGTGGCAGTGATTGGGACAATAGAGATATAAATTATAAAATTGGAGATTTGGAAGAGTTTAAGAAAGTAGTAGAAATATCCAATGATGCATTGGAATATACATTACCTCCTAATGATTTAAGCACTAAGATAATAGTCGTGTATGGAGAAAACGATAATATTGTTACTCCAGTTCGAAGCAAATATGCTGCTTCAGTTTATTCAAGGGAGAATGTAAGTACTTTTCCTCATGATGGTGCTCATTTAGTACCAAACAAGAAAGATTTCATTGAACCTATTCTCAAGGCTTTCAATGAACAATTGTATGAGAAGTCATTGCTTTAAATGATTCCTCAAAACCCAATATAATTACTTTATGTAGTTAGAACTAGATCTATAGATATTTATAAAATTACTTCAATCATAAGCAATTTTTTGGAAGCCGTTCAGAAATGACCAGCAAAGGAGAAAAAAAATTAAGATGACTCTTGAAACATTCACAATTGTTATGAATCTTTTCTAGGACACTACAAGAATGGAGGAACCAAAAGCAGTATCATCTTCTCAAGATGGAATCGAACACGAACCAGTAGCTAAGAGGCAGAAAGTTGAAGAAACACTTTCTGAAGAATTCTCTCGGAGAAGAAATTCAAAAGATAAAGGTCAAATTTCATCAGCATACAACAACGAAAGTGAAAAGACCCCAGCTTGGTTGAAATCAAAGCAAAACATAGATCATAAGTATGATAAATACGGTACAAGAAGTGTAACTTCTCAATCTATACCGGCAGAAAGAAGCACATCAACGGATTCTAAATATGCCAAATACATGACTCAAGATCCGAGAATGCTGAGAATTAAACGAAGTCGAGATGAATTGGAACTGAGGCTTAATATATCCCAGAGGAAGGATCAACATTCGCATGAAGCAGAAGAAGATGAGGAGGAAGAAGAGGCTAATCCATACATACATCTTGATGTTGCAAATCCTTCAGTGAATCATCGTCAGGATCATCCAACTTATCGTACATTTCAAAGTAGAATCACCAATAAAGAAAAGAAAGATATCAATAGTATAGTTAAAGCTCATTACAATCAGAGAACACAACAATCCAAATTTCAAGGTTCGAGAGTCAATTCTCCAATCTATAAGTTAAGAAATTTTAACAATGCTATTAAGTATATTTTATTGGGGAACCATGTTAAGCATAATCCAGAAGAGTCAGAATTATTCTCGTTTCTAGATTTATGTTGTGGAAAAGGTGGTGATCTAAACAAATGTGAATTCGTTGGAATTGATCAATATATTGGAATAGATATTTCTGACTTGTCCGTAAGAGAGGCATATCAAAGATACTCAAAGCAAAAAGCCAGGTTTAAAAACACAAGAGGTCAGGACACGAATCGTTATAACTTCGAAGCATGTTTTGCAACTGGTGATTGCTTTACTGCGTTTGTTCCAGACATTTTAGAACCCAATTTCCCCGGTATTATTAATAGAGCATTCCCTGTCGATGCTGTATCAACTCAATTCTCATTACATTATGCATTTGAATCAGAGGAAAAGGTTCGTACGTTGTTAACCAATGTCACCAGATCACTCAGGCCAGGAGGGAGCTTTATCGGAACAATCCCTTCATCGGATATAATCAAAACCAAAATTGTTCAAAAAGAATTTCATAAAACCGAAACGGGAAAAGTCAAATTTGGGAATAGCTTGTACTCAGTCACGTTTGATAAGGAACCTCCCGCGGATGGTGTATTCAGGCCACCATTTGGAAATCGATATTCTTATTGGTTGAAGGATGCTGTTGATGATGTTCCCGAGTATGTAGTTCCTTTTGAAACATTAAGAGCCTTGTGTGAAGAATATGGACTTACGTTGAAGTATAAAAAGAATTTTATTGACATTTTCAATCAGGAAATCCCCAAGTACTTCTCGAAATTGAACAAGAACTTGATTGAAGGTATGAGAAGAACGGATGGTAAATATGGAGCCGAGGGAGAAGAGAAAGAAGCTGTTGGATTTTATCTCGGATTCGTTTTTGAGAAGCTAGGATAGTACGAAATAGAGCAGTTGCAGTTTTAAAATGTGCGGAAATCCATACGCAGAGGATGGGAACCACAAAGCTGGTCCAGTAAGCAGTTTTACAAATATATAAAATACACATGTCTTCTTGTAACCTCAGCGAATCTCTTTATTTTCGCCACTAGTAAATACTAGAATTAATTTAGAATTATTGATCAATGCCGTGTGTATGACAAAAACTTTTGAGAGCAGCTATAGAACAATAGATTTCGGAATAGGAAGATCAAAATATCCATATTGTGGCCATCTATTTTGACAATTTTATTTCCGTATTGATTTTGTTACTTCGAGGATAATGATATTTTGGTCAATTGTTTAAGCCTTCTCCCTTTTGAAGGTAGGCGATAATAGCTAACAAAGAGACGCATATACAATCGATCAGGACGCATACACGAAATTGTTTGATAATAGAGTGGGGGGTTAAAGTATCAAACACATCGCCTCTAGGTGCGTTTTCTTCTTCCCAATATCCAAAACAGTTCTGAGCGCATTCAAGAATGCTGTCAACACGGATAACCAAAAAAAGGTTGGAGTTTTGACATGTTTGCTCAGAAATTAAAGTGTGGAGCCAAGCATTTTTACTCAAGGGGAAACGTATGCAAGGGATCCGTAGAAAAGGCGAACAATAGAATAGGGAATTTAATGAAAAGTAACAAACATGATTATGAGACTTGCTGGATTGAAAATCAAACATTAAATGTCATGTGGTACATTGTTTATTGCTTATCACATGTAACTATTAAATATATTATAATAACATACTTTTTCTTTGTGTCAATATATAGAAACAAAGAGATCTCTAACAAAGGTACAATAGACAATCAGTTATCAAGAAAGAAAGAATCGGGAAGTGCCGGTGTTTGCTTTTTGTACGTTGACTTCTAAAATTAGAAAATTCGAATTAACAATATAGTCGTGGTCTCTCCGTAGAATTTAACCTATTCTATGACTACTTTGTATTTGTCTGGTTTTGATTTTTGCATAATAATTTCACTTTTGATGTTCAAAAGGATCCATTATTTTATAAAATCGAAAGGATTCGTGTAGCAAGTCATCATCAGACCAATAAAATCTTAATGGATAAGAAAATATCGCAAATCTAGTTGTCCCGCCTCCAGCTAACTTACAAATATGCAAGGCACTTTTTTAGAATAATTCGCTTATTGTTTTAATACTTCCCCGTAACGGTTTCTTCTTATTTAATATGTATAGAATCATTTAAATTTAGCTTAAATCTATACGACTGAACGGAGAAATGAAAAATATCAAATATTTTTCCGTTGACTTGTCTTAATCATGGTCAAAAGCTTTTATTGTTCCAATATATTGTATGCATATTGTGACATCTTCACAAAATCCAGAGCCCACACGATGATCTGATACCACAGGCGGGGGCCGACTTCAAGGCTTCAACGGTTCATAGCCAACTTTGAAAGACATGTAAATAAAAGAATGTAGTTGTCTTAAGGTAGAACGATATTAGAAGAACTCAGTATTACAAAGGCAGCAAATATAGTTCATCCTTTCGAAGAACCTAATAAATATGGGTTATGGAGGCCACTGGCTGCTAACAGCAAATTTTGTTGACATAGAGGATCGCTCTGGTGGGAATAAGGGCAAATCCTGCGGCTTATTGCACCGCGCCGTGGTTAGGCCCTAAAAATGCCTTGTTGACGACATCTCAACCCGAACAATAAGAACGGGAAAATCCCTAGAAACAATTTGATGCTTATTCATGTGTATAAGCCTATAATTGCCAGATCAAGAACCCCTTTGTTACGACTTTGATGATCAATCCTGAGACTTTGTTTCTTGGATGGTCAATAATGGGAAATGACTGCATACGTTTTTCGTACCAATTATGCAAGCTTTTGAGTTTGAATAGGACAGGTAAAACTGTCTGTTATATATCACGCATCTACTCGTTCTCTTAGCAGAGCGTTTCAAGGAAGACATTGGTTGGTTGGGTTTGTATCTCGCGTATATTTCGAGGGTTTAAAGGAAGGTGTACAGAATCATATTCATATGAATTATTTTTTAACTTTTTATTTTTTTTTTTGATTTTTGATCTGAGAAATAATATTTTCGAGATTGTTTAGATATTTTTTTGCTTGGCATGCATTTAAAAGAATTTTAAGATGCAATCGAAGTTTCTGCATGGATTCTTAATTTTTAAGCACACAATACAAATTGTTCACGCACTAACAAAAAATATTAACTAGGAGTTAAGAACCGGCACTTACTACACCTTATACTATTTACTCGAAAGCAACTGATATTTGATATCATACATACTGATGTGACTTACGCAACCAATTACATGTGTAAAGTTGGGTGGATACTTTGCAAAATCAGGGCCAACCAGCAGCATCCAATTATTTCTATGTCATTGACCAAGGCTAGAGTTTAACTTAATTTGTGTCATGCAAATAGCAAAAAAAGCGCAAGGCTAATCAATAAAAACTCTGCCCAACATCTGTTCATGTGTGAGACTCAATTAGCATGAGAAGACCTATCTTATGTTAACAAAGGTTGGCTAGTGACTCTTTGTATTGCATAATAGATAAAAATCCATACATTTTCGTTTTCCAAGAACAATAATGCAATCAGTTTCTACATACATGAAACATTTCAATAGAGTTATTTAAATCTTGTCAAGAGATGGCTATATCAATGGATAGGTTGCAGTAACCCATCTCTTAATTTATTCCGGACGGTTTAATAGGAGACATTATTCAAGGTTTAAGTTTCAGGTTGCCTAACGTTGCATTTCGGCTAATATTTCCAGCCCAATTAATTCTAAAGATAGACTATAAGTGTTTTCAAAGGATTTTGCCATCAGCTCAGTAAGACGCTATGATCATTGGAAAGCATCAGAAGGCTAGGTTAACATCAAATCAATGTTACCATTTCATAATGGTTTTTTCTATTTCAGAACTGAAATATGTGAATTTCAGCATCGCAACAAATATTTTATAAGTAAAACAAATGACGTAAACGACTCGATCTTGCTGTTAATCTCGTTGATCCAAAGGCTACTGTTGTTAAAGAAAGTTCCGGAATCCAACCTTTCATATTTTGATTGGATTTTATGACGTTAGAATAAAGTTATGATATGCTTTTAGTCTGAAAGATATGACAATTTGATTGCAGATCTAGACAAAAAGTTAATTACGAAAAATTAAAATATTATGGGGAAAATTTAAACGAAACATTAAAAACTTTAAGCTTTCGTGATGAAATTTTAAAAATTAACTAACAATTATTTTAAAGCCCAATCTATATTTAGGAACTTGGTTGATATAAATCAAGCATTATCTAAATAAACGTACCAAATCTACGACAAAATCAGAGAATACTATCAAATCCTCGGTTCTCTGACAATTGACAGTAAAGTGATGGCTTTGTGATTTCAAAAAAAAAGTCGCACATAATTTGCAATCTCTAATTTGTTTGAATTAAGAATTGATACCTTGGTGAAAATAAAAAGAAACTGCCTGAAAGGTGAACATGTCGTTGACTTCCCAAACTGGATACAGGAAAACAAACAAGCCCACTGAAAGTTTAAACTTTTTTGATGTTGCAGTTTGTGCCCAAACTTTATTAGACTAAATGGAATTATTAGACTGAATTTTTAAACTTTAGAAATATTTTGATTTAAAATTAATTTAAAATCAAACTAAAATAAGAGAAAAAAAAAATTTTTAAAAGAAAACGCAAAAACGCAAAAGAAAAAAATATTATTGAATGGTTTTCATTTATTTTTTAAACCCTGCAACTATTAACATTATAAAGATGACCTATGAAATTCCATCAACTTTTGCAATTGGAAAACCGGTTCAAAACGCCACCTTACCCTACGGTTCAAAGTTACATCCACCCTACCACTTATGAGTGAGAACGAAGTGCAATACAGCCCGATATGATGTCACGCAATTGAACTTAGTCTATTCCAATTCTCATATGAAATATGCAACCAAAACGTCTAAATGTCTATTAAAATTCTTGTTTAAAATTAGCCATAATGCCAAATTTCTTAAAAAAAAATGGTAGCGTGGACTGTTTTTTTTTAGTTCCGGTTAAAGTTACTTTTGAATTTTACTCTAAAATTGTCATTAGCTGATGATGACAAAACTACACTCACGTTAAAAATAACTTATTTTGCGCAAAAACCTTGCATTGTTTTCTTTGTGATGAATTTCATAGAAGGTTTTTATTTGAAAGAAAATATTCCCGTATTCAAGTGGTCATTCTTCATTGTATAGATTACTGTTATTAATTTTTTATTCTTTGTTACAGTAAAAGAAAAAAATTATTATTTGATATTTCAGATTAAAAATAAAAATATTAAATTATTTTTTTAGTTTTTTAACAAACCCGAATTTCAGTACTTAAAAAATATTTGAATCTTAAATCTAAAAAAAATAAAAATTAAAATAATTGGGCTAATTTCAATTATACTTGAAACTAGTTCAAACTTTTTTTTTTTTAATTTTTACAATTAAATATTTTTATTATTTTTAAAATTCAACTGCATAAAATTTTATTAAAATACCATTCAAAGTCTTAAATATTTGTCTTCTTGTTAATTTCATGTTCTATTTATTCTTTTGGAAATCATTTGGTAAAATACACCTACAACTTTTCATTCCATAGAAGAGCTTTTACTTATATATTTTTAACGTTGGTTGTACATAAAACTACAATTTAATTTTGCAAACGGTAAAAGTACAAACCACCAAAGAAATCTATAATTAGCATTTTTGGCACTAATAACCAAAAAGAGTTTCAGTTAAAAAGAACTTGGAGAGAGAACAAACACAGGAAGTAGATTCTATCAATTGGTGAAATTTATTTACTTGTAATTACCGGTCAAAGGAAACAAGACATCAATATCTTGCAACTTTATAGAACAACAAACAACGACAAGTTGCGTAATTAACACTTGTGTTTTTTTCAAAAGATAGTGAAATTACAATCCATAGGAACTTCTTGAACACTTTATTAAACGTCTTTAAGTGAAGAATATCTACAATAAGAATTTTAATAAGAGCAAAAGCGCTTTCTTGTCGTTTAACTTGAAAATCTCCATACCCCAATAATGAATTATCAAAATGAGAAAAGATCATCGGAAGGTAGTCATGACTCTTCCAACTCAGAATCTTCTTTGTCTTCTAGAAACTATAAGAATATAACAATAAATCTGATTCTTAGCAAACCAAAGGATGAGAGATACATGCTACCTCCAATTGGTTCCACGATCAAGCAGATCTCGTCATCCTCAAACTCTTCTGAGTTACCAAATAATATCGAAATGTCCCAGCGACAACAAGCACCTCAAAACCAACAGCCAAATTCTTACTACCAACAATCAAAAAGTTCCCAAGAATTGCAGCATCCTACTCAAATTAGCTCGACGTCAGTATCATCGTCAAGTAGTAACAGCATTCCGTCATACCCCTCGTATTCCACTGGAGCAACTTCTTCAGAAACGAGTGGTTATCTGAGACCGATGGTAATGCAAATCCCCCCATCAGCAGTTTCTGCCGCCCAACAACAACCAAATCCATATTTAGGAGGTGTATCCCAACAAAGTTATGCATCTTTGATTCCGGGTGTTCAGCCTCAATATAACCAATCACACTTAGCTGGCCAACAGATACTACCACCTGGTGCTCCATTACACTCTTTGCAACATTATCATCCAATGCAACAACATAATCCAGGCATGGATATGACCCATTTTCAAGAAGCTAAAAGAGGAAGAAGATTCAGAAGGCGTTATAATCAAATTGTGCGGAAGTATGCCTGCTCATACAATGGTTGTACAAAGAGTTACGGATCACTAAATCATTTGAATACACATATTGTAACTAAGAAGCATGGTCATCGGAAATCAAAAGCAGACTTTCAACACAGTCAGAATCCAGAAGAAACTCATAAATCGAACAATTCATATTCCGAACCTGCAGTTACTCAAGTATATCAGCAACCACAAGAGCCACAACAAACGCAGCAACACCAACCTCAACATCAACCACTCCAACAGCAATCCTATGCCGCTGGTCAAAATCCAAATGAGTATGCGTCAGGTAATTATTGGTATGGATATGCTACTCATTTACGAACATCTAATTCAGGTTCTGGCTCAGATAGCAATAATACTACGAATTCCCATGCATACCAGACTGCTCCACAAGGTTACATGTATTACCAAAACTATCCTGGCTCCCAAATATCTCAACAAGTTTCAGCTCAGAGGTATCCAACAATGCCCAATGCAGGCTTGAATGTTTATAATTCTACATTAGGAGCTCAACCAATATATCAACAACAACCAGTAGTTGTTGGTGGAGAGAATCTAGACTCAAGTGGGAAATCTCGGAAAGATCTGATTGATAATAAGCCACCTGGAGGATCGAGGCTTCAATAGTTGGAATCGATTTGCATAAATTAGAAAAAATTGTAAAAATTATGTTTATAAAGTAAGTTATTATCTCATCTATAAATTTTGTAATAATATTAAATTAATTAATTAAATTAAATAAATTAGTAGGAATGTAGAGTTATGGAGCTTATAACATACAAAATGTTAAGTTGTTTTGGTACCGCTTCTAAGTCTTCTTCTATTGTTCAAGATGAACACAATAGTGATGGCATTAACTCCGTTGAAGCGAACACAAATTAGTCTCGCTTTTCAAAACTAAATTTGCAGGGCATATGCAAAGGGCCACCTCAATGCATGTTTTGTGTTTAATATTGGGTTGAAAGAAGCAATCATATTCGGTTAAATAGAGGTTCGATAACCACTTAGACATCTGACTATTGCAAATTTATTCGTACTTACTTAGGCTGAACCATTGCAAGCGAAAAATTAATAGAAACTTTTACTTTTCATGTAATCATACACATGGAATTGTTAAACTAATTCTTTAGAGAAGTGTCCTAATTACGTAACTTTCTTGGTTAATCGATTCTCAAGGATTTGGCTATTGAAAATCGCTAAGTGATCACTGGATTGATCTTAAACGATATACAATTACAATCTTGAGAAAAATTCCGTATCCCTAAACATCTACGAAAGTTGGTTTACGTGAAAGCAACTTTGAATATATTTCGACCTTCTATTGTAATATACAAGGGAGACAACAACAAACAGGAATCTTCAAAAGCTTCTTAGATTTGGATTCCAACATTCGCACGATTACTCCTATTAATTTCTTTCGGTAAATCAGAGTACAAGCTTTGTTGAATTAAGTGATAATGGCGAACTTACGGATAGATTGTGAATCTGGGTAGAATCTATAAATACATATCCTGATAGGAATAGGAAACAGATAACCTATTAATATCTAGCAATAAATCCAAATAGAGAACGGATTCAAAGGATATACTACTTTTCATTACCTTCCTCTCGTATATATATATAGGTCTATAGGATAAAGCATTAAATGTTAAGAGGAATAGATATAAACACTTGTTGACTAGATTCTGTGTACTAGTCGTGTCAGATTTCAAAGTTTGAAATTTTGCTTTTTTTTCCCATGCAATCAAGGTAATTAAATTATTTTTAGAGCCAATTTAATTTTTATTCTTAGATACAGAGTTGACTAGTATAGAAGATAAACCCACTAAGAAATGGAAGAAGAGCGAAGGGATCTTATCGACGAAGAAGTAGATGGATCATCCCAAAGTCTTGATATAGGAAAGGGTGTAGATGCTCAATCAGAAATCGACAATCACCCAACACAACCAAGCACGGAGATTTTGAACCCCGAAGATCCAGCAACCAAGGTTGAACACGTCACTCAAATGCTTCCAAGCGAGGAGAACAATGTGCACTCGTCACCTCAATTGCAGGGTTCTGATATGGAAAATAGTCCCGTGAAGGAAATAAATTCCGAGTCAGCGAAAGAGCGTGAAGGCAACAATCATGCATTAGATAACGAAGATACACAACTGAATGAATCAAAAGAACCTAGCGCAACCGACCAGACTAAACAAACCGGTGAAGTCCCTGATTTAGAAGAAGGCACAAAGCTGGCTATTTCTGTACACCCTAATCCCGCCGAAGAGCTGGTTCAAATCGAACAGAGTCCGAACAAAGAGCCAGAAGATTTAGACACGGTAAAAGAAGGAGACGAATCAAAGCAACAAACACCTATTGAACCTGACCCAAAACCAGAAAAGCCGCAGAGAAGAAAGAGACTCACTTTACAAGAAAGATTGGCACAAGCAGCCAAAGGTAAAGCGAAAAAGACAACAGCTGATGCAACCGAATCTCCCAAGTCCTCACCACCTCCCAGGACTATATCTCTGCCACCAGCTACTCCCCCGGTACAAACAAAAGTATTCGAGCCAGAAAATGTAATGCAAGAAAAGACAACTGCTGAGCCAGAAGTCTCTCAAGTTGAACTAATCGATAGGCTAAGAGAAGAGATAAAAGAATTACAGCAGAAAAATGCCATGCTTTCCGATCAAGCTAGATTCTACGGTCTGAGTCCGAAATTATCATCTCAATTTAATAGATCACCCCAGACCAATACGCGTGAAAAAGAGCTCACTGAATTGACGGCTAAGCTCGAAGAGAAAGATGCCACAATTAAACAATTGTTAGAAGAAGGAGAAACACTCTCACATAAAGAATTGAAATTGAATGAAACTATAAAGAAGTTGCGTACAACGAATCAAGAATTAGAAGCAAATCTCCAAGATTTCTTAACCAAAAATGAAGAGTCCACATTAAAATTACAAGAATTGGAAGATTTCTTGAGAGTCCACAAATACAAGTCCTTGGATCAAGTGTTGACACAATTCACTGAGACCAACACAGAGTTAGCCAATGTCAAAGCTGAATTAGAGACGGAAAGATCACAGCAATGGGAAGGTAAATACAAGGAATTATTGCAACTTCACCAAGAAGAGATTAATGCTAAGAAAGCTGCATTGAAAGAATCAAACGATTTAAAGATTCAGCTTGATATGTGCAAACGACAACAATCGTTGGAGTTAGAGTCTAAGCAGAATGTAATCAGTGATTTGAGACATGAGCTATCACAATCCAAGCATACTTACTCTCAAGAAATCAGTCGATTAGAAGATAAGATTGAAAGCTTGCGTTTGGAGCAAGAATCAAGTGAAACAAGTTCGGCACTTATTTCAAATTCTAACGGAAACAAAGAAGCCTCCGAGGACATATCTTCTAAAAATAGAATAGACTTTGATGAGTTTAGTAAGTTGTCGGATGCTCATCATAACCTTCAAAAGCAATACTTATCATCACAAGAGAATTGGAAATTAATAGAGTCCAATTTGCTTCACAAAATTGATTCTTTGACATCCACAATCGAATCTCTTAAGAAGACCAAGAATAAGCTTGCTCAAGATTTTGCGAAAGTCAATAATACCTTGATTAGCCAATCTGGGGACTTCAAGAAGCTCGAGGAGCAACATAGATCACTTAAAGAAGAAAAAGAGAAACTGATGCTATTACTTCAAGAGAAAGACAGCGAGCTTGCAGAGATCCGCGAGAAGTTCGAGAAATTCAAACAAATATCGAATCAAGACAGATCGAATTTGAACACAAGAATCCAATCCTTAAATGAAACGATAGATAGATTGAACCAACAAGTTAAGAAGAAGGATAATGGGTTGCGTTTAGATCTCGAACCTCCTTCAAGAAAACGCGATTTCTCCAGTGGCAGCTTGTCAGCTACAAGTTGGAATGATATACGATTTGGTGAATCCTCATTAACCCCAGCGATTAATAGAGACTTTTCTGGTATATATTATGACAATAGCAGGAACCAGTCGCTGTCATCCGTTACTGAAATGGGTGATGACAGTTACGATATGCATGAGCAAATGAATTTTGCCAGTCTAACGCCTATGGTATCTCAGATTGGAGCTGGTGGGAGTATTGGTGGTATTCCGTCTTCTTCCTCGCAAGGCAATAATATCCAGCTAGTTAATAAGATGAGCTCCAACATCAGGCGATTAGAGATTGAATTGAATACACTAAAAGATGAGTACAATAGATTATTAACAGAGAAGGAAGCGACTGAAGCAGAATTATTAGAAACTATCAAATTAAATGATGAGATTGTACGATTACAATCAAAAATCAATACTTTGGAAATGGAGATTGTTGAGAAGAACAAGAAAGAACAAACTATGCTTGAATTAATTGGAGAAAAGTCGGAGCAAGTTGAAGAATTGAAGGCAGATGTTTATGACTTGAAGGAGGTTTGTAAACTTCAAGTCCAACAAATGCTTGAATTTCAAGGTGTATAGAAATTTTATAAAACATATTTCTAAGTAATTAATAAATATTCCTGCATAGAATGAAAATGAAAATTGATGCGAAGGGCATCGTGGAAAAAAAAATCCCAGCTTACTCTTCTAGAGGTTAGATTTTTCCCAGACAAAGAAAGCTTGTATTTTAGTAAATCATCAGCAATGAGATACGTTAGTCAGAAAGATGGGCATTATGTTGCTTGTATTATATCAAGAAGTGGAAAGAATGAAATCCGCTTTTATGAATTAAAGGAGGTAAATGAAGAAGTAAACTCAACCATTAAGGGCTCTGTATTTGTTGAGGACGAGATCGTAGATGCTGTCTGGACATCGACTGATTTACAAGTAAGCAAGAAAAAGAGAAGCTTGAATGGAAGTCAAAAGGAAACAAGTAATTACGATGTCTTGGTAGTTGTCCTTGGAAATGGAGAATTATTACTGCTTTCCCCTTCCCTGAGTACCGTGATTTCTAAGGTTTCACTCGATGATAAAATTAACAAATTGATAAAAGCACATCAGGACTCCATATGGGCCCTTACTGCAGATGGTAAGCATGTTATAAAATATTCAATGAGAGACCAATCTGTTGTGAAGAAGTATCAATTACCAGCCTCAGTTAATACAGTTGAAATTTTGACTGGAACCAAACTTCGTGGAAAATCACAATATTTAGCATTAGCAGCTTCAAATATCTTGATTGGAAAACTTAGCAAGAACAAGTTTGTTAAGGACAATGAATTTAAATTAGAATCAAGCGGGAAAATATCTAGCATAATCCAATTGGAACAGTCATCCGATTTAATTGCATTCGTTTCAAATTCGAAAGAATTATACGTGGTTGATGTTAGTAAGGGAAATAAAGCTCGAAAAGTTCCATGCGATCATCCAATAGACAATATATCCACCTTGACCTTCGAAAACAAAGAATATATTGTGATTAAAACCAATGAATGCATACAGTTGATAGATGTTGAAGAAGAAGAAGAAGAAGTTGTCAAATCCATTACAGCAAATGATACCATTTCCGGAGTAATTTCAGTTGATGGTTTAAGATTAGTTGGTATCTTTAAAAGGGGCAATGACCTCGCCGCAGTTGGAATTGACTGGGAATCTTCGGATAAGTCAATTGTCCTTAATATTGAAGGTACATCTTCCAATCAAAATGAGAGCTTATCGAAAACAAAGATCTTTGTACCAGAAGCTGAAGAAACTCGTGATATAGAAGCTGACGAAGCTTTAGAGAAGCTCCTTTCTATTTTAGGAGAAAAAGAAATAAATAAACAAGCTGTTGCTAACGTATGTGCCACTACCAAAAATGCCGATACAATCAAAGAAGTGGTCAAAAATTTAGCAACTGGAGAAAATAAAGTAAGTGGATGCATAGAAAAATTGTACGCTGTTGCAAATGAAGAAGTTGCAAAAGACGCTTCATCAAGTGAATCTTTTGGTATTTGGTTAAAATGGATTCTTCTTACATATGGAGGTGCCATTGCCAAGCAATCTAACGAATTAGACAATTTGAGGAATTTACAAAATCAATTAAGCCAAGGGCTTAAGATTTTACCTAATTTAATAGCCATACAAGGTAGATTACAACTTTTAAAATTGCAAGCTGAAGTAAGAGAGAATCAAATTAGCAACCAAGATGGAGAATCTAATGAAAACAAAGATCAAGAAGAGGACATAATCTACGCAAATGGGGAAGGAGACGATATCATATTTACTGAACCTACAGAAGAAGTTATACAAGACATAGAAGATATATAGTTAATTTAATTATCCACGATATTTTTCAAAGAATTCAGTTGCGAGTCTGGCAACTTGTTCAGGCAGCTCTCTCTGTAAAAAGTGACCCAGATTAGGTAAAATTTTAAACTCTACTTGAGTCCTGCCTTTCAATTTAGCAGCCTCCGATTGCAGAAGTCGTAAAGACATACAACCATCTTCGTCCCCTGTCATAATCAATGTAGGGACCTTATCGAAGTCAACTTGCCATCGGGATTTAAGAAGCGTGGATGGTTTAAGAATATGTCTGTAATAGGATGTTGCAGCATCTGCAACTCCTTCTTCCATAAATGTGTTTCCGATTTCTTGTATTTCGTCATTAGTAAAATCATAGGTGGGAGACCAATATCTCCATAATTTTCCGAGATATTTGCAGTTCTTATCTATCAACTTAGGGAGATAGATTATACTGGATTGCATAGTCAAAAAATAGGATGATAAATAGAACTGCTCAGGACAATTCCAAAGAAATTCCCAAGCATTTGTGTCAGCCATATATGGAATTGCAAGTGTTACCATTGATGTTATTAAATCAGGAAATAAATTAGCTGTCTGATAAGCGATAATTGCACCCCAATCATGACCTAACAAATGAACTGGATATTTACCATCTGGGTTTAAAGTTTCAATCCAGACCCTCACGTCTTCAGCTATGTCAGTGAGTTTATATTCACTCTCGGGACCTTGACTTGATTTTTCATATCCTCTTAATTTGGGAGCAAGTAACAACACTTGTTCTTCCCCAAAGGATTTGTCTAAATCCGACCAGATTGGATTGAATGTGGTATTGATGTCTGGGAAGCCATGAAGTAAGATGATTAATCTTGACCATTTGTTAACATTGGTATAGACATCTGATTCCGTCAAATTACTTAGTGTTGTAAATGTCCTTTTCCCATTTTTGAGTTTGATTTGATGCTGTTTCAATAACATTTTCTTTATAACTTATAAGTTTTACTTATATGAGACAGAAAGGTAAATGACCCCATCATAAAGGGGACTTCTAGAGGATATTTATACGCTTTGTTTGTAAAACAATGCCTGTGACTTTGTTCTTTGTTTGCCAAGTAACATACTCCTCCATGTTAAGTCGACTCAACATTTTCAACAATGCTATGAATTACCATTTAAAACAAAAGAGATCTTCACTATTAGACTGGTTGTTAATAAAATATACAATATAATGCTCTATATATAAATAAAAATGCTCTTACAATATTAAAATTAAAAAATTTGTTGAGGAGGAAATTGTAAGTCAATTTCACATGCTAAAAGATATCATTTTCATAAGGACAATTGATACTGGTATGCCCCTCTCGCTCACATAAACCACACCAATCATTCTTCCCACTGCTAGGATCTATAGCGCCTGGTGCATGATATATTGGTAATCCTGGGGATGAGTATATGGCACCTGAAGCGGGACTAACACTTGTTGCGGCTGTATCTGCAGACAATGGTCCTTGATTCTCTTTTAGTTGTTTGATTTCTTCTTGAAGTTCATTGATAAGTGTGTCTTTTGATTGTATGGTATGTTTATACATACCATCTAGCTCATCGAGTGAATGTTGAAGTTCAAGAAGTTCGTTTAAGTGAGGTCTAGCTTGAAGCTCCTTCTTTAATTCTTCTACTTCTTTATTCAAGTCAGAATTGTCAATGCTTACTCCTTGAATGCCTACGGACAACCCATCAGCAACCTCCTTTTCCAATTGTTTGATCTTTTCGGTAGATTCTTCCAATTGACGTTTTAAGTGTTCATTTTCAATTTGCAATTCATCATTATGCAGAATCAGTTGAGCTTGGCTGAGCGTTGTTCGCAACTTTATAATCTCATCTTCTTGGCGTTTATTTTCATCCATCAATTCCTCGATTTTGGATTCATACACTTGCATCCCATCTTGTTGAACTGATACAAGCTCATCCATTGCAGCACGCCATTCTGCTCTCTGTTGATTGAATTGATCCAATCTCTTTTCTTTATCGCGTAATACACGCTTCAAATCGTGTATTTCCGTTTCATATTTCGTTATCAAATCAAGAGAAGAATTTCCACCGGTTTGATACAAGCCATTTCTATCATTGGACATCCTGTTGGGACTTTGAAAACCTCCATTGGATCTATTTGTCCTTGGACTCACAAACACATCACTTGTTCTTGGGCTTTGAACCTTATAACCAGGTAATCCGGGGCTCTGAGTTCTACTATTAGTTTGAGGACTTCCCGTCTTTTCAGTGAGAGAAGATACTCTTGGCTTTTGGTAGCTTGATTGTCTTTTTTCCAGGGTCAGTCTTAAAACACTCAGTAAATTATTCATCAGGATTGATCTTCTTGAAATTTGATTTCTTTCAGGCAAATCAGGATTGACTGCTTTGAGTCTATCATATGGTAGAAACAATCCACTCTTTGGTATTCGTACATCAAAATATTGTACTCCTGCTACATCACCTGAATTCTTACCTCGACTGGCAATTAATGATCCAGGAAGTTCGACACCTGCAAACATTCCAGTTTTTCCTTGAATGATTCCATAATATCTGATAATTCCATAACCTGTTGTTCCAGGTACCACGACTTGACGTCCTATTAGATCTGACATATCTTTCCTTGAATAGATCTATAGCTAATATGGGGGATGTTGTATAGAAATGTACAAGTAGATGTTAAATCTATGGATTAGATTTTGTCAAAAAAAAAAAAAAAATTAAAAGAAAATTTAAAAAACCAAAACAAACGGTGCAGAAACAAAAAAATAAAATCCTAATTGTTAAATTAAATTAAAGTTATAAACTCAAACTAATTGTCATCATTTGTATTATAAATACGAGGAGGAGATTTTAATAATTTTTGTCTTAATCGAAGTTTAGATGATGAACTTGAATTTGATAACATTGGTAAACTTACTCTTCTTGAAGTTTCTAATTGTAATTTTTCCATTTCTTTAGCCAAATCTTCTTCTTGCTTACCATGTTCAGTGATTTCATAATTTAACCGGAAAATTACTCGTTCCACATTTTGAATTGTTTCAGACGTAAATGAATCCTTTGCTTTAATTGGCATCATTTTTGACAATAATTCAGCTTCTAATTTCTTTATATTTGTAATCTTTTCCCGTAATTTTGTTCTCATTATATCACTTTGAATATCTAATGGTCTATGTTTCAATTGAGATTGATTTGTAAGTTCATCTTGAAGTAATGCTAAATGACTATAAAGTTTATCAAGTTTGGCTTTTTGATGTAATCGTTTCTGAACAGTTATTGATAAATCATTAAGCATAGACTCTTGGGCTTTCAAATCTTCATTCAATTTGGCAAGTGGTTTATGCGTTTCTTGTAAAATAGAAGATAGTTTGCTAATATGAGACATACGCCAATATTCAACATCCTTCAAGTCTTCAATAATACTATCCTTTTCATGCTCAGTAATGAATTCCCCGAGCAGCTTGGAATTTTCTCCAAGAACTTTCAAATTTGCTTCCGTAACTTGAACAAGCTTGTTCATTTCATTCATGATACTATCTTGGGAAGTTTGAGCATTTGTAGTAAGTCCATCAAAAACTAAAAACTCAGCTGGGGCGATTGGTCCTTCAGACTCTGCTTCAGGAGTTACCTGGGTTTCTTTGGCCGATATAGGTGTCTCCGCTTTGGGTTCAACTTTGGCCTTGCTAACTTCTGGAACATTTGCATTTATGATTGGAGACTTCGAAGTTACTGCTGGTGCTTCATTTATTGACATTGACCCAAGAATATCATCAAATTCTTCTTCCTTTCCAAGATCTTCATAACTTTGTTCATCAAATTCGTCGTCATCAGAAACTTCATCTTCTTCTTCGTCTTCCATGCTTTCCGAACCTGATACTGGTGTGGCTCTCTCCCCTTCCGCAGCTGCTTGTTTAAATGCAGCAAAGGGACTCTCCGTAGGTATTGGTGTTTTCAAGGTAGTTATTGCCGATGGTCCCTTATTCTCGGAAGTACTCTTCCCTAATCTTGCAAATGGAGATTCAATGGGCTTTTCCGGCTTTGTGCCTCCAGTAAGATTTGCAAATGGAGATGCATCAGAGACTGGCTTTGATGTTCTAAAGATGGTTTTATTTTCTGCAATTCCTGCAAATGGTGAAGCACCCTTATTCTCATTAGCACCAAATATTGAACTACCCTTGACGTTTCCAAATCCTGATGCTTGGTTAGCAAAAGATCCGAAACTGGACTTACCAGCAAGAGACAGTTGATTTCCAAAACTCGATGCGCCGCCTCCAAATCCAACTGAACCAAACCCAGCCGCGCCGAATCCGGTGGAACCACCAAAACCCGCAGCTTTTTGTGCTTGAGATTGTGCGAACCCAGTGGAGCCGAATCCCGTGGATCCAAATGGTGAAGCTTCTTTTTTGACAAATCCCGAATCCCCCAACGAAGGACGAGTATTACCTTTTTGATCTTGATCTGATGGTTTTTCTATAGTCTGTGCTCCAAATGCGGTACTGGGTTGTTTTCCAAATGCCGAAGATGGTTCAATTGAAGTTGAAACTGGGGAATATGGTTCTTTTGCTTTTTCCCATGCATCAGCTGCACTTTCAAATGGATTTTCGATCTTATCTTCTTTTGCTTCAGCTGGTGCTACTCCTGTTGAGGATGATTTCTTTTTAAATTCGATTGCTCTTTCTAATGAAACTTCAGCATTCAAAAGGGAATGTTTATGGAATACCCACCAGGTAATCAATTTTCCTGTATGTAAAAGACAATAAACTTTTGGTAATTTTCCAACTGATTTGTCAACCCCTTGACATGGTTCAAGAACTTCAGAATTCAATTCATTGATAGATAGAGCCATACCAACTGGAGAACAATCATCACCTGAATCCTCATCAATTGGGAATTGTGCTCGATAAATATCTTCGGATTGTCCCATTATTTCTGGAATATGGGAGTTTGTGGTTGTACTTAATGTACTAATTTCAATGGCTAATGAAGAAGTAACAAAATCAAAAGTTTGTGATTCAATCCAATCAGAAATATTTGATGAATAGTATGTTAAACTTCTAGCAACAGAACCAAAGGCAGGTGCGAAATCTGCATTCATAGCAAGATAATAATCTGCTTTCTCTTCAAATATGTATGATCTAACATCATGATCATCCAATTCTGCATCACATTTATCATAAACTGCAACTATGAATTTATTCAACGAGAATAAACTCACAATTTGGGAATCAATTGGATCTTCTTCAAATTCGATTTTTTTGGAATTTAAAGTTGTTGCTTCACCCTTTGTTGCATGAATATAATTGCCAGTATTATCCCAACAATAAGCCAGTACATTAGAAGCGATTAATTCACTTTTGGTATTATCAATCAAATACAATTGATTGTCAATAGTTAATGCTAATAATTTATCAGTTGAAAATGGAGATGGTAAAATACCTGATATTGATGAATCCAATACATTTAAACTATTGAATTCATAAGCACCGTTTTTATAATCTGCCAAAGATAATGATTGGATTATGTTTGAATTCAAAATATATAATTTTGAATTATCTGAATTGAAATGAATTTGAGTAATCTCAAATTCTTGATCAAATGTTGTAACATTATCCAATTCACCTGATGAGATTATTTTCAAAGATTTAATATTTGATGTTGCAATTAATTGATCATCATCATTAATTGCCAATAATTTTAAATCCTGGTTTCCATAAGTTTCCAAATCAATGGGTGAATCAAATAAATCAAATCCATGAGAACTTGTGTCTAGTTTAAACCCCAAATCTTCAGATATGATTTCCTCTAAACTTGACATGATATGAGTTTAATTGGATTCAATGGGAGTTGGTTACTTGAGCTTCTCCAAACAAAATGAGAATGCTACTGTTTTTCAATTTTCTCATAACAAGATGATTGGGTCGTGTCTTGCCGGAAAATATCTTAGACAGAGAATTATACTACACTGTAAGACAAACCATTTGAACACTGTAAGACAAATCATTTGAAGAGGCTTTCAACATTAGCAATTCAAATACAGACTTATGTAATACGAAGTATGACAAGGAAAATCATAAGTATTTTAACGTTTTCTAAGCAATGAAGTCTTAAAGTGATTTTCTCACGGGAGATTATTTTCATGGAACATCCAGGTAATAGAGGGGTCCTTACTCCAGGTCTACTTTTATGATATTGTTACTATTGTTCTAGAATATGCGCTTACGTGGAGTTGTACAATTAAGAGTTTATTGTTAGGCAATTGTTATAATTAATCATTGTTCAAAGAGAAATTGAATTTGTTTTGTAGAAAAGTTGCAAAAAATTGTCGAGTTTGTTACAACAAAGGAATTAAGGTTCATATGTGATAAAAATTTAGTTTATCATTAAATGAACCCATCATATAACACATATTACTTTCGATATTGAATCCATATCATATGTCCAATGAATAATCTTTGGAAAATTTAGCTTATCTTTTTACATTAATTAATCCGATTTGTGGTTTTGCCAAGGTGAAACTCGGATAAACAAGACATGAAATTCTTATTTACGAAATAAATAAAAATTGACCGTATTACATGATGATAACAATAGACTTTCGAACAGAGGCTTTCCAATTTTGATTCACAATATTGGAAACTAACGAAGACATGAAATTTAAGGTACCTCCAAATTGAAATGCCCTATTTTACCGAGGCGTATTACTATCCAGAAGCGCAATTATATAGTCCGTCTCATCTCAGAAATTTGAAAATGTGTGGATACTACGGTGGTAATTACACAAAAGACAACTTAGTTGTCTTGTTTAAAATTTTAAAGGTTTACAATGACAGAAAACGTTTCAATATTAGAAAAATTCTTCAAGTCTTATAAAGAGAGATGGCTCTTAAGAGAGATGGCTCTTGTTATTTTCAATTATATAGTCGATGGAATTTCCACATGACTACTAATGGGGGGATGGATGAATGGTTGACCTTCTTATGGATTGCATCGGAAATATGATTGAATGGGATGCATTCCCAATTAGGAACTGCTAACCTGACCGTGATACACAAAATAAATAAAGTTTTTCCGATAATCAGGAGTTTCGGAAAAAATCATGATTATTTTTCCAGTTTCTTTTTCGGAATTTAAGAAGCTAACTATTGAGGATTGGATGTAAATGAAAAACGGGGGATTAATTTATTAGTCGTGCATAATTGTTCAATAGAGTACAAAACTGTAATTTACCTCTAAAAATTACTGTGGTATTTATTTTTTAACCTTTTTTTTTTTCTTTTGTAATTTTTTTGTTGTCTGTCTGACCCTCCTTTTTATACCAACAGAAAAGTTTTCTGTCTTTTGTTTTTTTTCTTTCTAATATTTCTTACATACCCACAAATTATATTAATAATATTCATTAGAATACATACTGACAGTCAGACAGACAGACACATAGTAACAACTGACATATATATATAGACAGACCAGTCAGACATTAATCAGACAAAATTAAAGACCAATCATTTTAGTTACATTAATTACCTACAACATATAAAGCGGTTACAATATTAGCATAGAAGAAGTCAAAAAACGTCTTTAAATGTTTTCATCACCATTTACAAATAGTACACGGCAGAGGCAGCAGGCGCCTTCTCATTTTAAGGATAGTGCCAGAAATGCCATTTATCAACAATTACCCCCATCAGTAACAACATCGAATGGTGCGGCATCAATACGGTCAGCACCTTCACAATATCATAATCCCAATAAATATCAACAACTGCATCGATCACTGGGAGCGTCATCTATATTTTCATCTTTGTCAGGGAAACGATCAGTTAGATCTGCTCCTTCGATATATTCAAGTTCTACGGCGACAATTCCTGAAGATTCTGAACCAATATCAACAACAGTTGAACAATTGGTGAATGATATAGTATTACATGAAAGTCATTTTGCTGAACAAGCAGCATTAAGAGGAGATAAGGGGAGTAATATGTATAATGATGATTTAGATAATGAAGAGATTTATAAAATATCATTAGGTTCAGATTTACAATATCAATCAGTACCAGAATCATTAGTTGATTGGAATTTAAATGTTACTAGATGTAAATTAATAATAACTCAATTACCAATGTTATCTTCAGTACCAGATTTTCAATATAATCAAAATTCATTACCTCAATTAATTGGGGATTTAGCATCATTATGTCATATCGTGTTGATACAATCTCATATTACTGATAAAGAATTGATTTATACTTTATTTTCAAGTAATTTATATCAAGAACATCAATTGGATATCAATTTTAAGAAATCAGTAGCAGAAATATCAGTTAAACAATCAAGATTATTACAAATAAACAGTACTAGTGGTAATAAAGGTGATAATAAGATAAGTCAAAATCAACATTCATTTTTAAAATTTAAATTTAAAGAAATTGCAATTAGAAATTATTTAATCAATTTAGCAGCTGCTGCTACAACTGCTTATGAATATAAAGTTAAATCAGATCAATTAAAACAACAGTTGAAGAACTCTGGGGAATATCATCATCCTGGAAAGAAAGTTAAATTATCAAAAGAAGATAAGAAACAATTATGGGAACAAGTACGACTGGATGTATTTAAAAGAGCAGGTCTTGAAGAGTAATTGGATAGTTTACATATGTAAATTTTGTATAGATTTTTAGATATACTTTTAATGTGATTATGATACACTGTTAATATGTTATATACTCCTGAGTTAAAACTTTCTTCTAGCTTTTTGAATGGATTTATAATGAGCTTTCTTACCACTTGTCTTTGTAATTTGAATTTCAGAATATTTCCTTTTGAAATATTTAGTTGATTGATTATCATTTAATATTTCAGTTATTAAATTCTTACCTCTTTGCTTTCTGTTTAATCTTGAACTATAAAATTCAGTATTACCTTCAATAATTGTTCCCATTTGAAAATATTTTGGTATTTGCCATTTTTCCTTTTTATAATGCCTTTTGGGATCAAGAGCATTTCTTTGTTGAATTATTGAAAGATCTCGTTTGATTTCAGCAGTTAATTCTGGTTGTTTCATATGAAACCATCTACCATCTGTTGTTTCCTTTTCATTCTCCTTCTTGGATACAACTGTTACTGGATCATGTATTCTAATTGATGTTTTATTTTTATTGGATTTAATTTCTAAAGATTGTTCTAAATTTGAATTTATCTTTGGTAATTTAGCTATAGACTTCTCTATCTTTTTGTAATCAGATTCTTCATCTATTAATATGTCATTAGTTGGTTTTATTTCTTGTTTTAAATTATTAAATAAATCATCAAGTGATAAGTCATCGCCAATACTATTGTTACTACTACTGTTCATTTTATCTGCAGTGAAAGATTCAGTTTCTGAACTTTCTAATATAGTTGGTTCTTGTGGTTTCTGTGGAGTCATTATTAGCTATGGCTTGTCTAGTTATATACTTGTATAATAAGGGGTTATAGGAAGAGAGATGAGAATAGAGTATGAAATTTTTTAGGGAATTTAATTTTTTTCTTTCTCTACTATAGATTGTATGGATGAGATACAGAAATACTGCAAAAATTTCATAATAAAAACAACTTTTTTTTTAAACAATTATACATATACAATACACCTAAAAGACTGTAACGGTAGCATACATATATAAATAGATATATCTGGTCTGTATGGATCCAACTTATTGTACACACATCCTTTTAGTCACATTCTAAACACATCTAGATACCATCAGAAAATCCACTAACAATACTTTTACTAAAACCACCTTCTTTAACTGCTAATTCATAATATCCATAAATAGTAGTAACAGCTAAAAGAATAGAAGTACCTGAACCTAAAGTACCCATTAAATCACAAATAACCGATAATCCACCAATAGTAGCACCACCAAATGCAGCAGCAGTGGGGATAATCTTTTTCAATTCTTTATAAGCACTGGTATCTCTATGACCAGCAATAACTAATCCTTGTTCTTTAAATTGTTTAGCAACATCTTTTGGTGAAGTACCACTAATTTCAATCCAAGTAGTTGAGAAAACAGCACATGAACCTAAAACGAAAGCAATATAAACAGTAGTTTTAATTGGATCTAATAAAGCTTCAGTCATTGAAAATGGTGGTTGCATATAATAAGCAATACCACTATTGGCATATAATTGTGAAGATCCTGGTCTTGTATCCCAACTACCTAAAAGTTTAACTAAAAGATTATTTGGCCATCTCATAAATAATAATTGGGAAATAATAAAAATATTTGATGATAATGCACTTTGTAACATAATTGGAATATTTGAAGTATAAAATAATCTAATTGGATATAATCCATAAGGACCTCTTTGTCTAGTTGATTTAATTGGTAATTCAATTCTAAACCCTTGTAAATAAACAACACCAAAGAATACAACTAATGTTGCTAATAATTGAAACATATTTGGTAAATTTGGTCTATAAAAAGCTTCAATTAAAGCTCTCTTTTTATCCTTTCTTGACCCTAATAAATGAAACATAGCAACAACAGCACCATCAAATTCAGTTCCCTTGGCAGAACTTGAAGTTGTTGGAGCAAAGGCTTTCCAAAATACTTGTTCACAAGTATTTGTGGCAGTAAATAATGAAACACCACTTCCTAAACCATAACCCTTTTGTAATAATTCATCTAAAAGAATAACAATAGTACTGGCAAATACTAATTGTAAAATCAATAATAAACAAACACCAATACCTAATGAAGATGGTGGACCATACATACCAGTTAAAACATAAACAGTAGCTTGACCAATTGCTAATAAAATAGCTAATAATTTTTGAGCAACTTGAAATTGTTCTCTATCATTTTTATTACTCATATCAACATTAATTAATTTAGTACCTTGTAATAATTGAAATAACATACCAGACGAAACAATTGGAGAAATACCTAATTCCATTAAAGTACCACGATTAGAAGCTAACATCATTCTTAACCAAAATAATGGATCACTAGAATCACTTGATACAATACCATACAAAGGTATTTCTGACATTACTAAAAAGATTAATAAAGTAATAATTGTCCACATAATTCTTTGTTGAAATTGAACTTTACGTTCAGGAGCAATAACTTCTGGAAGAAAGGGTGAGAAAGGTTTCACCAAATCTAATACACGGAATCCACTCATGATTTAGTTATTCTGTTTGAGTAATTGATAATTGTTATAAATTAGTTTTGNCTGGAAGAAAGGGTGAGAAAGGTTTCACCAAATCTAATACACGGAATCCACTCATGATTTAGTTATTCTGTTTGAGTAATTGATAATTGTTATAAATTAGTTTTGATTATTTGGGGTTGTTGAATAATTCACTTATATGGGGGGAAAGATGATATTACTATATACCCTTTTATAATTGTTCAATTGGTGTTTTTTATTTGGATAATATCCTTGTTCTATTAATATACCAATATATAAAAGATACAAAGGAATTGTATTTTGAAATGTTAATTGATAAAAGAAAGAAAAGAAAGAGAATGAAAGTTTTTCAATTATTTTGGTGCTGTCAATTTTGTTGATCTCAAAATGAGAAGAAGAAAAGGAAGAAAGATTGTGTGTTCATTAAAGGAACAAAACACTAAAGACACGTAATTACAAATTAAATTAACAAATTATTAACTTTTACAGATTATATTATTATTTTTTTACAGGTTATACCGCGCACCAGAAAAAATCTTTTTGTTTTTCACTGAAAATTCATTTTCTCTTTAGCTTCTTTGTCAGTTGTAAATAAAGAGATCATTTTCATTTCAGATGAGACTTACAACCCACATTATCATCATCTCTCATCTCATTTTGACATAATATCTTTTTGGTTGACTGTTCTACAAAGTATTAAATCATATCATCAATAGCAATAGCATATTAATTATATATACATAACAATGTCAGGAGATTGGGCAGCAAAATTAGCAGTAGCACCATCTACTAATACTACCACAAGCACTGCTACTACCACAAGTACAAGTACAAATACTACAACCCAGAATATTAATCCATCATCAAAAAGTAATAGTCCATCAATTGTCACTAAGAAGAAATCATCATCACCCACTACTACTACATCATCACCGCCAATAAAAAAGACATCAACACCCGAAACTACTGAATCACAACAACCACCATTTAATTCTCAAGAAGTATTACAATATTTTAATTCAAATTTTTCAAAATATTTACAACAAGCAAAAGAAGATAAACAAGGGGAACATATAAAGATATATAGATCATTAGAATCATCATCTCAATGGACTACTAAGATATCTTCTTATAGCTCTTCTACTGGTCAAGGTGGTAGTAGTGGCAATGAAAGAACTAAACATAGTGCTAAAGATGTAATTAGAAATAAAAGTAATACAACTAATAATACATTAGATTTATTATTTGAAATTAATCGATCAATTTATCAACAAAAGTAAACAAAGACACATTATAATTATCATTTCATGTAATCACCTCAAGTCAGAATGGAAATGGATCCATTTGCAGTGGGATCTAATGAAAGTAAGATTCATTTCTCGGAAACTACTTTAAAGGTGAAAAAAACAATANGGATCCATTTGCAGTGGGATCTAATGAAAGTAAGATTCATTTCTCGGAAACTACTTTAAAGGTGAAAAAAACAATAAGACAAATAAAATAAAAAACGTTCAGTTGAAATTTATTAGCCGGGATTCTTAAAGAAAACTGTTTACTTAATTTAGAAGAAAAATAAAAAACGGGAAAACATCCCCGATGCTTTGTTGAAAAAGTGTAAGATAACGGTGTAGGGCGTTAGTGCTGGTAGTGTTGGTAGTAAAAGCGTTTTAGAAACTGGAGTTACCTTCCGTCCCGGTGGAAAGGACAAAACAAATTGGTCACAAAATTAAATTTAAGTATGAGAAATGGAGGAAATGAGAAAAAAAACCATCCCGGAGATTTTAGGAATTTTTTTTTTCAATCCAATCAATTTTTAACACTTTTTAAAATATATGGGGTAATATTAAATATTAAAAAAAAAATCTACGGGATAGACATTTCCAATTTCCATTAATCCTGTTATTCAAAAGTATAAATAAACCACCGAGCCCCTCGAATAAGATTTATTCAAATATTCTTGTCTTTCTTTTTCTTCTTTTATATCTTTTAAATACCTTTTCAGTTTTATAATTTCAATTTCTTTTGGTTAAGATATACCCATTTATTCCAAACATATATATATATCCATATTAAATAAATTCACATGCCCGAAATGACTACTCCAAATGATAGCATTGCTAAGCAAATGAATGTTGAAACTGATATTATCACTTTAACAAGATTTATTTTACAAGAACAACATACTTCAGCTCCAGGAGCATCTGGTGAATTATCTTTATTATTAAATTCTTTACAATTTGCATTTAAATTTATTGCTCATAATATTAGAAGAGCAGAATTAGTTAATTTAATTGGTGTTTCTGGAACTGCAAATTCTACTGGTGATGTTCAAAAGAAATTAGATGTTATTGGTGATGAAATTTTTATTAATGCCATGAGATCTTCAAAAAATGTTAAGGTATTAGTTAGTGAAGAACAAGAAGATTTAATTATATTTGAAGGTGGCGGACGTTATGCTGTTTGTACTGATCCAATTGATGGTTCTTCAAATATTGATGCTGGTGTATCTGTTGGTACCATTTTCGGTATTTATAGATTAAAAGATGATTCCAAGGGGTCAATTAATGATGTATTAAGAAGAGGTACTGAAATGGTTGCTGCTGGTTATACTATGTATGGTGCTTCAGCACATTTAATGTTAACTACTGGTAGAGGAGTTAATGGTTTTACATTGGATACTCAATTGGGTGAATTTATTTTAACTCAACCAGATTTAAGAATTCCTCATAAGAGAGCTATTTATTCTATGAATGAAGGTAATTCATATTATTGGCCAGAATATGTTCAAAGATATATTCAAGATTTAAAGAAACCACAAGATGATTTAAAGGGTAAACCTTATAGTGCAAGATATGTTGGTTCAATGGTTGCTGATATTCATAGAACTTTATTATATGGTGGTATTTTTGCTTATCCTGCTGATACTAAATCTAAAAATGGTAAATTAAGAATTTTATATGAATGTTTCCCAATGGCTATGTTATTAGAACAAGCTGGTGGTAAAGCAATTAATGATAAAGGTGAAAGAATTTTAGAAATATTACCAAAAGGAATTCATGATAAATCTGGTATTTGGTTAGGTTCAACTGGTGAAATTGATAAATTTATGACTTATATTGAAAAGTAGGATATACATACTCATTACAATATAAGTATTGGGAAGTAAAGTAAAGTATTTATTTGTTTATATTTATGTATTTTGTATTTAGTTTTTATAAGTTTATGTTTTAAAGATTATTTTAGATATAGTATTTAATGGTCTAGTATTTGTTTCATATACGTACTTAAAGAGATAAAGAGACAGTAGTGTAACGTTGTATAAGCAGGTAGTAATCTAATGATAGTGTGACATTATTATTTAATGTAACCTAAGAAAAAAAAAGAGTCATGTACTGCACTCCATATTATTTTTTTGCTCATAGACAGCTGATTCCGCCTCCTCATCATTTTATATCTCGCAATTCTTAGTCATTTACTTAGTTCTTCTTTCCATTCGATTGTCCATTAAAGGAAGTATATAAGATATATACTTCTTCTTATAGATATACTTGTTGCTGTTAGTGAGTAGTAGCGGTATATAGACAGATATAGACATACGGTATCCATCATGCATAAACGAAATCATTTACATCATTTAAGTCATAAAATAAAGCATTATTTAAGTTTACATATTTCATTAATTAATTTAAAACGGATAGCTTTTATAATAGCTTTGTTGTCATGTTTAGTAAGTGGATCAATATTATTATTTGCATTATTTTCAACTTCATTTCATGAAGTCTTGGGGTTAAGTTATTTACAAATTAATTCAATAGCATCATTTTCAGCATGTGGAATGTATTTATTCTTACCAATCTTAGGATATTTAGCTGATTGTTATGGTCCTGCTTTATTATCAGTATTTCTGATTTGGTTCTTTTGTCCTGCTTATTTCATTAATACTTATTTAGTACAACAATTAAGTCATCAACGAGGAGATTTGGAAGAAGTAATACCTTCCGTCTACATATATTCATTTTGTTTTACATTTTGTTTAATTGGTTTAGCAACTTCTTCATTATATTTTTCAAGTTTATTAACTTGTGCTAGAATCTTTCCTAATCATAAAGGAATGGCAATATCATTACCAGTTACTTGTTATGGATTATCAGCATTAATGGGATCACAAATATTGAAATTATCATATTTTCATTTATCAAATGGTTTATTAGATCTTTTTAAAGTATTTAAATTCTTTGGAGTTTTATATTTAATTATTGGATTATTTAGTTTTATTTCAAGTTCAATAGTTGTTGTTGAACAAGAATTGATCTTTGATATTGTCGATGAAGAAACCGCATTATTAAGTGAATGCTCAAGTGTAGCAGATCTTTCAATACTGGAAATACAACAACAACAAGAAGCCATACCCATAACTCCACAAGTTTCAAAATTAGATCCTCCTAATCATCATGAAAGATTTATGGCATTCTTAAAAGATCCTTCAACTTGGGTATTATTACTATCATTAATGTTAAATATTGGTCCCTTGGAGAGTTTCCAAAATAATCTCGGGTCAATACTTAAAAATATAAGTCCAACTGCTGATTTATCTAATCAAGTTAGTCTAATGGCAGCAGCATCCACCGTGACTAGATTAATTATGGGTTGGTTATCAGATTTTATTTCTTCCCCCAATAGAAAATATCCAATATGTCGAGTATGGTTATTAATTGGAATAATTGGAATTGGAATATTTGGACAATATTCAAATGGAATTTTAGATCCAAAAATTAAATTTGATTATGGGAAATTATCATTAATTAATGGAATAGCATATGGTGGATTATTTACAATTTATCCAATTATTGTAGCTGATGTTTGGTCTCTTGATATCTTGGGATCTACTTGGTCATTTTTTATGATTGCCCCTGCCACGGGTTCAATATTATTTTCATTATTATATGGAAGTAATGCTGATTCAAGATGTACTGAGAATGCAAGAGCATTATTTAATAATTGTTTATCAAAATATTTTACATTCACATCTTTAGGTTTAACCATTAGTTGTTTATTGGTTTATTTTACATGGAGATTTATTTGGTATAAAAGAGGACTTTCACATTTTTAATAGAATACAATAGCATTACATATACGTGTATAAATACAAATTCCACAAGGACACTTATTTATTTAACTTGAAATGCATCATCTTGTAAGAAACTTTCAAAAAGTTCAAGATTAAAATTAAACCCAAAATCGGTCTTATTGAAATTCTTAGACTTTTCAATCCAAGAACTGGTTACCATTTCTTCAGTTGTAATCCTTCTAAATTGATACCAAAAGTTTTCTGTTTGCATTTCCCTAATTATTTCTTCATCTGACCCCGTCCAAATATCTTTCTCATTAACATTATTATAATGTAAATTTCTTCTAATTAATTGAGTTAATTTTTCAATTTCAATTTGTGATAATTTAATCATGGGAATCTTAATTGAACTTTCTTGATTCAGTTTCATTCGATTCTCATATAATTTCATACAATTGGAATAAACATGAGAAATATGTAATGAATACATATAACTCTCGGCTAATTCACCTAATACTTTAACTCGATTCAATAAAAAGAATCTAATAGATTCCAGACAGTCTATTAAACATTTAGTAAATGATTCAAGGGATTCTCCTTGTGATTTATCAAAACTAGTTGGATTCTTGGTTAATTCAACAATTGAGCAACTTAATCTATTCTTAAATGGAATAAATGTCATAAATAATAAATGGATATAAATATGAAGGATTGGTATAATGAATATTGAAAATTTATAAGAATCATCTCTTTGGATTAAATTGGTAGATAAATCATTTAAATCTGCTAATAAGATTTGTAATGATTTACCAAAATAATAAGATTGTAATGTACAATTACCTTTAGCTTCATAATATAAATATAATAAATAATAGTTATAAAAACAATATAACTTTATTCTAATGAACATTCGACAGGTAAATAAGTCCATGAAATTATCACCATTCAATAATTCAACTATTGTCTTTGATTCTAGATTCTCGTCATGTTCTAATTGAGAAAGTAAACTAATTATTTCAGTTATATTGAAAGATTCATTTACCAGTAGATGGATCTTGGCAAGTTTATAACATATTAATAACAAACTTTGGAATTTATGAAATGAATCTATAATATCTTGTTCTAATTTGATATTTCTTGAGTTTGAAAAAACCTCAGAAAGTTCAGGTAAACTGACATCACTATTCATTGGATCCGTAGTAATAGTAGTATTAAATAATATCGAGTTCAATATATCTATTCTCACAAGGAAATGCCAAACTTTTCTTCTTAAAATCTGTTCTTTAATTGATGTAACATTCATATGTATCGGATCTCTATTTAATCCGAGTGAAAATGCCAATTGAATAATTGCGCCCATTGAACTCTGAGTAGTACTACCTGAGAATAGATTCTCAGGAGATAAGTTCAAATATAACCTGAAAAGCAAACCTGCTTGTATAACAACAAGTGGTTGTCTTTTAGCCAAATCGAATTCTTTCATAATGACTTCTGCTGCTCGAATGGCATCCAATGATACGGGATACATTACCAATTCTGAACCTGAAGAAGACCTATTGATGTTCAATAATGAAAGGTATGCAACACGAAGGATAACTAGATGAATAACTAATATTGCTAAATCATAGGACGATTCTACTTTAGGAACACTATGAAGATAATTTCCTTGGAAATCAGTTGGAATAATTCGGTCAAGATCACTTCTGAAATCATTTTCATCAATAATGGGAAGATGAGGATATATATCATGGAAAAATATATCTAAAAGTTTATCATTTACCCAAGATGGTGGAATTAATTGAAAATAAGATGTCATTGGATCAAATATATTTGCATCAGGTACAAAAGTAATCCCTTTAGATAAACCAGATTTATTTATAATTTCTTTTAATTGATTGAATGGAATTAGTTGACATTCTTCATCAGAGGGTATATATCCTTCATCATAAATAAGTTTAGCTTTCATAGATAAATCAGCCTTCTTTTCATCAGATAAATCATCAATAGTAATTGATGTCTCCAAGAAATTCATTCTTTCTTTTAACACACGAATCATTTGAAGCCAACTTCCTTTTGCACCAAGATCTCTCCTACATAATTGCATATATGGAAATGGTCTATGTGCTAGCATTAATGGACCATCTTCACCGGGAACAAAACTTCGATCATAATTGATTTCATCTATGGCACTACTGCTAATGGGACTAACTCCACTTTGACAATTTTCAACCAATCCATTAACACTGGGTGGTGCATTTGACCTGAGAGTACTTTCTAATTCCACTATTTGATTCTTGATAACTTCGATCTGTTGAAAGACATTTGTAGCACTGGTTGAAACCGATTGTTTGATAATTGAGTCTGATTTTTTCACTAGATTTTTCCGTTCTGCGGCTTTGCTATAAGTACATTCAGTTTCTTGTCTAACGCATGATAAACATGGCAGTTGTCGATCACATTTCAATTTCCTCGAGTAACAGTTGTCACAACTTAATATCAATCTACCTCTTTTTTGTTTAGTCATTAGTACATTGACTTTTTGGGAATAAATAGAGAAATAAGATTAGGAAAAAGAAGAAATAATAATGGTTCGGGCGAAACTTCGGTCCAAATTTATAAGTTTTATATTTTTTTTTTTTGGCGCTAGCTTAAAACATGCAGAAATCCAAAGTCCGAAACAAACGTTTGGTCCAGAATAATGAACCTCAGTATTATATGGGGATTGAAAATAAAAGGGATTTTAATTGGTTGTAAACTGTTGTGTGCCGTAGTATTTGATGAAAGTAGCTACGATACTTTCATGTGTGAATGAAATCATCTACTGGTTATCCTGTATCACAGACACATAATATTTTCGCAGCCAAATTTGCAAAAAATTCTAAAACAATTGGCTGCATAAAGTTAGAATTTAGACATAGTTTAAAAAGGAATACAAAAAACTAGATTTGTCGGAGGTGAAACAGAATAATATATCTTTTTGCTTCTATTGGTAATTTGTCTATATAGAAAACGTTTCTATGTTTATCAAAGTCCACTTATGGCACTACCTCCTGAAAATTTTCTACAGAATCAAATAAATCAAAATCAAATGTAAAATTGATATCTGCATTATTGAATTTTCTAGCTTTTTCAATCCATGTACTAGATGCCATTCCCTCAGTTGATATCTTCTTTATTTGGAACCATAGATTATCAATCTGCATTTCTTCAATTAGTTCTTCGTCTGAACCTGTCCATATATCATTCGACTCAATATCTTCCTTGGTCATATTACCGTGCAACAAGGAAGTGATCTCTCTAAGCGTAGTTAACGGAATCTCAATGATTGCATCTTTTCTAGTTTCGGGCAGATTGCCTGAGAACAATTTCTCATTATTATCATACAATTTTAAAATATTGGAATGCACTTTCGAAATACGGAATGCATATAAATATACATTAGACAGTTTATTCAAGATTTTGACTTTATGGAATAAGAATTTGCCAAGTATGGAATTGCTTTCATGTAGTATATTCATTATATCGTTTGGTGAGTGGCCGTCAAATTGTTTAATTGTCTCAGGATTGTTATGAAACTCGAAAAGTGTACACCCAATTCTGTGTTTCAAGGAACTGAATATTATAAATAACAATTGAATATATGTATGAAACAAAGGAGCTAGAAAGAGTGCATACCTATGTGATTCTTTGCTGTAAAAAAACCTCGAAGATAACCCATTCATGTCAATCAAAAGAATTTCCATGGTTTTGTTATAATAATATATCAGCAATGGTACCTTTTTAGCTTCATAATACAAGTATAAGCAATAGTGGTTGTATGCCAAAAATAGTTTTATATATATGAGTAATCGACAGCAAAATACATTTACGAAAAAAGGGTTTGTCAAATAGGAATCAATAGTTTTCAATTTCAATGCCGTTTCCACTTCCAATCGAGAGATTAGGCTAGTGACCAACTCAACATCAACAGTTCCATCAACTATCAAATGAAGATCCGCAAGTTTACCACATATAGTAAGCAATTCTTGAAACCGATGGAAAGAATGAATAATCGTCCGTTCCATTTCCATATTCTTTATGTTCGGTTCCAATTCGGAAAATTGAGGCAAACCTACATCAAAAGTATTTGAATTAGTAGATAAAGTAGTTCCAAATAAAATTGAATTAAGTATATCTGTCCCCACAAGCAAATGCCAAATCTTTTTCCTCAAATTTTGATGCCTTGCTGAACCAATTCCAAGACAACCGGGATCTCTATTCAAACCGAGGGCATATGCTAATTGGATGATTGACCCCATTGAAATCTGAATTTCACCGCCAGATAAAAAATTCTCTCTTGAATACATTGAGTATAATCGCAAGAGCAAACCCGCCTGTAAAGCGATTAGCGGTTGCCGCTTGCTTAGATCAAACTCTTTCATTATAACTTCAGCAATTTTTATAGCATCCAAAGATATCGGGTAGTTTATTAGTTCAGAAGAACTTGGCCCTGTGAAATTAAACAAAGAAACATATGCGAGGCGTATAGCAACTAAATGGATCACCAAAATGGCCAAGTCGTATGAATTTTCTATCTTAGGTGCAGGGTGTAAATAAGTTCCCGAAGATTCATTGACTGGGATAATTCGTTGAAGATCATTTCTGAAATCGTTTTCATCAATCACAGGCATGAATGGATATATTTTGTCAAAGAAGATATCTAAGAGTTTTTCATTTACCCAAGGTGGGCCAATTAGATCAAAATAAGAATCCATTGTATCGAACGTATTAGTACAAGCTGCAAAAGATATTGATTTGATCAAGGCATGATGATTAATTATAGTTTTTAATTGATTCACAGAATATATATTTTCATCCCATCCTGGAATATAACCTTCTCCATAAATGATTTTTGCTTTTACTACTAATTCATTTCTCTTTTCTGGGGATAAACTAGTTACAGACACTGACGAGTCTAGAAAGTTTGAGATCTTCTTGTAGACACTGATAAAATGATTCATTACCAAACGTGCTCCAACATCCCTCCGTAATAGTTGCAAATATGGAAATTGTCTATGAGATATTATCAAGGGTCCCATTTCCCCTTGTCTAAAGCCGTAATTGAAGTTAATTTTGTCAAACTGACTATCAATTGGGTTAAGACCAATTTCACAATCAGGAACCAAGCCAAAGAATCTCGGGCTTGTCTTATGAGGTTGCGAGAGTTCAGGGCTTGTCTTTATCAAAATGGTAGATAGTCTTTTGGGTGTCTCTGTACTTTTATCATATTCTGGCGAAGTCAGCCCAAAAGAAGCTGACTCTTTATTGGATTTGTTATAACTACACTCGATTCCTTTTCTTTCACAATTTGAACATGGAGATTCTCGATCACATTTGATTTTCTTCGTATAGCATTGATCACAACTAAAAGTTGTCCTTCCTCTTTTCCGTTTATTCATTTCTGAGAGAAGAATCGAGTGACCTGAAGGTTTTCAGAGTCCAGGAAATGGAAGTCTCGGTCTAAAATATTCAAACAATATTCTGGCGCCATTCTCGGCCTAAAGCAATTTTTTTTGGGCCGGACCTCGGACAATTTTGGGTACAATTTCGGACAAAACAATTCACATACAATTACATCAACTATATACAAGACTATATTATACTACTAACACGCGATCAGCTATAGGGATCAAACAGAAGCAAACCCACTATCTAATAAGAAATTGTTAACATCCAAATCAAAATTGAACTCAGGGACTGAATTATTAAATAATCTTGCTTTATCAATCCAAGAACTAGTTACCATTTCTTCAGTGATAATTTTTCTCATTTGAGTCCAAAAGTTACTGACTTGCATTTCCTGAATTAGATCATCTTCTGATCCTGTCCAAATATCATCCGGTTCTATACACGTTCTTGAATTGACCTTTTTGAAAAGCTTTGCAAGATCATGAATTTCTTTCAGTGTGAAGTCAATAAAAGCAACTTTTACCAAATCAGGATGACTTTCTGATAATATATCCATACTTTCTTGAAGTTTCAAACAATTAGAATGGATCATAGTAAGCAGCCATAAGTTTACATATGTATCGCCTAGTGTAATCAATACTTTGGTTTTATGAAGCATGAAACGTCGAATCGAAGAATCAAAGTCCTTTAATAGAATCATAAAGGATTCTATAGACTCATTTGGAAATTTTGCTATTTGGGTAGAATCTCTTTCTAATTCATAAATGGTAGCTAAAACCCTACACCGTAAAGTCAGGAAAACAGACGAAACCAAGTGAATATAAACATAAAATAATGGTTGAAGCATCAATACAACCCCGATACGGTCGATTTTTTCAATTCGTTTCCAATCAAACTCTTGTAAATCAACTAATAAAATGTGGACTACTTTCTCAAAATAATGCATTTTCAAGGAACTACCTTTTGCTTCATAATAATAATATAAACAACAATAATTGTAAACTAGATATAATTTAATATAAAGTAATACCCGACAACATAATATGCCTGTAAATGAAGGATCTTGCAAATGCTTATCCAAAGTTGATAATCTCAACGATGTTTCAACTTCCAATTGAGAAAGCAAGTTTGTTACTAAACTAACATTGAATTTCCCATTTACAATCAAATGTAAATGAGACAATTTGTAGCAAATTGAAAGCATATTTTGGAAATCATGAAATGAAGCAATAATTTGTTCTTCCAATTCATTATCTCTTGAATTTGAATGTGCTTCATTATATTCTGGTAATGGTACATCAAAAGTTTTTGGATCAGTTGAAAGTGAAGTTCCAAATAAAATCGAATCCAAAACATCCAATCGAACAAGGTAATGCCATATTTTCCTTCTTAAATTTTGATATTTCCCTGATTTTACATTGAGACAAATTGGATCTCTATTCAACCCTAAAGAATATGCCATTTGAATAATTGACCCCATTGAGATTTGAGTTCCACTCCCCGATACAAAATGTTCACGAGAATAACAAAAATATAATCTTAACATCAATCCTGCTTGTAATACTATAAGGGGTTGTCTCTTGGCTAAATCAAATTCTTTCATGATTATTTCTGCAACTCTAGTTGTATCTACAGAAATGGGGAAACTCAATAGTTCAGAAGCAGCAGAACAAGGACTTCTGAAATTGAATAATGATAGATAACTAAATCTTAAAATGATTAAATGAATTGCCAAAAGTGCCAAATCATTAGCCGATTCAATCTTTGGTGTGGGGTGTAAGTATGCAGAACCATCTTCAGAAGTTGGGATAATTCTTTCTAAATCCATTCTAAAATCGTTTTCATCAATTATTGGCATGGCTGGGAAAATAAGTTGAAAGAATAAATCTATGAGTTTTTCATTTACCCAAGGAGGAGGAATTAAACTAAAATAAGAAACCATCGGATCAAACACTTGAGTATAAGTTAGGAAGGAAATACCTCTTGAAATTGCATAATGAGATATTGATTCTTTAATTTCATTAAGTGAGAATGGACCTTCATCTGTGTCAGGTATATAACCTTGACCAAATTTCAATTTTGTTTTCATTTTAATTTCATTCTTTCTTTGTGGAGATAAATTTTCTATAGTCACTGATGTTTCATAAAATTGTGGCCGTTCTTTAATAAGTTTTAGAAAGTATACCCACATAAATCTTGCACCCAAATCTCTTCTTAATAGTAATAAATAAGGGAATGGTCTATGGGAAATTAATAATGGACCAGTTTCACCTTCTCTGAATCCCAAATTGAAATTAATCTCATCATCATGGTCATCAATAGGGTTAACTCCGACTTTATATTTGGGGTAGTATGATTGATTAGAAGGGGGAGTAGATTGGTCTATGGGACTAGAACTTCCTTCTAATTGAGCAATTCTTCTTTTTATAGACTCAATTTCCTTTAGAGTCTCTTTAATTTTGGATGATTTCTTGGTAACCATTGTTTTCCGATCATTTGCTTTAACATAAGTACAATCAATTTGCAGTTTGATACAAGCCAGACAAGGATTTAGCCGATCACATTTAAGTTTCTTTGAATGACAAGAATCACAACTGAATATGACTCGAACTCTTTTAGATTTGTTCATTGATGGTTGTAGATCTCTGTTCAATTGTGCAATAGATTACAAAAAAACAGTGTGGTGGTTGTTTCGGCTTTAAAAAAAAAAATCGGAATTTCAATTTCTATTTTCCATTGGGGATCAGAGCCTTTAATTCAACCAATCAACGCGTGTCTCTGTAAATACGAAGATATGGTTAAACCGTAAATGATTATTTAAAATCCTCTTAATTTAATAAAAGTTTTACCATTAATTTGTTTAATTAATAAAACATCATTTGTTATTAAATTATCAATCATAAATTTAGTTTGTGAATAATTCATGATATTATTAATTAAAATCCATTCTGATTCTTTAATTAATAATTGTTCAATTATATTTGACCATTCAATTGTAAGTTGAGTAATTAATTGTTTATCAATAGAAGTTAAAGGATTGGATGTTCCCGATATTGTTAAATATTTAACAATTATTCTTTTTAAATTTAATGAAATTAATTCTTTAACTTTAATCAGTTGATTTAATTGAGATACAATCTCAGTAGTATTATTATCATTAGATTGGTAACCTAACTGGTGCTGTTTGTCTTTTAATTGTTCAATTATCTGTTGTTTAGTTTGTTTGTTCTTATTAATAACATCAAGAAGTTGTTTATATTCTTTAATTAATAAATCCAAAGAATCTATCAGTTTTAGTTCATTTAATTCTAATTGATATTGTTGTTGTAAATCATCCAAAATATTAATAGTAGATACAATACCAATAGTATCATTCTTATCAGTTAAATAAGGAATCTTTTCATATGATTCATTCAAAGCTATTAATCTCTTTTCAATTGGACAATCAATCTGATACTTATTTAAATTATTAATTATGAGATCAGCTTGTTTATTAAATTGTTTAACGCGTTCAATATCTTTTTGTAATCGATTTAAATAAATTTCATTAACATCTGAAGTATTAATAGCAATATCTTGTTGTTGTTGATGCTGGTGACTCTCATTGATTCTTGAATTCAACAAGAGATCTAATAGTATTTCTCTTTTTGACATACTTAATNAGATCAGCTTGTTTATTAAATTGTTTAACGCGTTCAATATCTTTTTGTAATCGATTTAAATAAATTTCATTAACATCTGAAGTATTAATAGCAATATCTTGTTGTTGTTGATGCTGGTGACTCTCATTGATTCTTGAATTCAACAAGAGATCTAATAGTATTTCTCTTTTTGACATACTTAATAAGAATATCAACCTTTTACAACACGGTTTGATAATTGCTAACAGAAATTTAACAATAAATTCCAAGAACAAATCAGAAGTGCAAAAAAAAAAAAAATCAATTTTTGAAAAATTCAAATATTTCATTCAAGCTGTTGTTAGATATTAAACATCTGAATAAAGCATTACATTATCATGTCCTCACTTTCAACTTCTATAGTCCAAAGTCTAGACGAAGCCTCTAGAAAAGAGATTATGCAGTTCATTGAATCAGAACAATCAAAATCAAAGGTTCAACTGTCTATTCATAGTTTCACTGATATGTGTTTTAAAAAATGTAATAAAGATAAACCAATAATTACAGGTTCATTGGATTCAAATGAAGAAAGATGTCTTGTCAACTGTTTAAATAGATTCTTAGATACAAACATTAAAGTGGTGGAAGCTTTACAAGCTGGACGTTAGGAAAAATAGGTGGGTCATCCCTGTATATATATAGCTAGATAGTTTGGAAAATCAAATAAACAAAATACTCCTAATGGATATTCTTGTCAATATAGGATATTGTACTCAGATATTCTTCCAATTTATCACACTTCTTAGATAGTTTCTTGAGTGCTTCTAAATTCTCAATAATCTGTGTTGCAACTGGTTCATTGCTCATTTCATATTTCTTCAATCTTTGTTGCACAATGTACCATGCTCCAATAAAGTCAAAATGATAAGAAAACAATATTTCAGAAAGCCCTTTAGGATATTCTTGAGTAATAATCTTATGATGACATTGTAATGCATCTAATACAGCTGTTGTTGATGTCGTTTCTAATAATCCAACATCTGTTATAATCTGATTTAAAGTAAACATAATCTTTGACATACTAAGAAACACTTCGATGGAAAGTTCTTCAATCATCCTATTCAATGTCTTTAGCAATATTTCAATAATCACACCCGTATTCGCATAATCTCGATTATTTAGCAAATGACCTAATGATGGTAAAACATGTGAATTAAGTATATCTATCAAATCCAATTTAGTTCCATAAATCAATTCAATATCTATAATACAAGGATATGCCACGCTTAATATAGCTTTTGATTCATCAACAGGCGTTATGCTAGGAACATGGACAAGACATTTCCTTAAACCTTCTTTTAGTTCAGGAATTAACCCCGAATTTTGAATACTATTGAAGTTGAAATCAAGTTCCAGAAATCGTGTAACAAGGCGTTTAAGGATCTGACATGCTTGTACTTTTGCCGGGATATCACCTTCATCAATAAGATTTAAAATAAATGCAATCGTAAGTAACCAAAATTCACCCTTCCATACAGAATTCAATGTCGCACAATCAATCAAGAACCACGCATTAGTTAAAGAATGGGGATGATGCTTCCATTGGTCTTTTCTTTCTTGAAATTGGAGTTCATTCTTTATCCGACTGTATCCCAATCTTGGACGAAGTCCACCACCAGATTTAGCTTTGGCCCTATTCTCTGAAGTGTTCAATTTCTTCAAGTTCTGTTTATATACATTGGAAATAAACTCTGGTACATATGACTGGCTATCAATATTGTGTTTTCGTATTATAGATTTAACTATCTCTGAATTTGTGCTATTACTCCAAGGAAGATATGGATTTGAATGTAAAGAAAGGACTTCTATTGTTTCCGGCTCCAACTCAAAGCAAACACGTAACAATCGTAGATATCTATAATATTGCAAATGAGTAGGACTTTCCAAATTCCAATCAATATTCTCAGGTAGTTGTAATTTCTTTATAAGGATATCTTGGATATGATTAATTGGATGACTAATCATTAACAGTTCAATTTTGAAAGTTTCATAATCATCATTTAAATTGATGAGCTGGTTCGGTATTTCAGCTAATTGTATTTGTATATCAACAACATCTTTTATAAGATCATCCATTTGTGATCGAGTTAATTCTTTCAGACCAATTGATTGTCTCGTTATTATCATTTGTACCAAAGAAAGGATTAAAGTAAACTATAGAAATTTTGACAACCATCAGTACACCCAAAAAAGTTACACCCTCCCATACAAATTTTCATAAAAATTTGGTAGCACCATGACATCTTCTCCTTCAATTTTCCCAGTAGGTAATTTCTTTTGTAAGGATTTCCAAACAACTATCCATTGAGTAAGCAAATGTTATCCAGAACATCCATTAGAAGACTATCAACACTCCCAATCACTATCTCACATGAAATCAAACAAGCTTTAAGTGATTGTACCCCAATCGTTGCATTAGAATCAACAATCATCACCCATGGATTACCATATCCTCAAAATATTGAAATGGCTTTGGAAGTAGAACAAACAATCAGAAACAATGGAGCAATCCCAGCTACATGTGCATTCATAAATGGTCAACCATTCATTGGATTACAAGAATCACAATTAAATGAATTGGCAGAATATGCTAAATCTGGTTTGGTTAATAAAGTATCACGTCGTGATATTGGTTACGTAATGGCAAATAAACAATACGGAGGTACTACAATAGCACTGACTATGATACTTGCTGAAAAAGCCGGTATTAAAGTGTTTGCTACTGGAGGATTAGGCGGGGTGCATAAGGAGGGTGAAAGAACGTTTGATATATCTGCCGATTTAACAGAATTAGGAAGAACCCCGGTTTCAGTTGTTTGTGCTGGTCCAAAATCAATTCTTGATATTGGGCTAACTATGGAATATCTTGAGACTCAAGGAGTCTTTGTTGGGACATATGATGAAACTGGCAGTTGTAAAGGTGGATTGTTAGATATTCCTGGATTCTATTGTCGTGAATCTGGTACACCATCGCCGTATTTATTTCACAGCTTTGCAGAAGCAGCTTCGATAATATACAATCAGAATATAGTAATGGGGTTAAAGTCAGGAAATGTCTTTTGTATCCCTCCACCAAAGGAATCCGCATTAGATTCAAAGTTTATATCAGAAATTATCGAGAATGCTAATATTGCTGCCAGAAACCAAGGTATCAAAGGAAAACAATTGACTCCATTCTTGTTGGAGCAAGTTGCCAAAGAAACCAAAGGGAAATCTGTCACTAGTAACATCAGTCTTGTTAAGAATAATGCTAAAGCAGCTAGTGAAATTGCAAAAGAATTAGCAAAATTACAAAATGTACGTATTTCTGATAATAAAGGTAATAAATATTATGATATATATTGAGAATGTTTTACTAATGGAAAAACCAAGTAGCCACATATAAGTACATTTGTCCCGCTTGTCACAGAAAGTAAACCTTTGGAATCCAAACCTTCTGCTCCCACGCAGAAGTGTGATTTAATGGTAATCGGGTCTATTGCTTTGGATACCGTCTCCAAATTGAACCCCGGTGCTAAAATGAATGATTCTAACATTGGTACTGTACAGAATTCAATTGGCGGAGTTGGGTATAACCTATCATTAGCAAGTCAATTTGCTTTGGAGAAATACCCAACAATTTCTTCGAAGTTAATATCACAAGTTGGTGACGATATTGCTGGGAGATTCATCCTTGATCAGCTCAAGCGTCAAACAACAGATTCATCTGGAGTCCGAATTACTTCGAAAGGGAACACTGCACAATATGTTTGCACACATGATGATAAAGGTGATTTGATTGTCGCATGTGCAGACATGTCAATCATTGAACAAGACTTTTCCCAAGATATCATTCAAGAGGTTAATTCCAATGATCCTAAGATTGTTATATTTGATTGTAATTTATCTCCAGCAACTGTATCTAAAGTTTTGAACCGAAAGCTTAATTCATATATCATTATAGAGCCAACATCTCATGTTAAGGCTAAACGAATTGGATCGTTTGGTTTACAAGTATTTCCAAATAATCAAGTCCAGATGATAACCCCAACCATAAGAGAATTAGAATCCATATACGAATCATTTAGAAATAATGGACAATTTGAAGATTTAGACAATTGGTTCCCAGTATTAGATGCATTGAATATTGATACAATATTCCGAGAAAAGTTAGATAAAATTAGGAATCCAGTAATTCAGAGTCTTTTAGCACAAGGTATATTCCAACAATGTTTGCATTTGATCCCATATTTCCAGAATATTTTGGTTAAATTAGGAGATAAAGGAGTAATCCTTATTAGCATTTGCACGTCGATTGATGATTATAAAAGCATTCCTACTACTTCTCCATATAGACCAGAACTTATCATAACTAGTCAGGGAAGACAAATAGATGATACTAGACGTATGGGAGTTCTGATTGAATACTTTCCAATTCCCGAAGAGAATAAGAATCTCGAGATTGTAAATGTTACTGGTGCAGGGGATAGTTTCTTGGGATATTTGGCAGCTTCAAATATCATTAACCGACATGATACTAAGTCTAACTGGCTTGCAAGTGATATTATTGATATCGAACAAGTTTGGAATAAATGGGAATGTATTTATAAAGCTCAATTAGCTAGCGGATTATCATTGAGGAGTAATGAAGCAGTTAGTCATAAAATTTCACAACTTTAAGTTAGCTTGTTGACTGGTAAATTTGAAATGGAGTTGCCGATCTCGGAAGCATTCCCCAACCATATTCAAGAGATAATTTGAACCCAACATTAAGGTGGCAAACGAGTGGTGTATTTAATAGGTTCTGTTGTATCTTTATAGGGATGCTTTTCTTACATACAAAAATGACTTAAATAGTTTTTAATAAATTTGAATTATAATTGGTTACTCCATAAGAATATCCACATGGTTACCTAAAATTTAAGTTTGATTACTTTTAAGGGATTTTATCTTTTTAATCAATTGCAACGTCGTATGATTTTTCACTTCTGATCTATTTATTAAAATAATTTATTTTTTTCCCCTTCATTTATCCTTAATTGAAGAAATTTTTCAATTTAATTTGAATGGCTTCTTCTTCTTCTTCTTCTTCTTATGAATAATACTAGATAATTATATTGCCAATGTTTCGATTATTTACTCAAAGGGCTTTAGCTCTTGGTGGGAAGAGGCTGTTCAGATATGCTTCAACTTCATCCAATGCATTCAAGTACACTTTACCAATTGCAGTTGGATTATCATCGTTTGCAATTTATACTACAACAAATAATAATTCAATTTCCCTTGATTCGAAACCATATACTTCAGAAGATACAATTAATGTGGATTCCACTCTTCTTCCATTCCCAAGAGAAATTAAAACGTCACAAGGTCAATTTTCTCAAGACATTCAATTGATAGGACATGGAGTTAGAACAGTTACCTTTTTATCGATGAAAGTTTATGGAATTGGAATTTATATCGTACAAGATGATATTAAGAAAGCACATACTATAATTGAAAAGATTGGCAGTGATAAATTGAAAGATCCTAAACAATCAGAAGAAGTTATTGGAGAATTATTAAGTAATGGAGTTAGATTTGTTGCAAGAATTTGTCCAACTAGAAATACTGATTTCAATCATTTAAAAGATGGATTAATAAAATCAATTTTAGCTCATCCTAAAAGTAAAGAAGTTAGAGAAGAATTAAATATTGGATTAGAACAATTAAGAGAAGCATTTCAAGGAAGAAGAGGATCAGTTCCTAAAAATCATTCTATTGCTTTAGAAATACGTGAAAATGGTAAACTTGCAGTATCATATATGAATCCATTTAAACATGAAATTGTTCCAATGGGAATCATAGACCAACCTTTAGTTAGTAGACAATTATTCTTACAATATTTAAGTGGAGAGAGACCATTATGTGAACCACTTAGAAAGTCATCAATAGAGGAATTATCACGTTTATAAAAAAGTTATAAATTAGTTTTTAATATGTTGTTTTCCCCAAATAAATTAAATTATATTAATATGAATTTATAAAAAAGATAGAAGAAAAGTTTCCAAAGATTAAAAAGAATTAAATGAATCAACATGTTGTTCCTTTTTCTTAGAACTATTTATAAAAATACAAGGTTTGTGAAAGATAATGAGTTTTTGTCTTTTTCTTACATAATAATAGCTTCATGTTCAACATTTGTAGAAATAGATTTATGAGGTAAGACTTTAGCACCATTAACGTAAATTTCATTCTTAATTTCAACATCATCACCTAAAACGGTAACACCTTCAGTTCTAGCCCATTTACCGATTCTAGAATTCCAACCAACAATTGTAGATTTAACCCAAGCATGGTCTTTAACTTCGGAATTAGCTAACAAGACAGATCTTTGAATTCTGGCACCTTCACCAACGACAACATTTGGACCAATGGTGACATTAGGACCAATTAAAGCAGAAGGATGAATCTTGGCGGTTTCATCAATCAATACGTTACCACCATGAACAAATTTTTCTTTAGATAATTTTTCTGGGAATTTTTGAGAAAGGGAAGTTAAATACAAACAAGTACCAGAAAGGAAATCTTTTGGTTGACCAACATCCATCCAATAACCTTCTAAATCAAAAGAATATAATTGTTTTTGTTCAACCAAGAGCGGGAAAGTTTCCTTTTCAATTGAAGTTGGTTTCATATCAATTAAATCAATAACTGATGGGTTTAAAATATATAAACCAGCATTAATTCTATTACCAACAAATTCAACTGGTTTTTCAACAAATCTATCAATCAAATTTGGAGTATCTCTATCATGAACAATAACACCATATTTAGATGGTTCATCAACTTTAGTAGCAACAATGGTACCAGCAGCACCATGAGCCTTATGGAATGCAGCTAATTCAGCAAATGGATAATCACAAATAACATCTGAATTTAATACAAAAAATGGAGTATCATCTTTCTTTAAGATTTTTTCAGCCAATTTTAATGGACCAGCAGTACCTAAAGGTTCTTCTTCAACTGAGAAAGTAATGGAAACACCATATTCTTTTTCATACTTTTGTAAAGTGGCAACCATAACTTCTGGACGATAATTGACAGCTAATACAATATCAGTAACACCAGCAGCAGCAAGAGCTTCAATTTGATGTAAAATCATTGGTCTATTACCAAATTCAACTAATGGTTTTGGTAAAGTTAAAGTTAATGGTCTTAATCTGGTACCATAACCACCTACTAAAATTAAACCTTTCATATTTTATGTAATGTAATGTGAATGTATATAAACTATAATGTCAGTTCTTAATGATAAAGAATTGTCAAAGAGCAAGAAAAATTTCAATTAAAAAAAAAAAAAATTAATGAAATTTAAAGGAAACTTGAAACTTATTTATATTAATTTTTTTTTTCACTGTCTCTCTCCTCGAATGTTGAAAGTTTTAAAATTTAATTAAAATTATCAAAGAAAAATTAAATGAATTTCTTAGTATTGTTTTAAATTTGGTGTATTGTTTTTCTATATCCGCCAACAACGAAAGCAACCATTCGGTATGAGGCGTTGTCCATTATTTCGATACGTGTAGTTTTTGTGAATGGGTATTGTATTGTATGGTCTTGTATTATGTAAATAACACGTAATTAAATAAATTTTTCATCGTGTAGAGAAAGATTATATGCAGTATTCCGTATAATAAATTATTATTTTCTTTTGTCCTATTTTTAGACTTTTTATTTATTTTTCATATTTCTATTTTAATTACACTTTCTATCTTTAACCTTATTCACATATTTGACATATTTCTTTTTTTATCATTCAATTTTAATACTTGATGGCAATGCAAAAAGAATATCATGATGACAAAGCATCAATCATGTCTCATTACCAAGACAAAAATGACTAGAATACAACAAACAAGAAAAGTCCATTGGGCCCTGACCTTTTTTCTATTCAAAACGCAATGGTTCTATTTTCGTTTACGCGTTTAATGTTTTTTCTTGGACACGTCCGTCAAGCCACACACACAAAAATAAATTAAGTATGACATACACACATTATACAATACAATACACTGGCAGTAATTCATACCAGCTGATAGTAACAATAGAGATATATACAATCAAAGAAAAACGTTGGACGTGACTTACTAGTTTTTGCTTAATCTGATAATAATTATATTCATTATAATCGTTAAATTATATTTCATCTGAAAAACGTTCTCTACTGCATAATTAGAATTCGTATACTTCGCTTAAAGTAACACGTTGCTATTGACTAAGAGTTATGATTATAGTGGGTTTTTTTTGTGTTTCGAAACCCACACATAGAATACTCCTATTTATCGCGTCAATTTACTCCATATGTGTATCAATTGACATTCCCATTTGTATGGGAACTGTTCCAAGTAACTATTTGGTTTTAGTAGTTTGTGACATCAGGCCAAGCAAACTAAAAAAAAAAGCTCAGGTTTGTGGTACATTTCATTCCATCGGAGAAACTTGAAACTTTCGGAACAATATAATAATTTTTTTTTTCTTTGCGCATACAATTTGACTTCCGTTTTGGGAATCTTGTAGTTTCTTTTTCTTTGGCTGGAAATATCAAGATACCACAAGGCACGGTCAAATCGCTCTTCAATGCCAACATGATACAAGAATGTAACCAGTGACATCTCCAACATAATATAGAATCACGAATGGTACTCCTGAATATAATGCCGAATATAGTGTCGGAAGTTCAGAACACATTTGTGAAACAAACGCATTGCTTACAGATTGGAGCCTAAAGTGGACTCGGGCCACAGTAAGGGCGTTGCAAGATTATCTCGAACTCCATTTCGATAAGATCCAGTATATCTCCTTCTCATTACCAAAGAAAGTTTCCTTACCTTTGATTTCTACAAACTGTCAATTTTAAAACTTACTTTTCAACCCATGTTCAAATCAAGAAGTTGCGGCCAATCTGAGATGTGACATTTTGACTACAAAAATGTATTTTCATTGAACTACATATCTACAATGGTGTTTTAATGATTACACACATGATTAGCAAAGGGAGAAAATTATACACGATATCAAATACTATAATCTCGAGATTAATTTTCTTCGTTAAACATCTTCTCAGTTTCCTTCCTATAATATTCTTTGATCTCTGCCAATTTCTGTTTTTGCATTTCCTCAATAATTTTAAATTCACGATTAATATCTTCCTGTAATTCATTTCTTTTCTTAAGTACATTAAATTCAAGCAATTTGAGCTTATTAATTAAATTATCTGATAGCAACTTCAAGCCTTCGGTAATTACATCGTATCCTTGATCTTTACCGCATTCAAGCATACTTGTCTTATTTGTGGATTCGTTCAAAGTAATACTCGTGAATTCTTCTCGTTCAACACCGGTTGGAGTCGAGATTGCAAGCATCTCTTGACTAGCAGTGCTGTTCTCCTGAAAATGAAGAGCAAGCTCTCGATCAACACTGGTACTAGATACCTTTGAAGGTGTTTCTGGAGGGACAGAATTGACTACTTTGGGAACCTCTGCTTGGTTGCGGAAACATGTTGTAGCATCTGATTTTTGGTAATTGCCAGTGCTTGCATTTTCAGATTCAGTATGGTTAGCTACATTATCCTTAACTTTTTGGGATCCGATAGGTTGAGATGATTCAACTATTTCGTCCGATACATCCTGCGTCAACAACTGAGTATCAAGTATTTGATTTCTCTTTCCTCTTCTTCCTGCTTTTGGCAAAATCGCCATTGACTGTTCAGATTCGTCATCTCCAAGTTGAACATCTCTAGTGGTAGACTTGGAAGGAGTGGAAACCTTGCAGGTGGCCAATTGTGAAAATTGAGATGTTTCCAATACGTCAGTTTCATTAATATTATCTTCATCGGAACTTGGTATCTCCCATATGCTTTTACTGGCATTGTTTTTGTTGCTACCATAATGCCTTCTCTTCACTCCGTGACTAGACAAAATTGGAACATCTTCATCAAAATTGAGACAATCAAGTTTAGCAATAAACTGACCTGAAGAATTACGTTTGCGTTTTCGAACTTCATTGTTTTTGGAATTTTCGATGATACATCTAATGTTTGAAGTCGTCATTTTGTCCAATACATTCGTGGGTTCTACTTCAGAACTAACACTCTCTTGTGTCGCAGGTACTTGTATAGAAGAATTAATGGAAACTTTCTTTGCTTTGTGACAATCTTGTGCATTCTTCAAATAATTGATAAGCCATCCCATTTGTGAAGGTTGCTTTAACTTGACTTCAAACATGATATCAAAAAATTCAGTGCCTTCCATAATCATTGAGAATGATTGCATGTAATCAATAATTGAAGGATCACATGATCTAAGCTGGCGATAATCCTTACATTTAAATGAAAATCTGATGGTAGCATTTGGTAAAGTGGAAAATGATTCTATTGTCATCAAATTGATAAAATATGGAATTAATTTTCTTTTGGAACCTGTCCAGAGAATTAATAAGTTAGGTTGGATTGGATGAAGAAAGCAATCATTGTTATCAGGTAAGATCGTTGCTTGGGATTTCGTCTTGCATAATATTAAGTTCTTAAAAGATGGATTTATCCGAGAAATGTATTTGATTTGAGTTTGTGGATTAATTTCTTTCAAATCAGGGAGAAATTTTCCAGTCAATCCTAAATTCACAAATAATTTCATTAGAAACATTAAATTTGAAAAATCTCGATTCTCCTTAACCAGAGAATGAAATTTAACCACATTGCTTCTACTGTTCAATAACTTCTTAAGATCCTTCATCAAATTAGTATTATGTTTATAACTGATAAAATTTAACAACTGGAATGTACATAACCAGGACGATGGTTGTGAGTTCAAACAATTGTCAATCATAAGCTCCAACATATGTGAGTCGTCTGCAAACACCATAAATTTCTAAGCAAAAGTGTTAGTATAGCACCATTTAATAAATTGAATAAGTTGAACATACCATTAGAACAGGCCAATATTGTTTTATTTCCAAACCCATATCCTGAAATAACCTGCTCATAGTTAAGTTGATAATGAAATAAATCAAGTTTGAATCGTTGTATTCTTGTGCCATCAAAACTTCAATGAATATTCGAATGCTGTTCTTGAGACGATCAATCAATTGTTTATCAAAAGGTAAGGTTGAGGATTCAAAAAGTGCTTCAAGTTGTTTCACCAATGAATTTAATTCATCTATCGTAGCCTTTGGGACAGATTGCAGACCAGCTTTCAACTCATCCTTAAGAACATTAAATAGATCAATGAAGTGTTCTAATGTAGCTTTCATATTGTCATTGATATAGCAGAGAAAGGAATCTAATACTTCCGAAATTTTGGTTGTAAAAATTTCAAATCAAATGTTTCTGCTGCAAATAAAAACTAAAAGACGTGTATAAGTTCCAAGAGTAAAAATCATGCCTCATCTATTTATTTGCCAAATTTGATAAAGCTTTCAACTGTCAAGAGAATGCTATCGATTCCATCCAACTTAAGACTATAATAGAAGCTTTGGTAGTCGGTTCCTTCATGTATGTTAAGTGACGTAAATATTTGAAAAGAACAATCATTTCACGAGAGTATATACGTTAAAAGATAAGACCATCTTATATTCAATTGAGGGCTTCATAATATAAATATTGTAACTTGTTACGAGGAAAATTCTATTTACATTAGTCAGCATTTATTTTGATGGTCACGCTGTTCGTATGACAACGCTTTTGAATTTGCAACCAAAGATGATCTTATCAGCTAGACCCTGAGAAAAGAGGGCTAGAGTTGTCTGATTTTAGCCTTCTGTAGAAATAGTGGTAGTTGTGGGATTCTCTCTGATATGGTACGAGATGGATTAGCTGCTGGTATTGTCTTGTTAGAGACTCATGTCCGGTGATAAATCGATTGTCGCTCTGTCCCCCAAGTCCATAAAGGAAACCAATGGTGAATACTAAGTAGGTATTTAAAATATTGCATATTTATTTTGCGTAGATTGTAAAACGAAACTTATTATTAGCTATATCGGAAATCATTACCAAACGTAACGGTATACCATAATATGGTAGGCTGAGACACTGATCTTCAAGTAGAATGTACGTAAATATGATCTTCCACGACTTTAAAGAAGGGAAAATACTAAGTGTAAGTTGGAGAGTCTTCCAGACATTCACACTGTTCCCAAGTTGGTGAGTGGCAACCATGTTACTACGAATTGAAGCTACAAACATTTCCCCCTCAATTAATAATAACTCCGAAGTATTTCAATGACGACGCAACCATTTGGTCCAGATTAAAACTTGGAACAATGTACCTAAAAACAGACATTCAGTGGCTGATTGCCAACACCATTTTCTTCTTTTTCGTAGTAGCCTCTTGTAGCCGTCAGTCACGATAGCAACCTACAGGAGATTGTCTTCCTATATTCTTCTAGCCACGTACGAATGGCTGGGTCATGGAGGCAGGCAACTGGACCTCTCTCCCATCATTCCCAAGTCCAAGGTGATACATTTCTTCCCAGTCCCATATTATTTCTTCCTAATTAGCAAAACAATTAATTTAAAGCAACAGGCAAACATAATTCTCTGGATCAAACTTGATGCATTCTTAATTTGAATCCGAACTGGGTATTAATAAGTAATTCATATCTCGGGATCAATTTGTCATGATGTAAATAGAATATCAACTTGCCAGGGCATGTATGGGAAGTGACATTGACTGTTTTAGATTGTTTTGAATAATCCGCGTGTTGTAATCGAACGTAGACGGAGAAGGATACGTCAACGCTTGATAGACATTTTCATTTAAGTATTGCCATGGACTAGGAAAATAGTATCCGCTGCTGGATAACAAACATGTGACTTCCAAATATATAATGTCAATTATATTGAAATTGATGAACATTAGCTTTTGCAGGCCCGACTCGAATACTCAGTCAACTGATACCATTTAGAATGACCGTTACGTTTGCCGAATCAATTATTAAACTAAAACAAACCTCCAAAATAGAGTTGGATAGGTTAATTTTTAGAACTATCTTGTTGAAGTTCCAAGTAATTCGGTTTGTTCTTCATCGATAGCTTTTATAGTCGTTTCCCTTTTATTTATGCTAATGATCTTAAATCGCCTGCCACCTCTTTCATTATTATTCATTATTGTACTTGATGGCTACAGCTGTTGCTAATCCATCGATAGTTCAAATTAGTATCATTGTCAGTTCCAAAATTGTTACTTGTGGGGTTGGTGATCTTGATTCATAGAATCAGTTTACAAACAAAAATTTCATTTCCCAAATCTTATTGCGGTGGAAGCCAGTGTTAGTTGATCTTATTCGGTCGTTCTTGAATTAAATTGGGTACAATAAAGATAACAAGGAAGGATGAAAATTTATGAGACAGAAAAAAAAAACTGTCTGTCGTGTCAGCTAAAAAACCAAAAATAATTTCCGTCTGCATATTATCGCATTTAACTTTGAAGTTGGTGGAGGGATCATGGCAACGACATTCGCGTTATTGTTTTTCAGAAAAAATTACACCAACAGCGCGCCTGCCATTTGGTTCGAACGGAAAAAACATGTATCAAAGATAAAAACGTTATTTTGTATACCGATCTTTTCGCAGCTGTATATCAGGAGAAGTGAATCTATGCTTATACAAGTTATGGAATTATCCCTCATGTATTATGGAAACAACTTTACAGCGTTTGTATTCCATTTCCGGAATTCTGGTCTTTATAGAAAAAAAAACAATTCCAATTTGTAGATTTGTAGATAATTTGAGTTACTTAGGTTGAGTAGTCAGAGAAACAAAAAAATCAGCCATAGCAATAACAGCTACATATGATCTATATCGCCATTTAATATATGAATTTTGAAATATTGCTAAAGCGAGACTTCGTACATGAATAAATTAAGAGCCGCGATTACTATTGTGACTGAAAATAATTAAGTGTTGGGAATATGAGTATTGTTCCAGTATTGTAAATAATTAAGTGTTGGCAATATGAGCAGTGTTTCAGTATTGTAGTAAAAAGTGCGTCTCGCAACTACTCGAGTTTCTTAAGTTAATTGTAGGAAACTGCAATTCGAAAATTTGAGTATAAAAATGTGTCAATTTCTCTAGAAAAGAGTTTTATTTGATATTGTTTAAGTATGGATTTTAATAGATCTGAATCTGTAATTCTTATACCGTCGAAGAATGTGGACCTTATCAATACAATTGTCCGTGTGAGAATGTACATCCATTTGAAAATTGGTGTGAACATATTTTGAGATACATTATCAATAATGAACATTTGGATGAAGATGATCTCATGCTAGACCCAGGTACAGATGGTTCTTTTTTCTATATGAGTACAATCCAGATATTATGAAAGTCGAGGTTGTTCCCGAAGAGCTTCCCATTTTCTCATTGCAGACTGAAATTGAAGAAGAAGATCTTGCAACTGGTTTTACGCAAATAATTCGAGGAGATTTTGAAGTCGAAGAAGATACTCGAGGCAAAGGTAGTATATTCCACCTAGATATTAAATTTGAAAAATTTAAAGAATTCTATTGCACAGGAAGGGCAATGCTCAGAAATAAAAAGCTTTGTCTAGATAAGAGAATAAAAATTGTTGAATCGATGGATGGATGATATGAAATCGAAAGATTCAGAGGACAAATTACTAAGTTATTTACTGAATGTTGAAGAGGAGAAATATATAAAGATGAGTAGATTTTCTTTTGATAGTTTATAAGTTTTGAAATTTGTTAATTCGCTATTGTAATTGAAATGTTAGTCATAGATGAACGTTCTAACGTCTAGCCCTGCTATTTTGTTCTATAGGTATATGTATACCAGATCCATATGATTTATAAGAAGAGACGTTAGAATATTAAGCTTATTTCTCCATGTATGGGGGCTGGTCTCCAAGCTTTTGTTGATCTCGTGTCCAACTATTGGTAACTCCTTTCCCCAATTGTTTGAGGATTGATTTTACAAGTCTAGGAACATTTCTTCTCCATCTCGTGTAGCATGGCCTCTCTGGCTCTTGAAGCATTGATTCTCTTGGGGTAATACTTCTGCCATTGTTGGAACATTGCTTCCCCCTGTCTTGGGGTAAACAGATCCTTTTATTAATATTCTGGAGTTCTAATCTGCAGCAAACAACCTGATGGAGGATATCATTTTTCAGCAGACCATTACTACTTTCATCAATTGGTCTCTTTAAAGAATTAAATCCATTTAATAGTTTATTCGCTTCACACCGTGAGTTAGTTTCTTGGAGGTTATCTTGGTTTGTATCAGGACTCGGAAAACTTTCAACCGTTTCATCATGGATAATCGAATCATCAGACATATATGGATGG